GGAGACTGGTCCAGGAAGAAGGATGAGCAAGTGCAAACAAAGCCTGTTTGGAGTGAGGGTGGGAGAGAGTGCAAGAGGAGCCAAAGCCAGATCATACAGGCCTTTGAGAACTTGGCCTCTGTCTCTGACCGGGAGCCCCTGGAGGATTCTCTGAGATTTAATCCATGGCAAGTGGAATTATCCATTTATCCCCTCAGCACCCCTTTATTGAGGGCCTCTTACATGCCAGTCAGTGGGTTAGAGAAGTGGAGAGAGTGGATAAGGCAGACCCAACCCCTGCCCCCAGAGGCTTATGACCCTAAGGCAGAGATGCAAGAAAAAGTGAATACACACAGAGATGCATAATTCCACATTGCAACAGGTGCCAGGCGGAGGAAACACATGGGATGCAGAGATGGAAAAAAAAAGTCTAGAGACACCCAGTCAAATCAAGGCGTGAGGGGAGGCTTCTCCCAGGAGGTGATATTCAACTTGGACTTTGGATGCTAAGAAGTCAGCCATGGGGAGTGAGATTTACAGGCAGAGGGAACAGCGAGTGCAAAGGCTTAGAGGAGTCAGCTGCCTTAACTCACTTGGGAGAATCAGCCTCTTCTTGGTCTCCCAGAGAGATCAGGGTACCCTGAGGACTGCGGTCTGGAGGAGGCAGCCTTTTCAGAGGTCAAATCCAGGGTTCTGGCTGACTGTGGGACTAAATGAGCCTCTGGTCTGTTTTTAGCCTGGAACCACTTCCTTTAGCCCCACCAGCTACCTCCCTGAGTCACCACCCAGTTACCAGCAGGGCGGGAACAGGGGATTAGGCACCTTGGGGTCTGGACCTTTGCCAATGAAAGGGGCAGAGAGGACTGGGCTGAGGGTAACAAGGCCCTCCAGCGGGGCGCTTTCATGTTCCAGTACCATGTTATATTAGTTTCAGGTGTCCAGTTTCATTCATGTTGACTGAATTGTACATATATTGTGCAAGATGAGATTTTCCCATATGCCAGTCCTTGAGAATTGAAATCTTGCTCTATTTAACGGATGAAGAAACTAGTACTCAGAGAGGTGAATCTACTTGTTCAAGGTCACACAGCAAGGAAATGAAGACGCCAGGAATTGAATCCAAAACTTCATCTCATAACAATCTCTCACCTCCACATCTCCCCCCACCTCCACAGTAGCTAGAGCCTCCCCTGGGGGGTAAACCAGGTTAAGAAGACAAGCCCTCAGGACCACGTACTTATTTTGCTTAAATACATACTTTGCTGTTTCCATGGGCCAGACCCTGTTCAAAGCACTTTGTGAATATTAATTCATGTAATTTTAGCAACAATCCCATGGATGTAGACACTGTTAGTATATCCACATTTTTCAGATGAGGGAAACCCAGAGAGGGGAAGCAACTTGCTCAAGATCATACAGCTGGGAAGGGACAACTGGGACCTGAAGCCAGACATCTGGGGTCCAGAGCCCTTGCTCTTAGCTGCCGTACCTACTGCCTCTGGCAGCCTGGCCTCTTAGGAGTGATGGGAGGGGATGTTTTGGCCGAGGCTTGGATTCCTGGGTTTGTACACTCCCAGTAGGCAGACATGCCAGGCTAGCCGACACAGCCTCCCCCATCCTCCTTATCAGTGTGGTGGCCCCAGAGGGCCCACGCTATAAGGGAGAGGGTCTTCCCACCCTGGCCCAGGCGCTGTCTGGGGTGTGGGAAGGAGCCTGGAACTCGGGCAGTGGAATGCTGTAAACCAGGGAAGGAAGCGGGTGGGCGGAGAGGCGTGGGGGAGATAAGATGTGGAGGGTGGAGAAGCAGCTGAGGAAGGCCCAGCCCTGAGGGTGGGGGCAGCCTCCCTGGAGGCAGAGAGAGCAGAGACCAAAGGACCAGCAGGTGAAGAACTTCCTGACAGCCCTTCAGAGCTGCCAAACTTGGGTGGGACGAAGCCAGCTCTGAAGGCACCCCACGTGATACGCACTGCCTGGTGTGGAGGGGATTCAGAAACGGGGTGGGAGACGCCCTTTCAGCTCTGATAGTCCAAGAATCTGAGTCACCCGGATTAAAGACTCTGGAATATTCTGAAGTATCACTGGTTCTACCGTTTTAGATTTTATTTAGCCTGACTCTACAAGGCCACTCAGCACCCTTTTGCACTCTGACCTGCTGAGGAGAAGGAGTGGAGGTTGGGAGCCCCTCCTGGAGACAGACCAGCCTCCACTGTGGAACATCAGAAGGAGGGGCTCCTGTCCCCCTAAGACCTATGCAGTCAAGGCAGCAGAGGGGTACTCCTGCTCTGCTGTGTGGCCTTGGGCATATCACTTACCTTCTCTGGCCTTGGCCTCTCCATCTGTGCCGAGGTGCTTTCTCTGGGTCGGCCCAGCCTTAGGCATTCCAAGTCTCTGCTGAGCACGGTCCTTCCCGTCAGGTGGGGGTGGCCAGGCAGGAGCCGGAGGGTGTCTGTTGGTCACGGAAAGTATGTGAGGGCAGGACGCCCAGTGGGTGGGGTCCCCGGGCTGGGCAGCAGGCAGGCAGAGGGCAACGTGAGACCATGTTGTCTGGTCTTCCTGGTCCAGTGCCGCTGGGAGGGGATCCCTTCCAGTCTGTCCCCCAGGTCAGCCCCACCCTGGGATCTGGGTTCAAAGAGTCAGGCTGTGCCTTCCTGACTGAAACCCCCTCACCAGGCAAAAGGAATGAAATTAGGGCCCAGAGAGATGGGCGCTGGTCCAGGCTCACACGGCAAGTCCAAGGCAGGCTCTGAGCCCAGGGTCCTGCTTAGGCACTGGGGCTGAGAGGCCCATCTTCACTTCTGGACTCTTCGAGGGGACCTGAGAGGGATATGGAGGGGGCTTGCCCAGCTCTGGGTGTGGCTGACCCCTTTACCCGTTCCCCTACCACAAATCGGGGACAAGGGGTGCAGTTTCTTCTCCGCAAGCCCCCACCCCAGTTAGATGCTAAACCTCCTCCAGGGGCGGGCGGAGCAGGATGCCGAGGCTTGGGCTCTCCTCCCGTTGGGCCGGCCTCCCCATCCTCCTACTAGCTCCAGGACACAGGCTGGGAAGGGACTGGGGTCACCAGGTCTCCACAGGAATGCACCACAGGGAACAGTGCCCAGCAGCGGCCTCTTTCTCTGATCCAGCTGAGAAAGGACCCCCGCCCCCTGAATCTGTCCCTGTTTGTCTCTGAGCATCTCAGTCTCTCCTCTCTCTCACACACACACCCTGAGTCGTACTGACCCATACAAGCACACCCTGCTGTGTGAAGCTCTCCACGTCGTGCCCTGCACTGGTGGGGCTCCATCCTGTCCCCTTTCAGCCACAAGGCTGCCCAAGTGGGACAGCACATCCCCCCGCTGCTCCATGGGTTCCAGGCTGGGGCCCGGCACACGCAGTGGGGAGGGTCCGCATACTGGCCAGGCATTTTTCCACCCCCTTCTGGCAGCACTGAGCCCCCCACTCTGCAGGTCCCCCCTCCACCCCAGCTCTGGAGTCTGTGGGAACCAGACAGCTGAGGCGGTCCAGCCGGGCTCGCTTCCTCCCAGGCCTCAGGGGACTGGCCGAGGGAGGAGGGAGCTACAGAGACTGAAGCCAGCGTGGCCGCCTGCCCGAGAGGGGGGTTTCTGGAGGGAACTGGGCTGCCTGCCTGATGAAGGGGTCTCCAGCCTCCTGGGTATCATCTTGTGGGACCCAAGAGCCTCCAGCAAAAATCCTTGGCTCCTGTCTTCTCTCCCTACACCCATGATCCAGACAGGGGACTGACGTCCGGGAAGAAAGCCATCCGCTTCAGCAAGCCTGGTGTTGGAGGGTGTGGGAACAGTGAGGTTTCAGGTCCCTAAGTCTGTTCCTCTGATGGGGGCCACAAATATAGCCACTTCTGCTGCTTCCACCCAAGGGGGCAGGTGAAGAAGGTCAAAAGTCAGGGCTCAGTCTCTTCTGAGCTGTACCCTGGATAGATACCCTCTCCCACCAAGAGGGAAATGTTTTCTTAAAGAGACACCAGGAGACTTCAGAGAGCTGTTGGCTCAGGGAGGTCTCCCAGTCACGTGGGAAATCCAGACAAGGGAAGTGTGCCTGCCTTTTGAGCCTTGGGTTCCCTGTCTGTGTTAGGAGTGAGGGGTGGCTTTTTAGCCCTGGCACACCAGGCTTCAAAAAATGCCCCCCTCCATCTGAGGGGGTCACCCTGTGTGCCAGCCTGCAGCCTCACTCAAACTGCAGGTAGCATTGGTTGGGGGCGGGGGCGGGTAGAGCCACACAGACCTGGTTTTGATTTCTTCTCTGCCACTCATTTGCTATTTGGAGCCAGAGCTAGTGAGCCCCGAATTCTTTGAGCCTCAGTTTCCACCACTGTAAAATGGGGATAACATTCTGTACCACACAGATATATATATATATATATATATATATATGGGAAGATATACATGAGCCCAGGACAGGATAAATACCACAAATGGTCACAGGTATTGTGGCTGCTCATCATGAGGGAGCCGAGTCAGACTTTGGGGCTGGAGGATCAACCCCTCAGTGCTGCCCAGCCCCAACCCTACTGGGCGTCTCTCCTGATTGCATCCCTCCTCTCTCTCTCTCCAAATCCCTGCTCCCCCTTCCTCTGCCTTCCTGGGAAACCCCCTGAGAAAGCCCCCAGCAGTAGACAGCCTCATGTGGGACATTTCTATCCGGGGTCCCCTGCCCCTGCCATTTGACCCCACAGCCACACCCACTCCACTTGAAACCAGGTGTCCTGGTATTCAGCTGCCAACCATCCAGCAGACTGACCCTCATCATCACACTGGTTTTATTGGCCCTGAGAGCCACAGAGTGAATCCCCAGGGGGCCCTGCTTCCCCTCACCCCCAAGTCTGTCCAGAGGCCCTAGGGCTGGCTGAGTGTTCACCGCTGCAATCTTGGCTTCCTGTCCCAGCTGTCGTGGGCTTGCCAGGCCCGCGTCCTTTGAGAGCTCCCCAGATCCCAGAGTCAGGCTCAACCTGGAGGGCGTAGTTGGCAGGGGCTATGCAGGGACGGCCTGAGGCCGGCTGGCCTTCACTCAAAGAAGAACATTCCTGGCGTCCGGTACAGGCAGGAGGTCAGCCCCAATGGGTAGCTGGAGCTTCCCTGGACAGGGAAGCTGCCTGCAACCCAGGGTTCCTTGGGGTCAGCTGGCAGGGGCAGCGGGGCCCGGAGGGAGGCTGGCGGGGTGGGTGGTGCAGGGGAAGGGGCTGCTGAGGCCAAGAGGTGCTCGAGTCCTGGGTCAGTCCCCATGCAGAAATTCAGCGCCTGCAGCCGGCACTGGTAGCTGCTCCCGATGGTGGCCTCGGGGGTCAAGATGGGTGCAGGGGCCTTGCTAAACCCCTCAGCCTCAGAGAAGCTGGTGGGAAAGCCAAATGCAGGGCACGAGGAAGACGAGGTGGCCACAGGGAGCTCCCCGGGGCCTTCAGCCTTGGGCGTGGGCATCTCCTTGGCCTCTGAGGGTGTCTGAGGCCTGGTATCGGTGGTGGCCGGGCAACTGGCTGGCAAGGCCCCCACCAGACCCCCATAGCTTAGGCCCTTGGGTTCCAGTGGCTCCGGCGGGAACGGGCACTGTCTGCTAGCTGCGACGTCGGGGGCTCCTGGATCCTGGCTGCTGGCTCGGAGGGGTCCACGGCGCGCTTTGGCGGGGCCCTTGGCGCCCTCGGCACCGGCCCGTCGGGTGAAGCGCCGGCGGCGGCGCAGGAAGCTGCCATGCTCAAACATGTCATGGCAGTCGGGGTCCAGCGTCCAGTAGCTGCCCTTGCCCGGCTTGCGGTCATCGCGGGGCACCTTGACAAAGCACTCGTTGAGTGACAGGTTGTGGCGGATACTGTTCTGCCATCCCGGCCGGTTGTGGCGGTAGAAGGCGAAGCGGCCCATGATGTAGCGGTAGATGCCGCTGAGTGTGGCCCGCTGCCCCGGAGAGTTCTGGATGGCCATGGCGATCAGGGCGATGTAGCTGTAAGGAGGCTTGGTTGGCTCGGCCGCAGGGGCCAGGGGCCCGGGTGGGGGCGGCTGCTGCATGCTGGCCAGGCTGGCCGGGCTGCCGGAACCGCAGAGGCCGGGCACGATGTCCAGGGCTGGTGTCCGGCACAGCCTGCCCAGGCTGGTTAAAAGGCCCACTGGCCCAGCCTCCCAGCCTGGAAAGGCAAAAAGGGGTGGGCCCGCCAGGCTGCCCTCCCTTCCTCCCTCGCCCCCCTTCCCCTAGGCCCAAGAGGGGCGGGCAGGAGAGGCCAGGATTGGGAAGCTGTGAGCAGCTGCCCAGGGTGAGGAGACACGGGAGGGAAGGGCCTGAGACCCTCAGCCCACGTGTGCTGGCTGGTGGCGGTGGCTGAGGGCAGACGGGATGTGAAACTGGGCGAGACAGTGACAGAAACAAAAAGAGATCAAGGCAGAGATACAGAGAGAGAATGAAGAAAGACAGGACAGAGACAAAGAGAGGTGGGGACATAACGAGAGGGCGACAGGAACACACAGAGGAGACAGGCAGAGACAAGAGACAGCAATTAGGCAGAAAAAGGGGAGACACAGAGCCGGCCCCATGCATGTGCGAACGTGCACAGAGTACAGAAAAAGAATCACTGAACGACAGAAAGAAAGAAATCCACAAAGACAGGGAGACACACACACACACACACACTCTCTCTCACGAGAGAGGAGAGGTAGAATCTGTGAGCTCAAGCTCAGGGAGCTTTGTGAGAAGAGCCTCAGGGACCTCTTGAATCCCCACCTCTGTTTTCCTTTCTCCTCTCCTCCTCCTCCCAGGCCCCTGATTCTCTTTCTCCTCCCCGCAGCACAGAGCACTCGGGGTCACACTGTTCCCTGCCCTCCTAGGACTGGGGTCTGCAAGAGGTGGGGCACCTAGGGTGCTTATGAGAGCCAGCCCAAACCCGGCTTGCTGGGCGCTGGCGCCCTCTAGTGACTAGTATGGGGAGGACAGACCTCAGGCCAGAGACATCCCCCTTCCAAGAGGCTCTCAACCAATTCTCTGGCTGAGCCTCAGTTTCCCAACTCTAAAATGGAGCTGCTGACTCTGCAGTTGTCCAAGCTGTGGTAAAGCTTACACGGAATCCAGTGCCCTTTTAGAGCCTGGCACTGAGTAAGGGTTTGGGCATGACGAGGACTGTCACCTTGAGCTGAGTTTCTCCGATAGCTGCAGCCTTAGGCTTGGGGGTACAGCAAAGCCCAGGACAGTCAAGGCTTCTGAAAGATAAAGCAACCACCACCGTGCTCTCCCAGCTCCAAGCAACCAAGTCAGCCGGCACTTCCTGTGAGCCACTGGCATGCCAGGCCAGCTCCCCTCCCCTCTCGACAGCTACTTCTCAGACCAGCTCTGCTCCAGAGGCCCTGAGAGGTTCTTCTGAGTAGATGAGGAACCTGAGGCTCAGAGAAGTTAAGTGACTTGCCTGAGGTGGCACAGCTAGTGAGAGACCAAAGCTGTGATTTCAACTCAGAAGAATGGAACTCCTTAATACACTCCTTCTGTGAGGAGCAGGGGTTAGAGGACAGTTACCAAGCCACCACTGGAAAACAGGTTTGTGACCCATAAGAGAATAGGGACCATGGTTTGCTCTATCCCCAGTGTCCAGCATTTGCCTGAAACAGAGTAGGTGCTCAATAAACATTTGTTAAATCAATTTTAAAAATAGTGATTTGACTGACTTCTATCCTTTGTGGAGTCATACAGTTTCTCCTCTGTAAAAGTGGCTTATTTATGTATCACTGAAAGATTTATTACATTGCCATCTGAAAGAGAACTCCTATAAATAGTCAGAAATCAGAAGAGGTAAAAGGTCTGATATCTGGGATAGAAAACAGTGACTTTACTGACAAGGCAGGGTCACTGCCTTCATGGTGGAGGGGGTTCCCTCCAATTCTCACAGACTCCCTATAACTCACATTTTGCAAAAAATTGGTGGGGCTTGGGGATGGGATGGACTCCTGGCTACCACTCAGGTTCCTATCCTAGGCCTGCCTCAGTTTCTCCAAAGACAGTATCTACAGGTGGTGGTTCAGTGGTTAGCATTCAAAGCCCCAGGTTCAGGTCAAATCCTCTGTTTTGGGAGCCCAGACCCCCACTACTTCTCACCCCCTCCAAAGAAGGGAGACTGTGGCAGGTGGAAGGAGGGTCTGGAAACTCAAACCCCTCAGAAGTGGGACAGTTCTGTTACTGGTTGGGCTTCAGTCTAAACCATGCTGAGGGTCTAATTATTAGTAAACTCAGCCACCCCCCCCTCCATTTTTTTTTTTTGGCCAGGCTGTGGGGCTTGCAGGATCTTAGTTCCCTGACAAGGGATCCCTCCAACCTGGGCCCCCAGCAGTGGAAGTGCAGAGTCCTAACCACTGGAGCACCAGGGAACTCCCAGTAAACTCAGCTTTAAGCAAATTTTATAACGGATCAACTGCAGTTAGAGTCTGCTTTAGGTAAACCAGTGTAAGTATGTCCAACTCTTAAAAAAAGATGAAGCCTTGTTTCTGTCCTAATTGTTATTTCTGGAGCCTCAAGGTTGAGTTTGATTTTCAAACCTGATGCCTCAGGTCCAGCTGTCTATCTCTGCACCTGGTTCCCAGGCTCCAGCTTGGTGGCTGAGTGGTTGAAGGCCGTGACTGGCTTCCACTGTCCCAACCTATCTTAAATCCCCTGGCTCAGTTGGGGCAGGACTAGGGTGGGACCTATACCCTGTGGGGAGTTGCTTTAGTGGGTATGGTAGGAGGAAGAAGCCGCTTAGGGCTGACTCAGCTGTGTCAGCAGGTGAGTGATGCTGTCGGGGATGCTACGCCGGGAACCTGCCACCTGGGCATCTGGCCGTGGATCTTCGAGTGCAGGAGGAGCTCCCTGGCGAAGACTGGCTCCACCTGCAGGGTGGGAGTGAGGTGGAGGAATGAGCCAACCCCTTCCTTACCCACCCACTTTGTTGGGTGGGGAGTGATAACCCATCTCCACATGCATTTTCACACGGAGGTCTTCCAGGTCAGAGGTCATATGGCAAGTCAGGGGCAGAGCTAGGACTGGAGGGAGCAGTGAGAGGCTATTTAGCAGAGGTGGGTAGGGGGTGGTTCTCCGCTGGAGTGGAAAGTGACTCACATGGGCCATAATGAGCCGCTCCTCGGGCTGGTCCGGGGGCCCCGGGTACTCCTCGCCAAAGCACAGCCGGATCTGGTACTCGGGCTCCGGGCGACCATCCTGAAGATGGGCTCGCAGTTCTACGGGCACCAAGATGGTGGGTCTGGGGTGGGGGATCCCATCTGATGCCCACCTTGTGCTCATATCCCCTGACCATGTCCTGTAAATCCATGTCCCCCGTGTGCCCAGGCCCACTCCCACATCCCTATGCCCGTCTCATGTTTCACTTCTCAGGCCCTGTGCCTCGTGCCCTGGGCTCACTATCATGCCCACTGCCACTCACCTATGCCTATCTTCTGCCCAGCGCCCCAATGCCCACCTTATGCTTAATGCCCTAAGACAACACGTGCCCAAGTCCTAGGCTTCTGTCCCACACCCAGCACCCCAAGCCTGCCACCTGCCTACACCTACAGCTCCTACAGGCCCATGTCCATACTCGTCCCCACTTTTGGGGCTTCTGTGTCACGTCCTTTGTTTCCAGGACCATCCCAGCCCCAGAATTCTCAAACCCAGGGCCCCGCGGTCACGCTCTTACCCGCGAGGAAGCGGCGCGTGTCGAGCAGCTGACAGGTGCGCTCGCGCTCCAGCTTGTTGGGCTGCGCGCGGTGCGGGGCAAGCGGGCCGCGCCAGTACACGCGGCCCTGGCACAGGCGCTTGGCGAAGACGCCCTCGGGCGCCACCCACAGTAGCACGCCGCGCTCCAGGTGGGGCAGCAGGCGCCGCAGCACGTGGGCGCCGGCCGGCGGCTCCGGGAAACGAACTTGCGCCACCCTCGGCGGCGGCCCCAGCAGTCGCTCGGCGGCCGCGGCGGCCGCGCGCGGGCTCAGGCGGCAGCCCTCGGCCGCCAGCGCTGTGGCTTCGCGCACCAGTTCCGCGCGGTAGAAGAGTCGCACGTGCAGCCAGCAATCTGCGGGAAAGGGAGCGGCCGCGCCCGGCGTTGGCGGCGCCGGCTCCCGCTCCATCCACACAACCGGGCAGGGGACCCAGCGGTCCTCCTGGCCCCCACCTCAGGAATTTTTGACACTCTCTCCCTAAGTGATAATAATTCTAGCAGTAGTGGTGGTGCTAGTATATAATAGCAGCTTCCAGTATAACTACTTTCAACGGATACATACTTCTAACTACCAGGATGGAACTGGTAATTGAGCTTCAAAATCAAGAGTTTGGAGCCATCAGTATAATGGGGGCGTGACACTGCTGCCCTCCTAGGCCCAGTTTCTGGAATTCTAGGAGCTTCTTCACAGCAAGGATTTTAGTGCTGGAAGAAATAATAATAATAGCAACAACAACAAAACAGCAGCCTCCAGTTAGCAGTATGCTCAGTGGTTAGGGCTGTGGGCTCTGTAACCAGGCCCTTGGATTCTAATCTCTCACTGCCACTTAGGAACTGTGGCCTCTTAGTAACTTTTCCAAGGTTACTGTGTGGCCTTGGGCAGGGTTCTTAATCTCTGTGTCTGGATTCTGCATCTGTAAAATGCCAGGAATGGCACTATCTATCTCACAGGGCTGTGGGGGGACTTAGAAGGAAGGCTGGCATAAGCTAAGCCCTCAACAAATGTTCGCTCTTGTTATCTGGAGTCTGCATGGGTGCTCCGGGTGGGAGACAGAGGCTATTTGGCCTCAATCCTGGGCCCTCCCCTGTTCTGCACAGTGGTCAGAGGAGAGGGCCTTCCAGTTCCTTACCAGGGTTGCTGAAATTCTCAGAGGGCAAAGGGCCCCAGAGGTGAGCGGGGTTCTGTGCCTGGTAGCCTGGGGAAGGAGAGGAAGCAATGAGGCATCGTCTCACCCTGGGTGCCTTTACCCCTACACCAAGGTCACAGAAGAGGCCAGGGAGGGGGCAGGGTTGGGTGAGGAGACCCAGTCCTTACTGTGGTCAGCCAAAGGGCTTGCGAGCACGGGGTCCTGCTGGGCTAGCCTGGAGGGCTGCTCCTTGTCTTTATCCTCTGTGACTAATCCGGATACATCCTGCGCATTGGGAGGAAGGGTGGTGAGGGTAGGAGATGAGACCTGTGGGCCACAGGAATTCCCAGACAGTCTGCACCGGGGCAGATGGAGGTCTGGGCAGAACGGAGGGCAGCTGGGGTTAATAGAGACTTTGAGGTTTCAGAGCTCAAGACTTTTCCCCCCACAGAGGTAAAGAGAGAGTTGATGGGGTTTTTGGAGATGATGGGGTCAGAGATGAAATTCATTGTGGTAGGGAGAGAAGTGCTAGGAGTGGATGAGGAGATGGAGTGACAGAGATGGGGGGACAGAGTGATGGATGGAATGGGGTGCAGGGGACAGTGGAATGAACCAAGCTAATAGGGTGATGGGGACGGAGTAATGGACCGTAGATGAAGGAGGAGACGTGTCGGGGTGGAGTAAGAGTGAAACAGACAATGATGGAGACAGAGATGATGGGAGATGATAGAGAGCTAGAGGTGATGAAGGTGAAGGGAATACAATGATGGAACTGGATTTGGTGACATGAGTGGAGACACACCAATAGACCCAGTGATAACAGGGGAGAGGGGATGAAATGGGAGAAAATAGGACTGATGCACATGAGGGATGGAGGTGAAGGTGATGGAGAAAATGGGACAGAGATGGTGGAGTTAAGGAGAATAGAATGAAGGAGCTAAAAGTGATGGCAGAGATGGAGTAGAGGTAGGAAGTACAGCTGATAGAGGGATGGGGACAATGATGGCCAAGACCTGATGGAGAGGGTGAGATGATGCACTGGAGAATGTAGAGGGGGTGGTATGGGTGTGAGGTGACTGGGTTGGCAAGGCTGCAGGGGCTAGAAGGACATGCTGACCTGCTCTTCTGTCCTGCAGGCTGGCTCTGTCACTCCTCCAGGGGGCTTCTGCTGGCTCTGAAGAATGCCCTCCTCTTTACCGGGGGCACAAGCCTTGGTAACTGGATGGAGCAAGTAATAGTCTGTGGTTTCCTGGGCCCCAAGGTGAATCCCTTCAACCTTGTCTGAGATGATCCCAGCTCACTGAATGATCTCAGGCAAGGCCCACCTCTCTCTGGGCCTCAGTTTCCTCTTTTTGGAATGGGGAGATAAACTGTAAGCATCCTTCTATGTTTACCAGCCCATGATTTTAAGCTCAGTAAGTTCACTCTTTCCCATTTTACAGATGGGCAAGGTGGAGTCCTTATTGCCTAGAGAGTCATTCTAAGCTTCTACCTCCAGCAGGCAGTATGGTACCTGGGTCGTGGGCACCATCAGACAGGAGCCGGTAGACCTTGTAGGGGTTGGAGATGTCCAGCTGGCTGCGCTCACGTACTTCACAGAAGTCAGCACTCTTGTTGAGGGCACAGCGAAGCCGTGTCTTCCAGGTAGAGGGATCCTCCTTGTCAATGCCCTCTAGGTGCTTGCCCTTGTATATGGCCCAGGCCTGGGGATAAGCAGGGGAATTGGGGAGGAATGACCTGGGAGACAGGGCTGGTGCCATGCAAAGGGATGAGGACTGCCTGGGCTCCCACCCTTCTCTCTCTTTCTCTGCCCCTAGGCTCCTCTGTTCCTCCCTCCGTCCGTCGAACACTTATTTCTTGAGCTCCTGCGCCTTGAGCAAGCTCAAGTTCTAGACCGAAGGGGAAGCAAGACAGACACTCCTGTTATCAAGGAATGCAAGTCTAATGGGAGAAGGCAGCTGCAAACAGCTGAAAAGAAATAATTATATTCCAAATTATGGATTGTGAGAAATAAAAAAAAATAAATAATACAATGGGACAGAAAATGATGGCAGTGACCTGCTACCTGCTGCTGCTGCTGCTAAGTCACTTCAGTCGTGTCTGACTCTGTGTGACCCCACAGACGGCAGCCCACCAGGCTCCCCTGTCCCTGGGATTCTCCAGTAAGAACACTGGAGTGGGGTGCCATTTCCGTTTCCAAAGCATGAAAGTGAAAAGTGAAAGTGAAGTTGCTCAGTCGGGTCGGACTCTTAGTGATCCCATGGCCTGTAGCCTACCAGGCTCCTCCGTCCATGGCATTTTCCAGGCAAGAAGACTGGGGAGGGGTGCCATTGCCTTCTCCGGACCTGCTACCTGGAGAGCCATAAATGATATCCGCACCTACTGCACCATACAAAGTGGACTCCAGATGACCAAAAAAACCAAAAGTAAGGTGAAACCATAAACCTAATAGGAGATAATGTAGGAAGAAATCTTCTAGGGGGCGGATAATATTTCTTAAACAAAATTTGGAGGGCATGAACCATAAGGCAAAAAATTTGCGAAGTCTGAAATCAGCAAGGGGCTAAGATCTAGAACATATGGGAACTCCTGCAAATCAAGAAGAAACAGAGAACAATCCTGAAAGAAAAAAAGAATCTTATCAAAGGACAACAATGGGTAGTTTACCGAAGAGGAAACCAGAAGCCCACGAGCATAGGGGAAGATGTTGTGACTCATTAGTGCCACAGAAGTACAGATAAAAGTATGAGATATCATCTGTAAGCTTACAAAATTTAGCCAGTTGGCTAAGCCAGGAGTTGGTTGGGATGTGGACATGGTTAGTGGAATGGGGGCAGTTTCTGGAGGGTACTCAGGCATGCCTAGTCCAGTTAAGTATAAGCATACCCTGTGACCAGAAATTTCAGTTCCCAAGGAATTCTCACAGAAGCTCATGAGGGGACCAGATTCACTGCAGAACTATTTGTGGTCTGGAAAGCAAATTTGTGTCCATCCCTGGGAAAGTAGATGTGTGTGTGTGTGTGTGTGTGTGTGTGTGTGTAATAGATACCCGCTATAGAGTCTGTACAGCATCTAGAAACAAATTAGATGGACAGAGAACAAGAATAGATCTTCAGAGCATGACCCTGAGTGAAATAAAAGTAAAATACAGAATGAGACCTACAACACAAGATGATGTACATAAGAACACACAAAACAGCAAGGCCCACTTTGCAAGAACACATATAAACCAAAGATGCTCATTAAACACATTAGAATGACTGTTATGGTTGTTGTCTGCTGTTCAGTGGCTCAGTCGTGTCTGACTCTTGCGACCCCATGCACTGCAGCCCGCCAGGCTCCTCTGTCTATGAGACTGCCCAGGCAAGCATATTGGAGTGGGTCGCCATTTCCTTCTCCGGAGGATCTTCCTGACTCAGGGATCGAACCTCTGTCTCCTAGTTCGCACTTGGGAAGCCCGACTGTTATGGCAGAGGGACTAAATAAATAAAATATATGAGGGACTGCTTTAGAGAGGGTTATCAGAAAAGGCCTCTTGGAGGAAGTGGCATTTGGGCTGAAGCCTTATTGAAAAGAAGGAAGGAGTCTGACAAAGAGCTGGGGGAAGGCTGTTCTAGGTAGAAAGGACAGTGAGGGCAAAGGTCATGGGGGTGGGATAGATTTCAAGGAAGGCCAGCGTGGAGCAGAGTATTCAAAGGGGAAGACAAGAGATGTCTTGCTCGAATTGATCACATTCAGGAATCAGTGGTGGACAGGGGTGGGGGAGCGATTTAACTGATAAATCGCACTCAGTCATGGCTCTTGGAGATCCCAGGCTTGGTGGGACACCAGACAAAAGCCGCATTTCCCACTTGGGTGTCTCTTGCCAGTGGTGAGACCTTTAAGGCTTGATTTTGCTGTCTGTAAACTGTGCTAATAATACCTAACCTCACATGGTTGTGGCAGGTGTAAGGTGAATGGTCTGTGTAAGATGCTTAGCACAGCACCTAGCAAACAGTCCATGTTTGTTTCCTGAAGAACTTGTTCATTATATTCATGATGCTTTAACTCAAACGTAACCGGGGCTCAAGGCTCAGGCTGCTATCACCAAGCTGAGAGAGGAATCTTTGGGAACACTGCTGTGCCCCCCAAGCACATAGAGTGGCATGTAGCACACAAGAGATGCTCAGTAAATATTTGTGGGATGGACTGAATTTGGCCTTAAAGGATGAGTAGGAAATTGCCAGGTGAAGTGATATTCCTGGTGGGGTGACAGCTTGAGCAAAAGCGTGGCATGAAGCACGCAGGGGATAGTGAGCAGCCTGGTAGGACGAGCTGATGTGTATGTGAGGGTATGTATATAGTTGACTCTCATTACTCGTGGCAGTTGTGTTCCATAAAATTTACAGAAACACTAAGTAAGGGCACATGGAACTATCACTCCTAAAGGACATACAAGGCTAGGTCCTTGTCAGCCTCTGGTACATCAACTGGTCAATACATCCTGTTTATCAACTGGTCAATACATAATCTTGTTTTATGTGTGTTTCTGTTGAAGGATGCCTTATTGAATATAAACTGTTGATTCATTAACAGTGAACTTATGGCCAACAACACTATAACTCACTTCTCAAAGGAACTTACCTTATACAGGTATTTTCTCCAAAAGGCACATCACAGCCTTCCTGTGCTCAGGAGTCCTAACAAAGCTTCAGCACGGTGTGGGCTTGGGGGCCATTTTAAATAGTGAAATCACCAACAGAAAGCACAAAAAGTATTAAAAATGTGGCTCTAAAGATTGTCTGTGAAAGGACACATGTGAAAGGACAGTAGAAGAGCTGAAACTAGGGTTGTCACCTTCTTCAGCCTCCGCTGGAAATGTGCATATTGGTGACCCAGTTTTTTTTTTTTTTTCCATTCTGTGAATGACTGCAAAAGTGCCTTGAATATCAATTGGGGGATTATACATAATTTCAGCAAGTAAGAGAATTTGTCAATATGCAATCTGTGAAGAATGAGGATCTACTGCATGTGTTGGGGGAAAGGGAAAGAGGGATTAAGGAAGAAGACAGACTGAAGCTGGATTATGAAGGCCAAGCTTTATCCTGTGGGCTTTGAGGTACCGGGAGGGCATGAAGCCAGGGGGCCACATGTGTGTGTCACTAGTGGGTTGAAGGATGGGTCAAAGCATCCCCAAAGAGGGACAGGGAGGGCCAGTCCACAGAATCTCCCACTTCTGAACAGCACATAGCCTTAAGGTGCAGGCCAGGTAACCACGTGTTCAACACTTAATGAGTTCCTTCTGTGGGCCAGGCAGTATGCTCGGGGTCACCACCCATGGGCAGCTGGAGGAGGCAGAGTCATACAAGGCACTTATAATTCATAGGGAAAGTTGTTCAATGGAAGAAGCAGAAGGAATCAGGGCCGACTTGGAGAAGCACTGAGAACTTCCTCAATGCTTTAAACAAATGAATGCATCAGGGGAAGCTTGTCTTCAGTAGGGATGTTTACACTGAGCATGATGGGGAGTTGGCCGGTAAAGGTAGAGAGGGTGTTCCGAGCAGGGGGAACGGAATGTACAAAGGTCTCCCAATGAGAGACACAGGAACCATTTGGAAACTGAAAGAACTATCTGGCTGGGTCTGAAGTTGGGGAGGGAGTGGGGAGAGATGGACAGAGGCCAGAGAGGAGCAGTTCATGCAGGGCTTTGTGGTCCTGGTAAGGAGCTGGGACTTAATTACAGGAGCAACAGGGAGTCATGGAAGGAATCTGAGGCGGGGAGTGCAGAGGCAAGATTTACATTTAGAGTGATCCCTCTGGAGGACAGAAAGGAGAGCCAAGGGATGGGAAAGCAGGGCACTCAGTTGTCCTGGTGAGAGATGGTGGGAATGGATCCAAGTAGGTGGCTGAAAAAGCAGTTCTGCAGGAAGAGCCAAACACCTTGGTAACGGGTTAGAATGAGATTGGAAGAGAGGGGAGCAGCCAGGGTTCAGGTGCCTGGCTCTGTGGTCTGGGTGGCGGGTGATGCCATCTCCCATTTTGAAAAACAATTTTGCAGCAGGGAGCTGACAAGTGTGATACTGAGGAGGTGCTGAATTTGAGAGGTCTGGGAGTGCTAGACTAGCAGGCTTGGGGCTTGGAGGGGAGGGTGGCAAACACTGAGGCTGTGTAAGGGGAGAGTGGGATGGGAGGAGGGAGGCCCGGGAGGGAGTGCTGAGAGCACCAAAAGAGGAGAGGGGATGGAGGCTGAGAATCAGGGGCCCAGAAGGCAGGAGGAAAACAGGTCAGGGTTGGAGTGGAGTGGGTGCACAGAGATTCTGGAAACCAAGTGAGACTATTTCAAGGAGGAGGAGGGACAACTAGATGTAGACCCACTGAGGCGGGGCAAGGGGTGTCTAAGAAGATGATAGAAATGGCATTCTTAGAGACATCAGCAGGAGGAAGAGAAGCCAGATTGTGGGGAGAGGAGGAGCTGAGGGGCTATGAGTGAGGGAGTTGATGACCAGAAGGTCCTTTCTAGGTGCTTTATACCCTGTGAAATTAGAGGGGAGGTCAGAGAAGCAGGAGCTGGAGGCAGCTGAGGTGTTTGGGACGGTGGCAGTGGTCTGGGATGTGGCTGGTTGCTTATTGCTCATGGAAGAGATCCGAGTTAAAACCCTGATGGGAAAGAGATAGTCTGGAGGAAGTTAATGGTGACTGAAGAAAGACAGGGCATTCCTGGAGGAGGTCCCTGAGAAGGGCTGGGGTTGGGAAGTACAGAAAATGTCCCGAAGTTGCTGGGGTTAACAGTTTAGGGGTGGGAAGTGGAGGGAATTTCCATCTGTGGCAGTGGTATCTAATTTCCCCATGAAGAGGGAGAAGTCCCCTAGGGGATGAGGATGGTGCAAGTCATTCAGTCCTTGGCTAATTCTCTTTGAAGAGGGTGGGCTTCCCAGGTGGTGCTAGTGGTAAAGAAACCTCTTGTCAATGCAGGAGACATAAGAGACTCCTGCATTGACCCCTGTGTCTGGGAAGACCCCCTGGAGGAGGGCATGATAACCCACTCCAGTATTCTTGCCTGGAGAATCCCATGGACAGAGGAGCCTGGTGGGCTACAGTCCATGGGGTGAGGAAGAGTTGGACACAACTGAAGCGACTTAGCAGGCACCCACGGGAGGGTCTGCCATATGTAGAGAACATTATCATCAACCTAGAGACAGCCGAGGTTAAGGACTGAGCGAGTGGCCCGAGGTGACAGCGCATCAGGTCGCTCCAGGCGCTGGGATCGTGTGCTACAGAGCCCTCCAGGACCCAAACCTGGGACCCCTGCCCCTACTCCCTTACCCTGAAGAGCGCAGCGTCCTGCCGCACCTGGTAACCCTGCTTGGCTGCGTGCTTCCAGGGGATGCGGAAGAGGGTCTTGCCTGCGTCCTCCCAGCGCAGACCCGCATAGCGTCCGCTCTCGATCTGCGCCACCAGCCATTCTCGGAGGCGCAGGGGACCCCCGGCCCCCTCCATGGATCGTCTGCGGTCGGAGACCTTCCCTTCGTCCCTCCGCCAGGGGTCGCCGGCCATAGGGGAACGGAGTGCTCCGGGGACCAGGTCTGGGGCGCGCGGGTGGCCGAACCCCAGAGCGACGGGGGATCGCGCGCGGGGGCCACCTGGACAGCGCGGAGGCGGCGAAAGCGAAAGTCTGGGTAGGAAGTTTCGCTTTCCTTTCTGCTCCCTGGAGGCCCTTTCGCCCCACCCTATGTCGCCTGGCCTGGAGGGCATCAGTCCTCACACAGCGGGCAGCTTAGAACACCGTGGGAAGCCAAGACCCACTGGAGGGTACAGGGTGAAGTAGCCCTGGGTTCTAACCATCCCTGGACCGGGAGAAGGGGGGGGGCGCGGGGACGGGCACCCAGGGTGTCCCTTGCGCCATCCCTGCACCTGTTTTTCTTTCTTCCCAGCCTCCAGGAAACTTAGTCTCTTTCCAGGACCAGGACTGAAGAGGTGGGAAAACATAGTGTCTACCAAACTAGCTCTGGGCAGAACTAGGAGGCAGAGACTGGTTTAAAAATGCACACTTCCAGCCTCCAACCTAGACCTGCAGAATCAGATTTCCTGGGCAAGAAGTCCAGGAACATGCATTTTAAACAAGACCCTCATGGGATTCTGATCCAGGTGATCCATGAGCCACCCTTAGAGAAATATTTCCTTAAATACTGGGAGTCCCCTTCTTCTGACCACTCCCCAAGGTGCCTGGTCCGGCTTTCCTGCAGTGTCTCAATTGCTCACATGTCTCAACAGCATGAGATGAGTAAAATTACTGATTTTGTCATTAGAAGACTGAGGTCATTCAGTTAGTGCCCGGGGGAGCCAGTATCTGAAAACGGGACTCTCTGCCCTCAGAATCCAGGAGCCTAAACGGTGTCCCACACTGCCTCCCAACAGCTGCACCTGGAGTTTATAGATTCCTGGTGGGGTCTGTGTTGCCAACCCCACCCCCACCCCCAGAAGTATATGTAATGTTTTCATCTCTGCGTATTTTTTTCTGGGTGGCGCTAGTGGTAAAGAATTCACCTGCCAATGCGGGAGACTTAAGAGACAAGGGTTCAATCCCTGGGTCGGGAAGACCCCCTGGAGAAGGGCATGGCAACCCACTCTAGTATTCTTGCTTGGAGAATCCCATGGACAGAGCAGCTTGGCAGGCTACAGCCCACAGGGTCGCAAAGAGTCAGACACGACTGAAGCGACTTAGCATGCACGTATCTTTCATTAAACTGTCAAAGGGGGATCGTGATATGAAAAAGGTCAAGGAGCTCAGACTGCTCCACGCTGGCTGTGTACCTGGGGAAACTGAGGCTCTGAGAGGGAGAAACCAGCCCTCCCAGCAGCCAGCACTGTGCTAGATGGGGGCCAGCATTGACCAGAGGCTGGGCACTATCCCTCGTGTGTACCTGTCAGGGAGCTTTCTTCATGTTCCCCATTCTCTGTCCTCATATGGCAGCAGCCACCCAGTTCTGACCCTTCTACAGTCACAGCCAGGATTCAAACTCAGAACTGCAGGGCTCCAAAGGGGCACAGAAAATTTCAGATGGTTAAATACAAGAGTAATACTTGCATCTAAACAGGAGACTTGATGGTGTCAGGCCATCTCTTCATTTTTTTCAGGGCAGGGGGCAGAGTCATAGTAACGAGGAGGATGGGGTCCACAGCCTGACTGCCTGGATTTCAATCCCAGCCCCCCCGACTTGCTAGCTGACTATCTTGGGCACCAAGATGGTCAGTTTCTTCATCTGTTAAATAGCAAAGCCTACTTCATAGGGCCGCTTGCAGATTCCATGCGATGCAGGTCCAGTGTCCAGCACATTGCCTGACCCACACAGAGATACTTGTGTGTGCTCAGTTGTTTCAGTCGTGTCCAACTCCTTGTGACCCCAAGGACTGCAGCCCGCCAGGTTCTTCCTAGCAAGAATTCCCTAGTAGGAATACTGGAGTGGGTTGCCATGCCGTCCTCCAGGGGATGTTCCCAACCCAGAGGTCCAACCTGCATCTCCACCACTGAGCCGCCAGGGAAGCCCAGAGCGCGATGGGGGCTTTTAAATAGGGAGCGACACCAGCAGAAACACAAAGATGTTTTAAACCTGATGGGTGGTGGCACCACTAACCAGTAAGGAGGATCGCAGGCTCCCTGCACTCTGGTGAGTTCTCCCACCCTGCTCTCCATACACCATCCTACTTCAGGCCTCTTCAGGTACTGTACCCTCTGCCTGAAATGCTTCCACCCACACAGCAAAGCAGTTCCCTCCCTCACCACCAAACGTAGTTTTTCTTTGGTTTATCTGTTTATCCAGGGATTTTCCCATCAGAATGTCAGCAACATGAGTGCAGAGGCTTGCTCACTGCTGTGTCTTCAGTGCCCAGCTCATGGCCTGGCACACAGTAGGTACTCAATGAACTTTCGTTGCGTGAATGCTGAGGGGGAGGTTCGGCAGCAGGTAAAGTTTATTTCATCCATCTCCCACCCCCAATCCTGGAATCTGGGCCTCCCCCATCACCCCCAGGTCTTGATGCATCATAAGAACCCCTGTATAGGTGATTATTAGATTACAGAAATTTCAGATCCCTCTTAACTCATAGTTTAGGAAAAATAAGCGCAGGTGGCCATTGTTCATCCTCAGTCAGTCTGCTGCTTTCTTGGGCTGCCCTGAGGCCCTCCCTTCTCAGTGCTCCCCTGGCCTTTAAACTCTAAGTGGGAAGGGTCAGTCCCACTAGCCAGGGGTGTGTCCTCCTGGCCAGTAACCTTCAAGACTAGAAGGAGCTGCTTTTAAAACGACCGTCAAGGGACACAGACTGTCTAGGGTCACATCCAGCTTCCCCTTCTCTGGCTGTGTGTCCTTGGACAAGCTGCCTGACTTCTCTGAACTTGTTTCCTCCCCGAGGATTAAGTGAACTCATTTAAGTAAAAAATCAGGCATGAGGGAGGTACTACTTCTATACCTTTACTAGCTACGATTTGTGGCTAGGGAAAGGAAGGGAGCTGGGGAGGAAGAGGTGGGGTTCAGGAAGGGGTTCAGCCAGGGCGCAGGGGGTTCAAAGAGAACGAGGAGTTGGGGGCCTTTTCAGGAGACCAGGGCTCCAGGGAGAGATAGCTGTAAGGATAAAGGAAGTGGAATTTCAGCGCAGCACACTGCAGTGCCGGAAAGATGGCAGGCTCCACAGGCCGTAGGGGGATGCAAACTTCCTCCCTTTCTTGTTTCCTGCAGGTGACAGGAACAGGCCCCCCCCCCCCCCCCCCCCCTTAGCTCAAGGACTGAATGACTGGGAGACGAGATCTGACCGGCAGCTTCTGTGTCTCTTTAATATCCTCCAGGCCCATCCAACCCTCCCCCCCCTCCCCCACTCCCACTCCCGCCGCCTGCAATGGGGCGGGGCGGGGGGGAGGCGCGGGTGCACCCTCCCCCAGCCCGAGGACTAAGGCACCAGGTGGCTGCAGCAGGCCGGCCCAGACACAGAGCCACACACACAGATGGACACACGGACTGCGGACGCAGACAAGCCAGGCGGGCAAAGCGGCAGGGGCAGGGATCAGGCCGCCGCGGCGCTCGCTCCCACGGGCGCTGGGCCCCTCCTGAAGGCCGTGAGAGGCCCGGACGATCCCAGAAGGGGGACCAGTCGGGAGGACGAGGGGCTCCACGGCGGGGGCGGGATCCTCACTTGCTGCCTTTGCGGGACAGACACCGCGGGAGGCAGGAGAAAGTCTGCTTGACGCGCGCTAGCAGCGGCAGCGGCCGGTGGGCCTCCCGGGGCGTGCGCGGCACCAGGCGCTGCAGGGTCCCCTCCGAGGCCGTGGAGTTGGGCGCCGGGGAAGCGGCCGCGCTCGCCGAGCCCTGCCGGCAGCGCTTGCACAGCGGCAGCAGCGCGCGCACCTCCTCCTCGTCGCGAAAAGGGCTCTCGCCGTAGCGCTCCTCCAGTTGCCGGCGAAGCTGGGGCGGGAAGAGGGGCGGGGTCGGTGCCCTGCCCGGGGTCCCCTCTCCATCCTCAGGGCTTCTGCTCTTCTACTAGCTCCCCACACCTCGCTAAGCCCCTCCCCTTCCTGAGCATCCTCTTAGCTTCCCTTGGGGTCTCCATCCCCCTCCCTGAGCCCCCTCTCCCTCCGAGTCCCTTCCCTCTCCCTGAGTCCCCTCCTTCCCCTTTGACACTCCAACTTCCAGACCTACCGAAGTGACCCCCCCACCCCACCTGCACAGTGCGACCACACTAAGCCCTCCCCAGCCTGCACAACAACCAGCCAAGCCCTCTTCCTCGCCTCTTTCCTAATACAGCCTTGCAGACAAGTCTCTCAACCAGCCTGGCTTCCTACACTGGCTGCTTCTCTCTCACTTTCTCGTCTCTTGTTCCAGGGAGGTGGGAGGGTGGGCTCAGTCCCTGACATCTCCACGTGCCATCTGCCTAGTGGGCACAGGAGAAGGAATTGCTTTGGCCTCCTCAAGGACCCAGGGGTGGAGTAGGGACTGGACAGTTCTCCCCAAAGGAGCCAGAGGCTCAAATGCCTTCAGGTTTCAGGCAGGCAGAGTGGGCATTGCTGGCACTTGGCCAAATTGAAGGGACCATAATCTGGCCCATGGGTATACACATCCTAAGTTAAAAAGAAGAAAACTTCTGGTTGTCCAAACACCTAGGGGCTAAGTTAGCTCAAGAGCCACAAGTTCAAGACCTCAGAAAAATCTTCTGCCAGGTCTGAAGCACAGGCAAAATTCTTTCCAATCAGTGCTCAGCTCAAGTAAGAAGTTTCGCACCCCTGCCCCAGCCCCTGCCCCTGTTATTGCTTAGTTGCTCAGTCGTGTCCAACTCTTTGCAACCCCATGTGTAGCCCACCAGGCTCCTCTGTCCATGGGGTTTCCCAGTCAAGAATACTGGAATGGGTTGCCATATCCTCCTCCAGGATTTATTCCCAGCCCAGGGATTGAACCTGTGTCCCCTGTATTGGCGGATTCTTTACCACTGAGCCGCAGCCCCTACCTTCCGGGAACTGCCCCAGCCAAACTCCTCAAGCTGCTGCCTAAAGCCTGGGTTGGGGTTGGCAATGGGCCGGGTGGCTTTGATGGCTTCAAGCACGTCCCTCCAGCTTAGCCCCGTCACAGTCATCACATACGCCGTCACGATGGTGGTGCTTCGGGAGATGCCTGCAAAACTGGGACACCACACCCCCAAGACTTCAGGTTAGGCCCAGTCTCCTCTGTGTCCCCTCGGACCAAATCCACACTCAGCTCTCCTACTTTGCCTCCTGAGCTCCAACTACAAGGAACCTACCAAAACCTGTCTTCTCACATCCAAGCTTTGCCTTTGCTGTACCCTCTGCCTGGCATTCACCCACAACAAAGGCCTGAGTGAAACATCACTTTACTCAATCATTCAACACATGTTTTGTGATCATCTGGGATTTTTCAGGTACTGGGGATATAGTTAGGAATAAAACAGACATGGTCTCTGCCAGCCTGGGGCTTATAAGATGGTTGGGAGAGACAAGACACTAACCAGAGAGACAATTTTAGGTAGTGATAACTGCTTTAAAGATGGATCCAGGGGCTAGGAGATGGTATAGGAAGAGGTATTCATCTAGTGGATGGGATGTGGAGGATTAGGGAATGGGTTCCTAAAGAAGTGACAACAAGCTGAATCCTGAAAGATGGGTAAGGATTGTTAAGAATATTCCGGCAGTGTACAAAGACCATGTGAGTGGGATCCAGACGGACTTGAAGAATGGAGAGATGACCAGTGAAGCTGGTCAAGGAGAGAGGTGGAGAGACAGGCTAGAGGAGGTGTCCCTACGGCTAGGGCTCAGGCAGAGCTTCCCTGAAGCAAGCATGGTGAGAAGTCATGGGATGAATGACATCAACAGGGCCAGGGGGTCCTGGGAAAACTCAAAGGTCCCATCTAACAGCCTGGGGCTCCTCACTGCCCTATACTATAGCCTCCAAGGCTGGAGGAGAAGAGGAGCCAGAACTACTGGAGGATGCTGAACTACCTGCAGGACTTCACCTATCCCTCCCAATAGCCCATCAGGTCAACTGTCTGTCCCCGATTTTACAGATGAGAAAACTGAGTCTCAGGGAGAAACAGGTATCTGGCCACAGCTGGGGACTGTCAGATGAATGGTGGACTGGCAGGCATGGTGACAGGCTGCAGAAGACCCATCACAGGCTGCACTCCCTGCAGGATGAGGGTGTGTTCAGGATGGAGGACACTCACTTCCCCTCCCCCCACACCCCTCCTAACTCACCAGTGTACAAGGCAGTTTCCCCCATTGAGGCGGCAACAGTGGATGAAGTTGATACATTCCTTGAAGTGCTTTTTGCTAGAGAAGAAAGCAAGAAGGTACTGAGTGCTGGGGGCGGGCACAGGTCTCCAAGAAGCTGTCCCCACCCCCCACTTCTGGGATGGCAGGAGACAAAGAGCCCTGGGTCCTCAAGTCAGCTGGCATGTGGGGTGACTAGGGGCTGATGCAGCAGTACAGGTGGAGAAGTGTGTGTGCAATAATGGTGGCATTTCAGGCGGGGAGAGAGGCCTTGGATGAAATCCCACCACAGAGGCAGGAGCACCTCCTCAACGGGTCCTGTGGATCCTGTTTTCACGGAGGATTCATCTAGATCTTTCAAGGAAATGGGCGGGAGGAGTCCCACCCCTCTGGGGTCTACAATCAGAGCACCTGGGGACAATAACAGTCAGCAGTGGGGTTGGGAGCAAGATTCCCAAGGGGCAGGAGTGTCTGTCTGGGTCCCCCGCAGGCTGGGGGCCCCTACTACTAATAACACAAACAGTCTTGCTTTCTGAGCCCCCATTACATTCCAGGCCCTGTCTTAGAGCCTCAGCCTGTACCATCTGATCCTTGAAAGTCTCCTGATGATGACAGACCCCCACACCCCACACACCCATTTTCTCTCTCAGAGAGGGGAAGTGATTTGTCCAAGGTCACACAGCAAGTAAATGGCAAAGCCTGGCCTGAACCCAGATTCCTAACTCCAAGGCCAGGAACAGGCTGAGCCTGACCCTTTCAAACCCACGGGGGCATCTGAGCCTGAGGGACAGGGTGCTTTCTCCATTCATGGCTAAGGACACTGAGCTCTTCTGGGAGGTTAAGGCTTGGCCAGCGGCACAGGCAAGGACGTGGCTGAGAGTCAAAGCAGTCAGGGAGACCGCTTGTGCTGGGGTCCCCAGGACGGCTCTGGGGCCCGAGTCTTCTCTGTCTTCTCTCAGGCCACCTCTCACCCGCCCTCCTCCCACCACAGGAGGCAGCTGTCCAGACCGTCCAGAGGAACTTACATGGGTACCTCAGGGGCGTCGGCCACTGAGATGCGAAGGTAGGTTATGTCCTGCAAGTACAAAACACACGTGGGCAGTGGGCAGCCCTTGCCTGCACCCCCTGACCCCAGCCTGGGCCTCCCAAGCACCTCGCGACCCTGGGCCAGTTTCTGCCTCTCTCTGGGCCACTGCTGTTGTCTCTACCCAGAGGATAGACACCTTCTCTGAGAGCCTCTCAGGTCTGACCACCTATGGTTCCAGAACCTTCTGAGAAGATAGTATCCTAACCTCATGGGTGGCTTGGGCACCTGCCAAAAAAAGGCCCAGGGACCTTTTATTTAACAGCTGGGAAAGGGTCACTTAAAGTGACTCCCCTCCATGTGAGGATTACAAAATTACACAGTAAGAAGGGCAGAGTAGATTTTATTATCTTGAAACAAAAACTATGAAGATAAGCTTTTAGTTCATGAACTGTGGTTATAAAACTCTGTGTATGCTAAGGTGCTTCAGTTGTGCCTGACTCTTTGTGACCCCATAGACTGTAGCCCACCAGGCTCCTCTGTCCATGGGATTCTCCAGGCAAGAATACTGGAGTGGTTTCCCATGCTCTCCTCCAGGGCATCTTCCCAACTCTGTACTAATTATTAAAATAATCAAGGTATGAATTGCCAGTAATTTCTCCAACAAACGTGCTCTGACATCATGCCCAACCTTCACACAAGATCTTAAAGATGAGTTCTGCCCACATTCCAAGAGGCACTTTTCTCAAGGACCTCTCTTCGTCCTTTGATATTCAAATGGCTCTTTTCAAGGGCCTGGCCCACCTCCATCCAGTGACTAAGGGACCCCCTGGCCAGGTCCTCATCTGTTAGTGGCTTGTGTGAAATTCCAGCCTTTCTCTATAACGCGCCCTCCCCAAGGTCACTTGAGCCTGCATCTTTTGCAAGGTTTGCAATTTCAGTTTGCAACACAATCAGCCTTGAACTTCTTGGGCATTATCAAACCCCGACTGGTAAATTCTCTGATGGATGGAGAGGGAGATGCTGATGACGAGAGGGGAGGGCTATGGGAGCAAGGACTCATTTTGCTAGCTATCATTTCATTAGTAAATATAGTCATGCCTAGAGAGCATCCCCAGGCACTCTAGTGACTGCATTCTCAAATACTCCAAAACAAGCCTCTCCTATAAAGCAAAAACAGACTCCACTGACCTGGAAATTTCTTCTTCAAATGACACTGAGAACCAAAGATTATCAGAGGTTGCTCTTAGAGACCATCAAATCTGACACAAGGGGAAACTTAGGCCCAGAGACGGGGAGGGCCCTGCCCAAGGTCACAGAGCAAGTCTGTGACAGAAGCGGGGCTGGATCTCAGATCTCCAGAGCCCCTTTCTACCCACTGTTCCTTCCCTTCAGTGGGTGACCCAGACCCTAACAGATAAGAAGGAAGGGGCTCTGTTTATAGGTTGAGAATATGATTAACTTTGTTATTATATCAGCTATAATTTATTGAATACTTATTATGTGGCTCTCAACAGCCCAGTGGGGTAGGAACTGTTATAAAATTCCCCTTTTTCAGACACCTGACGTCTAGAGAGGTGAAGTCCTGGGCCCAAGGTTCCAGAGAGAACATGGTCAAGATATGAATTCAGACCTCTGGACTCTAGCACATGTGGTCTGCATTTCCTCCTTTCCTGCTTTAGGTCATAACCCTCACCCTGTCTTTTCCAGGACTTGATAATACCAGCACCAACCCTCCCAGTGGAGGCCAGTGTGCAAAGCATCTTCACCATTTCGCAGCTCCCTGGGGACAGACAGGGCTGAGGGATCAGAGGCCCAGATGGGTAAAATCGTAGCCTCAGGTCACAAGTAAGATGCAGAGCCCAGAATCATCTATTCAGTTGGACAATGGCAAGCCCCTGTGAGGACCCAGCTCCTTAGCTAAGGAGCTAAGCTTCCTGGATGTGTGGCCTTAGGCAGGTTACTTTACCTCTCTGGTCCTCAGTTGCCAAAGAGGGAGCAAGGAGGCGTGCTAATGGAAAACAGATCAGTTTTTAACCAAATGAGTTAGCTTGGCTCAGGAAGACCCATGTGCCAGAATAGGACCTGGCACCTAGTCGGTACTTGATAAATGGGTGCTGTGGGGGTGTAAAGCACCCCTCCCCCTCTATGCACAGCCCTGGGGTGGGGGTAAGGCATACCTGCAACAGAGGCTGGGGTGACTCATGGATGGAGATGATGTGTGTGATCTTATTCCGGCCTAGCTGATCTGTGTCTTTGGCATCTGAAAGAAACAGGATGTCTGAGCCAATCTGGCAGGTGTGATTTACATGTTCCGACAGTCAAGTGAGGCAGGAGCTCACCACCCTGCTCTCCTCCTGGTCCCTCCCTCTCCACCTTTGCCCACCCTCAGCTAGTGCCCTGCTCCCTCGCCACCTCTTGCCCCCAGCATGACAGGTCCCACCATACCCCTAGGCTTCAGTCTTACCACTGGGGTACCCACAGGTAACAGTCCAGCACCTCCTCAGCTTTGCCCCGCCCTGTTCTTCCCATGGCAAACACTCCTTCCTGGCATATTCTTGACCAGGCAATTCTACTTTTAGGAATCTTGACTACAGAAGAATGAACTCACACGGAAAACTGTGTGGGAGAAGACCATGTTCTCTCCTTATGACCGTGAACACATCAGAAATAGTTAAAATGGGAACAACCCAAAAAGGGACTGGATAAATAATGGTATATTCATACTTGAATACTCTGCAGCCACTAAAAGGATCTCTACGTGCTGACGTGCAAGGAGGTCCACAATATATTATTAAATGCGAAACACAGGCTACAGAATAGCATGCAGAATAGACTTCCATTTTTTGTTTTAAATAGTGTATCTGTATCTACAAAGTTAAATGAAACATGACCCAGGGAGATGCCCACCACAGCTCTCAGTGACCATCATAGGGGCTGGATTCCCAGCGTATGAAGCTCTTTTATCAGCAAAGTAAATAACACTCTATCTCCACTCCATGCCCACTTCATCATCCACCACATTGGCTGTTTATTATGTGCACCCTTGGCTGGGCATGGCACTGTGGGGTCAACTTCATGACCCCTGCCCTCATGGGCCTACACACTTTAAAAGGATTCAGATCTTACTTACCAAACATTCAGAAGTCGATGTGGTGTGAGCTGCTGAGGAAGCTCCCAGGGAGGAAGGGACTAGGGTTTAGGAGAGAGGGAGCCCCTAAGCCCAGGGAGGACAGGATGGGGGAGAAAGCTCTGCCCCAGGCAGATGTCCCTCCCTCCCCGAAGCTTTCTCTGGCTCCACCGATGGAAGTGACTTCTCCTGCCTCGGGTCTCCCGAGCTCCAGACCAGCCTGTGCCTTAGCACAGGTCTGGGACAGGCAGAGTGCCGTGGCCTTGGGACAGAGTGGGCAGTGCTCACCAGTGAAGTTTCTGAGGTAGAGTCCAGTCTCTAGAGACCTCTCCTCTGAGGAGGTTGTGCCAGGAAGTGTTCCCAGCTTCCCAGCTAGAAGCAACACCTCCAAACAGACCTCAACCCAGAACCTCAAGACCAGAAAAACCCTTAGAGGCGGGGGTAGGCCTGTGCTGAGGCAGACGCTGAGGCTCCCAGCAGGTGCAGGCTTGCCCGGCGTCCAGTGCTCTGAGCCCTTTGCACTGGGGCCGCTCCTCCACCCTCGTCCCCCTGAGACCTCATGAGTTCTTCCCTGCTCCCAACCTGGCATCACTCCCCTGCCCCCAGCCCCATTCCTGAGCATGTCCAGGGTGTGTGGGCCGAGCATGAATGGTGGACACAGGCCTGGGACAGGGAGCGTGCCAGGGCCTTGGGACAGAGTGGGCAGTGCTCACCAATGAAGTTTCCGAGGTACAGTCCAGGAAGTACCTACAGGAGAGACAGGCAGAGGGTCAGCCAGCAGGGGTGCATGACAGGTCCCCTGAGACTCGGGAAGAGTGTCTGACCCTCAGGGCTCAAGGAGCAGAGTCCTCTTTCTTATGGGCCGGGACTCACCCTCTGTGAGAGGGGTCTAGGGAGGGCGGCCGAGGCGGGCCAAGGGAGGCCAGCTTGGGTGGGGGGAGAGGAAAAAGGAGGGGCGCGCAAAGACCTAGGGAAAGATAGTGGAGGAGCACAGGGAGGGGCGAATGGAGAGGTGGGCTTGGCAGGTGGCAGGTAGGTGGTGGAGAATTCCGACAGGGGGGCGGTGGGAAGGACGGGCAGGTGGGGGGGCTGTGCAGAGGCATGGGGGTGTGGGGGTCCGGGTGGGGAAGGATGGAGAAACAGCACTAGAGAGTCCAGGGGGACAGAGCCAAGGAAGACAGAGACACATGGAGACAGGGAAAGGGACTCAGGGTGAGATAGAGCCTAGGGTTGACAGAGAGCCACAGAAAGACACAGCAAGAAATACAGAGTCACAGAGACACGGAGAGACAGTCAGAGACAGAGACACAGCCCAAGAGAGACAGACATTGAAGTCTGCTCTCAGAGTCCCGGGGAGACGGAGAAATACACACACACAGCCAGCCGGAGCCAGAAGGTCAGAGGCCGGCGCCCGGCCGGGGCTGGGGGCGGCCAGGGGCGGACTGCGCCATCTCGGCCCCCTACCTTGGTCATACCATTCCCCATGATCCCGGGGACGGGGTTCCGGGAGCACCCCCAGCTCGCCACCCGCTGAACGCAAGGGTAACAGCTGCCCTGACGGCCCGGGCCCGGCGCCTGCAGCCTGGCGGGGATCGGGGGGCCCGGCGTCCGCAGCTTGGCCCAGCTCTGCCCAGCCGCCGCCGCCGCCGCCGCCCGCCGCCCCCCGGCCAGGGAGGGAAATGCTGGAGCCGCCGCCGCCGCCACAGGCTCCTCCTACCCACTCGGTCATGTGGGCCGCCCCCCCCCACCCGTGGGTCGCGGCGGGGGGCTGGACAAAGCCCCAGTGTGCCGGGCCCGGGGCCCGCGGGACAACGACAGCTTGTTGGGGCCGCGTGGGGCCTCCACCTCCGGAGGTGGGGGTGGGGGCGCTCCCCCCGCCCTGGCACCGTCAGGCTCGGGGAGGGGAGGGCGGCGGATGGGGGCGGAGAGAGCCCCCCAGCCGCGGGGCCCAGAGACGTGGATCCCAGTTCCGGCTCGGCCCGGCCCTCCCTATGGGGCCCTGGGGTAAAACGCCGGGCTTCTTCGGCCTCCTCGGTTTTCTGGTAGAAACGTGACGGGGGCTGGATTTGGATCGCTAGGGGTCCTCTGATCTTCAGATTCTGTGTGAGGCGAGAAAAGTGGGTAATTCCTTCCCTTTGTACACCCTCCTGCCCTGCCCCCATGCAGACATCCTACCCGCCAGCCATTCTCCTCCCAGCCTCCTGCAGCTGGTCTGTCTCCCATCCTCCACTCCATCCATTCACTGGTCCGTCTGTCCATTCATCCAGTCATCCTCCCGTCTCTTCCTCTCATACTCTGGCCTCTGAGGAGGGTATCATCTGGGTCAGCTTCCCTGGGGCCAGGCATAACTCTACTTAGGAGCTCCCATAAATCAGAGGTGCATGTGAGGTGAGGGAGATGAGTGAGGGTTATGGTCACCTGAGTCCTTTGAAGTAAAGGAGACTGCGAGAGGATGTAGTGAGAGGCAGGAGTCTGGAAAGGTGGGTATGGAGACCAAGGTTCCAGGCCCTATTCATTCACCTATGACCTGTGCAGTGACCCTGGGCAAATCCCCCTGGGCTCCCAGCTACTGACTGTATGTCTTAGTGTGTTATTACTGGGACCAAAGCTGGAGAATGCAAAATAATTGAGAGCACACACCTCCTGGGGGACTGAAATAGTAGCCCCCAAACCAGCTCTGCTCCTCCAGCAGTCACCTGCCCGTCTCCATCTACAGTAGTGGGTGACTGCAGGAGGAAGGTGGGGACAGAGTCCACGGAACCTGCTTGAAATACAGTGACTGGAGGAAAATAAAAGTGTTTCTTTCTTCCTCAAATTTGCAGTGTACATAGAACTGCCTATCTCAGCTGTGTGTCCAGGGTTCTCATAAAAACTAAATTATCCAACAGATACTTAGTACCCTCTATATGGTAGTGACACAGAGGTAGGTAAGGTGGTGGTGGTTCCTACCTTTTTGGCTAATAGCCTAGAACGGCATTGCCCAGTAGGAATACAATGCAAGCCACGTGGGTTATCATAAATTCTCTAGTAGCCACATTAAAAATATAGAAAGAAGCAGGTTTTATTTGACCCAGGATAGCAAAAATATAATCATTTCAATGTGTAGTCAATAGTTAAACATTATTAATGACATATTTTACTTTCTTTTAATTGTATTCCGTCTTCAAAATCCAGTGTATATTTTACACTTGGAGCACATCTCAGTTCAGATTAGCCACATGTCAAGTGCTTAATGCCATATGTGGCTGGTAGCTCCATATTGGATATCCAGGCTAAGAAGGAAGGCAAACAAAACAACAAATAGACAAAAAGCATTTGTAAACAGTGGACATGTGCTATGGAAGAAACAAAATGGGGGACAGGAAGAACTCTAAACAGGTGACATTTGAGATAAGATCTGATGTGTAAGAAGGACATGGGTGTTTAAAGAGTGGTTTCCAGCAGAAGGAACAGCACAAGCAAAGGCTCTTTGGTGGGAAAGCTTGGCCTTTGGCAAGAGTCAGTAGGACTGGAGGGGAGGAGGCCAGAGGGAGGTGGTAAGTATGAGGCTAAGGAGGAGAGAGAGAAAGAACATGTGTGGCTATGATTGGGTGTTTATAGTTTCCTTCTCAGCATGATGGAAAGCCTGACAGTAAAATTTTAACCTGAGAGGCCATGTCATCTGATTTACATGGATCACCCTGGTCCCTAACTGGAGTGTAGATTAGAGAGTCAAAGAAGGGAGGTTTTCAGGAGAGATGGTGAGAGATACAGTACCTTGGGATAAGTAGGAGCTGAGAAGCTGGAAAGTGTTGAGGCAGTCAAAGCGCCAGTTGGAAAAGAATTTTCAGACACAGGGCATTTCAGAATGGAGTCAGTTTATTAAGAACAAACAGCAGGTTTTGCGACCGCCATTTCTTCCGCCTTCAGTCTCTGGATCTTTTGTAGAGCTTCCAACAGCGCTGTGTTGGGACAGAGCATACGGAGGTTCACAACCTCTGTGGTTTGTCGGAGCCACTACGAGGAGGGTCCAGGGAAGAATATACCATTTTCAGTGGAAAACAAGTGGAGTTTACTAGCTATGATGACTTTGCTCTTTGGGTTTGGATTTGCTGCGCCCTTCTTTATAGTAAGACACCAACTGCTTAAAAAGTAATCCATGAGACAGATAGGAAGAGGAACATATTAAGAGGTGCAATCTATTAAAAGGATCAAACCCTTGAACTCAGCATCCTAGATATGTTTGTAAATAAACTTACGGCATAAATCCTTAACGCCTCTTCTTTGAAATATGGAACATGATAATTGAACACTTGCTTACATTTTATTTGGGTAATATTGCATTATTATTTTCTTGATTAAATATGTGTTTGATTTAGCTTGTTTAAAAAAAAAAAAAAGAACAAACAGCAGAGATAAAGTGGGCACTGTGAGCTCATTTGGGGCAACCTCCTGACAGCCCAGGGAAAGTCGACAGTTTTCATGGGTTAATAGCCAATTTTTATAGTCTCAAGACAAAGAAAATTCCTGCTGGACAGTTGGTGTTAGGTGATTGGTTGGGGTGTAATAAGGTGTTTACTGGAGTGGGCATCTTTGCTTAACTGGGAGTCAGGAAGCTTGTTAGTGACTATCAGGGGGCTTTTGGCAAGGTTACAAAGGGGCTCAGTCAGCTTCGGAGGTGATCTTGATTCTGGACTCTGTTTCTGTGGCCTTGGGGCGGGACTCAACAGAAAGAAGGGGACAGATGCAGCACATGTTAGTATTTTGGCAGCATAGCTGACTTGCACATAGACTAGATATGGGGAACAGGAAGGAATTCTAGGATGACCCCCAGTTTTCCTGCCTTGAAAATCACTATCTGTGCCTGAGAAGTAAAAGCATGGCTATTTATCCATTCAATAAATATTATTTATTGGGCCCTAGGTTACACATGAAATATAGGGCCAAAGACGTATGATTTGAGTTTCCCAGAATATCCCACCACACAGATAGCTTAAAGAAATGCCTAAAATGGGGCCTGAAGTCCAGTTCCTCTTCATGACCCTGGCCTTAACAGCTGTGTGAACCTGGGCAGGTGACCAAAAGCCCAGGGTCTGTTTTCTCATTCATATGGGATTAGTTACCGCATAGCCCTCTGTTCCTCTATTTGACTTTCTCAAAGCACATGTGGGAAAGAACTCTACCACATTAAAAAGCCCTGGGAAAATGTAGTTATTAGACTTAACACATTTAATATCTATGTACTGTTCAGCCTTTGAAAGTGTTAGTTGTTACAAAGCTAATTTGCCTTAAATGAGTCACGAAGTGACAGTTTTCTAAAACCAATAATAACGTGAAAATGCTAAAATGCAGTTCTCACCTTGTCTTTCCTTGCTTAGAACCATTTGGTGGTTCACCATGGTAGGCAAATTAATGGACAAAAATGTCCATTCTCTAATTCCTGAAAATTGGGAACATGTTATATTATGACGGAATTAAGGCCGCAGATGGAATTGAATTTGCTATCAGCTGACTGTGAGATGGGGAGATTAGCCTGGATTGTTCGGGTGGGTCCAGTGGAGCCACCTTGGATTCACATGTAAGAATCCTTGTAAGTGAAAGAGAGAGGCAGGAGTATAAGAGTCAGAGGGGATGTGACGACAGTATCAGAGGTCACAATAGTATGATTTCTGGCTTCAAATATGGAAGGGGGCCGTGAGCCAAGGAAGACAAAACAAAGAAATAGATTCTCTCCTAGAGCTTCCAGAAGGAACTCAAGCCTGCCAACACCTTCATTTTAGCTTAGTGAGACCCATTTCAGACTTCTGACCTCAAGAACTATGTGCTAATACATTTGTATTGTTTTAAGTCACTCAGTTTATGGTAATTACAGCAGCAATAGGAACCTAATACACTCAATGTCCTTGGGAAAAAGTCCAACCTGCTTAGCACGGCACGCAAAGCCTGTTGGATCGGCTTCTACCACTGTGTCTTGGAGCAAATTTCTTAACTTCTACAGGCCTCAGATTTACTATCTATAAAACGAGGAGGGAAAAAGCCCCTCTAGGTCTGTAGCAGGATTAAAAGTAAGGACATATTTAAAGTATCTACTAGAGAGACTGCACACAGCACATCATCACCATTATTATCATCATTATTGTTATTATTATTATTATCACAGAACAATTGACAGGGTGTTAGGAGGCCTGGGTTCTACTGCCTTCACTAGGGCTCTGTTTCCACATCTGTGAAAAAGGAAACAAACAAAAACATCCAGTTTTGGCTGCCTCATCATTCGTCTCTTCGCTCTTTTCTGGCCATTGATCTTCATTCACTTCCTCAAACGTGTTTTACTCTGTCTTCCAGTTTTGTACATGCTGTTTTCTCCTCCTGGAATGCCCTTCCCGTTCCCATTACCAGATGAACTCCTATTTACTCCTGAAAGTCTCTGCTGACTCCAGTTAGAGTTGGTTAGACCCCACCATTGTGCATTCCCAAAGTATCCTAAATGTCATCTCTCATAGTACTGATTTTCTGTTATTGCTATGGCTTGTTTTTCATTTAGAAAAAAACCTGAAAAACAAATTCAGGTAAGAATATTTTGACATATTTGCTTCAACTGGGTTATTAAAAAAAATTCCAAATAAACTTGACATAGTTGAAGTTTCTTCTTCTCTTTCCTCATCTTTAATTCTTTCCCCACAGGCAATACTGTCATGAATTGGGTGTGCATCTTTCCAGTCTGTGTTTTTAAACTTGTAATACCTATATACCTGTAGTATATAGAATATACTTTTGTATGTGTGTTTATATTTAACACAAATAAACCTTTAAAAATATTTATCCTTCTACAACTTTCTTTTATTGACCCAAAAATAGGTTTGGAGGATATTTTCATGTTGATATAGAGCTGGGTCATTAATTTTTATCACTATGTAGTATCTTATTATTAAAATATATCACATTTTATTCATCCATCACAATACTAGTGGACATGTAAATCATTTCTAATATTTTGCACTAATACAAAGAATGTTTTATATTATATGCAAAGAACATCTTTATACATACAAGTGTAAGAACTTGTATGTATACAAGTAAGAGCCCTTACACAAGTGTAAGAACTTCTTTAGGGAAGGTTGTCACCTTGCACATTAGCTGCAAAATGAAAGGTAGTTCATAGGTCTTGCGGCTGTATTCAAAGAGCATATGTTCAGTAGTTGAATTGATGGGTTGTGAGGTGTGTGCCTTTTCAATTTATAAGATATTACCAAGTTGCCTTCCAAAGTGTGAATGTACCAGCAGCGTATAAAGATTCCTGTTTCCCAACATGCTCACAAACACTTGGCATTGATAAATGTTTTAATATTTTTCTGGTTGATGTAGTTAAAACCATATCTTATAATTATTTTTATGTATATATCTCAATTGCTTATTAGTGATTTGAGTTTCTTCTACTGAAAGTCCCCAGTTGTGTATTTTATCCACTTTTCTTTTGCAGGTTGTGGGAGAGAGTCCTTTTCTTAATAGTTTGCAAGAGTTCTTTGAATACTATCCCTTTGTTATACAGGTTGAAGATTTTTACTCCTAATCTGTAGCTTGTCTTTTAGTCCAGTATATAATGACTTGTGTTATATGGTGAAGAAGGCAATGGCAATCCACTCCAGTACTCTTGCCTGGAAAACCCCATGGACGGAGGGGCCTGGTAGGCTGCAGTCCATGGGGTCGCTAAGAGTTGGACACGACTGAACAACTTTACTTTCACTTTTCACTTTCCTGCATTGGAGAAGGAAATGGCAACCCACTCCAGTGTTCTTGCCTGGAGAGTCCCAGGGACGAGGGAGCCTGGTGGGCTGCCATCTATGGGGTCGCACAGAGTCGGACACGACTGAACTGACTTAGCAGCAACAGCAGTGTTATATGGCAGTATAAATTTTGAGAAAGTCACAGATCAGTTTCTCCCTTATGAGTTGTGGTTTATTAAAAAAATCATACTCCACAGTTGATCTTTGAATAACATGAATTTGAACTGGGCATGTCCACTTATTTGCAGATATTTTTCAATAAAAGCATAATACAGTACTATACAATCAGAGATTGGTTGAATCCAAGGTTGTAGAACTGTCTACAAGAAGGGCCAAGTGTCATGTTATAGGCGGTTTTTCAACTGCTTAGAGGTTGGTGCCCCTAACTTCTGCATCATTCAAGGGTCAGTTGTAGTCTGAAATATTTGCTTGCCATATTTATTCTTTAATCTACTTGAATTAGGCATCAATTTTTTACTCCTATGGAAAGCCAGTTTCTCAGTGCTGTTTATTGAGTTCTCCACCCTTTCCCTACGGATTTATGATTTCACCTCTATCGTACATCAGTACAGAAAAACTCATGTCTATTTCTAGGATCCCTATTGTATTCCATTAATATTTGCCTCTTTGTACCATATGTGACTTGATAAGCAGAGAAATATCTCCCTTCCCCAACACATAAACTTTGTTGTTTGGGTTTGACAATCACTCTCAAAAATCCTTGATTAGATTTGGGAAAATACATGTCTTTATGATATTGAGTTTTCCCATCCATGGGATATCCCTCCACGTATTCAGGCCTTCTTTAATGTCCTTCAATAACGTTTTGTAATCTCTCTATGAGAATATTAACTCCACAGTCTTTGTTTTGTTCACTGTTGTATCCTCAGAGTCATACAGTAGATGCTTAATAAAAATTTGTTGTTTGATGAAATGTCTTTCATTTATTTTGTTAGATATATTCCTACATATTTTTATTGCTATAACATAACAACAACAAAAATTGTTTAATAGTTTCTAATCAGCTATATAGATATAGGTATATAGATCCTGGGGCAGTGGGAAGTAAGCAGGGAAGGACGTGGAGCCAGTACAGGGTGCAGTGAGGAATAAATGGCCCGGTTATAGGCAGGGGAGAGACAAGATCAGGTTTGTGTTTTAAAGAGCTCTTTGCCAGCAGTGCAAAGACTGAACTGGAATGGATAGGGCAAAGTGGGCACTCCTAGAGGGTCAGGAGGCTACTGCAGACGTTGAGGTGAGTCCTGGCATTGAGTTAGTGCCTAAGAATTAGAGTGACTGAGAGAGATCAAGAGTGACTGATTGGCCACGTGAGCAACTGACCAGGTGACTTTGTGAGGGACCGAGTAAGGAAACTTAGAACCGTCGCATTGACCAAAAACTGACAACTTTTCAGATGCAGGGCTATTAGGTCAACCGAAGTGCAGCCGCAGGAGACACGAGGCGTGAGTGCCCTCGGCTGGCAGCCAGTCTCCAGCTAGGTCGCGGAGGCATAGGGCTAGGGGAGAAAGTTTTAGGGATTAGAGGGGTCTGGGCCGCCTTGGCACGCAACGGCTTCTGAGCTGGGGTCTGTGAGTTGCGCGGAAAGGAGTTTCCTAACCTCATCCAATCAGAACTGCAGAGCCCCTCCGTCGCCTTGGCAACAGGACGCTAAGGCTCTAGCCAGACAAAGTGGCGGTTTGGATCGCGCCCTGAGGAATCCTATCATGTCACGACCGAAGGTAGGCGTGCCCCTCGATCCAGATGGTTCATTGTCCCTAGAGAGGGAGAGAAATCGAAGAGAGGTTCAGAAGTTGAGGAGTCCTAGTGGAGGGATTCCCGTTAGCAAGGAAGAAAATGACGCGCTCAGAGAAAAAACTACAAGTCCCGGCATCCTGCGCAACGCCGGAGTTTCAGTGCGAGTTCAAGAAACCTGGTTTGCCGGCCAGAAATGTATGAAACTCTAGGATTCTAAACTATAGTCAGTGATTTCTGTGACTACGTGGAAAGCTCAGAATTACGGATTTCCTGACCTGGAAAAGCTCTTTAGAGATCTATTTACCCCGTCGGCCGCTTGCAACTCTCTCATCCATCCATCCCCCAAACGCTAATTAGTGTTTTTTAGAGGCCAGCCCAGTACTGGCCAATGGAGAGGTGAAACGGACAAGCCCCTGCACTCTAGGAGAGCACAGACCAACGCCCCCATTTCAAAAGTGGTAGAGATTTCTAATCTGGGAAAGATTAGACTCAGAGAAAAGAATGAATTACTTTAGAATCCAGTTGTCCCACCCGGCCTGCTTCTTACCCCGTAAATGGCACTTCCATTTCTTTATTTCGATCCCTGAATTGGGAAGATGCCCTGGAGAAGGAAATGGCTACCCAAGGACTGGAGAATTCCATGGACTGTTAAGAGTTGGACACGACTGAGCGACTTTCACTTTCAGAGCAAAAATATAAGTGATTATCTTGGGCCCACCCAAATAATCCAGGATAATGTCTCTATTTTCAAGTCAGTTGATTCCAAACCTTAATTCCACTTGCAACCTTAATTTCCCTTTGCCATGCAATCCCAAATGTCACAGTGGTAAAGAATCCCACCTGCCAATGCAGGAGACGTTGGAGATACGGGTTCCATCCCTGGGTCGGGAAGATTCCCTGGAGTAGGAAATGGCTACCCACTCCAGTATTCTTGCCTGGAAAGCTCAGTAGACAGAGGAGCCGGGCTGGCTACAGCCCCTGGGGTCCCAAAGAATCGGTCATCAGTGAACACACACGCACCTGACATATTTACAGGTTCTGGGGATTAGGACATGGACACATTTTGAGGGAGCTTTATTCTGTTTCAGTTCAGTTCAGTCGCTCAGTCATGTCCTACTCTTTGCGACCCCATGAACTGCAGCATGCCAGGCCTCCCTGTCCATCACAAACTCCGAGTTCAGTCAAACTCATAGCCATCGAGTCTGCAATGCCATCCAGCCATCTCATCCTCTGTCATCCCCTTCTCCTGCCCCCAATCCCTCCCAGCATCAGGGCCTTTTCCAATGAGTCAACTCTTTGCATGAGGTGGCCAAAGTACTGGAGTTTCAGCTTCAGCATCAGTCCTTATTCTGTTTACCATCAAATAATTGGAAAGTGAAAATTTACAATGTATCAAAAAATCAAATGTCTAAAAATAAATGTAATTAAACATGTTCAAGACTTCTATACTGAAAACTAGAAAACAGTGGAAAGAAATTGAAAACTTAGATTAATAGAGATAGACCATATTCATGGAATAATGCACTCAATCATTTATGATGTCACTTCTTCCCAAAATGATCTGTACATTCATTATAGTCCCAACAAAAATACCAATATACTCTTTTGATAGAAGTTAGCAAGAGGATCCTAAAATTAATACTGAAGTTCAGAGGACCTCAACTTGTAAAGACAGTCTTGAAAAAATCAGACTTACTCAACTTGATTTCAAGATTTACTAGAAAACTATGGTAATTAAGGCAGTGTGGTCGGGACATAAGAGTAGACAAATAAGTCAATAGAACAAAATAGAGTCTAGAGATAGACCCACATATATATAGCCAATTGAATTTTGACAGAAGAGGCAAGACAATTCAGTGAGAAATGGGAAATTTTTTTCAAGCAAAGACTCTGGAGCAGCTGTGTAAGCATACATAAACATGTGAGGATATAAAAGATATTATGAAAAAAGATTAGAACACTTGACTAGGGGAATTAGAGGGGCTTGATTGAAACAGGATAAAATTACTCTTGCTTTTGTGGGGGGCTTACTTCTGCAGATTTTGTAAAACAATAACCTCTAGCCCTTCCTACTGGCTTTTTGAGGGGTAGTATTGTGTAGTAGGGGCTTCCCTGATAGCTTAGCTGGTAAAGAATTCACCTGCAGTGGAGGAGACTCAGTTCGATTCCTGGGTCAGGAAGATGCCCTGGAGAAGGGATAAGCTACCCACTCCAATATTCTTGGGTTTCCCTGGTGGCTCATAGGGTTAACAATCTGCCTGCAATGCAGGAGACCTGGGTTCGATCCCTGAGTTGGAAAGAGCCCCTGGAGGAGGGTATGGCAGCTCACTCCAGTATTCTTTCCTGAAGAATCTCCATGGACAGAGGAGCCTGGGGGGCTACAGGCCATGGGGTCACAAAGCATCGGACATGACTGAGCGACTAAGCACAGCACAGCACAGCGTTCTGTGGTAGGCAGAATTCTAAGATGGCCCCCAAGATTCCCACCTTGGGTGTACACACCTTGTATAATGCCCTCCCCTTGAGTGTCGATGGAGCCTGTGGCTTTGATGGGATAGTTATTACCATGTTGTATGCGCCTCCATCATAGCCAACTTGGAGTGGGAGAAGGGTTAGAATCAGAGGGATATGCTTTTGTTGGCCTGGAAGAAAGTAAACATCCATGTTTTGAACTGCCTAAGGGGGCCACTTCAAAAGGAACTGCAAGCAGCCTCTAGGAGCTGAGAGCAGTCCCAACCAATGATTAGCAAATAAACAGGGACCTCAATTGTACAACCCTAAATAACAATTCTGCCAACAATCTGGATGATCTTGGAAGAGGACCCCAAACCCTAGAGGAGAAACATAACCACAGCCATCACCTTGATGGTAGCCTTGCAAGACCTGAGCAGAAGATCCAGCTAAGATGTGCTCAGACTGACTCCTGGTCCAAGGAAGCTGTGGGACATAGATCTGCACTGCTTTAAGCTACTATGTTTGTGGTAATTTGTTATGCAGCAATAGAAAACTAATACAGATGGTTCAGTCCAAGGTGCATAGGTCATCTTGCATAAGACCAATTTCTGATTCTCCTTTCACACCTGCCTTAGGGATCAGTCATACCAGGACTGGGGATCAAACTGTTTTGGACATAGTTGTAGGAGATAATATCCCAAATACCCTTTGAGGATTTGGAAGGTCCATTTTGAGTCAAAGCAATTAACATTGCTCTTAGTCATTAACCCAGCTCCTCCTGAATCATGGGTCTAGTCAAACATTCGATGTTATAAAAGGTCCAGATCCTACTGAGTTCAGCCCTCATACTGGGGTTCATGGTTGGACATTTGAAACACTTAAAACTGGGTTTTCACTATACGGTCATATCTGGAGTAAGCCTAGAGTGACGTGGACCCTTGGATCCTTGGGGGTTCATTCCAAGGACCAAGTTTCTGGGTACATGCTAACCAGTGAGAACTTTGCCAGGCTAAACCTTCCTGTCATAGCATCTGTGCAGTGCTGAGTCTGATAGTTTGAAAATTTTAATATCTGCAGTAAGTTGAGCTGGAAAAACAGAATGGAAATGTATAAAATTATATCACTTTCATTTTCTCGTTGCAGAATCAAAATTACAAGGGCCATGGATTGCCAAAAGGAAAAGAACGGTGAGTGGTCCCACCCAGTCCAATAAACCCAGAACTAATTGCAGCCCTCCTTCCTTCCCTTTGTCCATCTCTCCCTTCCCCCTTCTTTACTTTGATAATGATAAGAATAATGATAATAAACAATTAGCAAGCACTTTCCAGGCCCTGGGCTTGTTTTTTCACTTGCTTATCTCAGTGAATCCTGACCACAATTCTTTGAAGTAGATAACTACTATTCTGTCCATTTTACAGATGGGGATTCTGAAACTCCGAGAAGCTGTTACTTGCTCAAGACTGTAGGATCTGTTAGTGGCAGAGCTTGTTGGTCTCCACAGACCATGTTGTATCTGTGTTCCCATGCCTTGTTCAACAACCATGTGAAGTTGACTTGATAACTCAAATGACAAATCCATTCTAAATTTCTGCACCACTCTGCAACAGTAACCTGGGTGCAGAACTCAGCATCTTTTTAGATTTCTTAAACAGAATCCACATGCACAAAGCAGGAGTGAGCAATGCAGACTTTACTGAAGATTTTTGTGGGGAGTTAAAGAGGTAGTTACATTGCACACACCATGGCCATTCTTTTAGAATTTTCTTTTTTCATTTAGATATTTCTATTTTTTCTAAAGTCCTTCCTGACTATACCACTATTGGGGAGGGCACACATGGTCTCTGACCTTTCTCTCATGCAGCAACCATCTTCTTTGCTTTCTGTCTATATGTACTGACTCCTTTCCACCAATTTTAAACCTTTCACTCTTGCACACAGAGCGATTCCACTATGTTGCAGATCCTGACCCCAAACTTACACGTCTGCTCCCACCTCAACAAAACAAAGAGCACTTCTGATAGCAGAAACCATCCTTCAGTTTTATTCAGTTCAGTTCAGTCACTCAGTCATGTCCGACTCTTTCTGACCCCATGGACTGCATATGTATGTTGCCATGGATTTCATGTATGTTATATTGTTTGATATTATCCTGTAAGGCGCTGAGATCTGTTGTTCTAAATTTTTTCTTTCTTTAATTCAGATTGAATAATTTCTATTGTCCTGTCTTCAAATTTACTATCTTTCAATTGTTTTCTAGCTTTACTGAGATGCAATTGGCATATAGTATTGTGTAAATTTAAAGTGTATAATGTGATGATTTGATACACATCACATATATATTGTAAAATGTTTACCACAATAAGGTTAGTCAACACATCCGTCACCTCACATAATTACCATTTTGTTGTTGTTGTTATAGTGAGAACACTTAAGATCTACTGTTAACAACTTTCAAGCATATCATACAGTATAGTTACCATGCTATACATTAGATCCTCAGAACTCATTTCTCTTATAACTGGAAATTTGTACCCTTTGACTAACATTACTGTCCTTTCTTCGATAATATCCTATCCCCTGTTAAATTTATCCTATGAATTTTTAATTTCAGATACTGTAATTTTCAGTTTTAGATTTTTCCATCTTGGTTCCTTTTTAGACTTTTAATATCTTTTCTGCAATAACTCATATATTTACTTATTATATCCATCTTTTCATATAGATTATTAACATATTTATAGTATCTGTGTGAAGTCTTAATCTAATAACTCCAATAATTGGGTCACTTATGAGTTTATCTCAATTGGCTGTTTTTCCTCTTGATTATGCATTACATTTTTCTGCTTTATTATTGCATGTCTTATATTTTTTATATTCCATTCTGCACATTGTGTGTAAAAAATAGCGAAGACCAAACAAATTATACACACCCACTTCCACACCCACATATATTTGTGTACATGTGTTTGTGTACAGGCATATATACTTTTATTAGACTTTGCTTTGTTTCACTTTACAGATACTATGTATTTTTTTGCAAATTGAGGGTTTGTGGCAACCCTACATTGACCAAGTCTATTGGTGCCGTTTTCCAGCAGAATTTTCTGCCTTTGTGTCTGTGTCACAATTTGGTAATTCTCACATTTCAAATTTTTTCATTATTATTATATTTATTATGAGAATCTGTGACCTTTGATGTTACTACTACACCACACTGAAGACTCAAATGACGGTTAGCATTTTTTTAAAGAAATAAAGTATTTTAAAGATTTTTTATTTACATATTTATTGATTCATTTTATTTTTTGTTGTGCTAGGTCTTCATTGCTGCACATGGGCTTTCTCTAGTTGTGGCCAGTGGGGACTGCTCTTCGTTGTGGTGCACGGGTTTCTCTTGCTGCTGAGCGCAGGGTCTAGGCACGTGGGCTTCAGTAGATGTGGATCAAAGGCTTAGTTACTCCAAGGCATGTGGGATCTTCTGAGATCAGGGGTCGAAATCGTGTACCCTGCACTGGTAGGCAGATTCTTAACCACTGGACCACCAGGGAAGTCCCAGCAATAAAATGTTTTTAAATTAAGATATGTCCATTTTTGAAGAGACACAACGCTATTGCACACTTAACAGACTACAGTATAAACGTAACTTATTATGGGTTGGAGCATGGGTTGGATCAAAGCTTTAACACACTGACTTCATCCCAAGCCTAGCCTCCTGTACTGCCATTTTGAGCTTGTTAGTATCTGACCTGGTAGGAGATTGGACTGCAGTTTTGTTTTTTTTTAATTTATTTCTTTGATTGTTTTTGTTTACTTTGGGATTCAACTCTGGCAGGGCTGCTGGAATGCAAGCACCATGTGCAGAAGTCTGGGTTTTCTCTCAGCTTTACTGTTTTCTATAGTGCTTCTTTTTTAAGCAGATTTGCCAGAATCCAGCTTTATTTCATTTGGTTTGGGAAAGGGCTCTTCCAGATTTTTATCTACCCTACATGTCGTCTGTGCTGTGCTTAGGCACTCAGTCTGACTCTACGCGACCCCCATGGACTGTAGCCCGCCAGGCTCCTCTGTCCATGGGATTCTCCAGGCAAGAATGCTGGAGCGGGTTGCCATGCCCTCCTCCAGGGGATCTTCCTGACCCAGGGATAGAACCCAGGTCTGCTGCATTGCAGGTGGGTTCTTTACTGTCTGAGCCACCAGGGGAACCCAAGAATACTGGAGTGGGTAGCCTATCTCTTCTCCAGGGGATTTTCTCAAGCCAGGAATCGAACTGGGGCCTCCTGCATTGCAGGCAGATTCTTTACCAGCTGAGGTACCAGGGGAAGCCTACATGTTGTCTAAGCTCGGTTAATTTTTCCTGGCACTGCAAATTCTATCTTCCACTGCTGGCATCGTTCCCGTACTTGTCCAACCCAGACCCAGATCTGGAAACTGCTGCATCTTCTCTGCTCCTCGATGAAGGCCTTGTTTCTCTCTGGAATTAGTTCATCAAGTTTTCTTTTGTCTATTGCTCTCCACTAGCCCCAGGAAGGACATTTATTCTATGCATTATCTTCTCATTGTCACTATAGGATTGAAACTCTTTCACATCCTTTTATATCATAACTAAAAGCAGAAGTCCTTTTTATCATAATTTGCATTTCTTGGTTATTGATAGGTTGAGTATATTTTAACATGCTTTTTGGTCATTTAAGTTTCCTGTGCTATTAATTTGAGCTTCCCTGGTGGTTCAGCAGTAAAGAATCCATCTGCAATGCAGGAGATGCAGGTGCTATCCCTGGGTCAGGAAAATCCTTTGGAGAAGGAAATGGCAACCCACTTCTGTATTTTTGCCTGGGAAATCCCAAGGACAGAGGAGCCCAGGGGGGCCATAGTTAAGTTTTATATAAACTATGAGGTCTCAGGGACTTCTCTGGTGATTCAGTGGTTAAGAATTTGCCTGCCAATGCAAGGGACATAGGTTCGATCCCTGGTCTAGAAAGATCCTGTATGCCAAGGAACAGCTAAGTCAAAGCTCTACAACAAGAGAAGCCTCGGCAAGGAGAAACCTGTGCTCCACAATGAAGAGTAGCCTGCACACAGCAACAAAGACCTAGCACAGCCAAAAATAAATAAATAAATAAATAAATAAAATAAAATTAATTTTTAAAACTAGTTCACACAATAAAGTATGAGGTTTAAGTTTAGGTTCATATTTTGCATATGCCTATCAAATTGCTCCAGCCCCATTTATTGAAAAGGCTCCATTTTTTTGATTGAAAAAAATGGAGCTTCATTTGTCAAAATTTAGTTGGGCAGATTTGTGTGCTATTTCCTTGTCCTTCTTACTCTTCTCTGGGTCTCTGTATCTCTTTTTCTGTGAATACCACACAGTTTTGATTATTGTAGCTACATAATGTTTTGAAATTGATTAGACTGATTTACCCCACAGATTGATTATATTCTTTGCAGCCAAAGATAGAGCCGCTCTATACAGTCAGCAAAAACAAGATCGGGAGCTGACTATGGCTCAGATCATGAACTCCTTATTGCAAAATTCAGACTTAAATTGAAGAAAGTAGGGAAACCACTAGACCATTTAGGTATGACCTAAGTTAAATTCCTTATGATTATACAGTGAAAGTGACAAATAGATTCAAGGGATTAGATTTGATAGACAGAGTGCCTGAAGAACTATGGACGGAGGTTCATGACATTGTACAGGAGGCAGTGATCAAGACCATTCCCAAGAAAAAGAAATGCAAAAAGGCAAAATGGTTGTCTGAGGAGGCCTTACAAATAACTAAGAAGAGAAGAGAAGCAAAAGGCAAAGGAAAAAAGGGAAGATATACCCATCTGAATGCAGAGTTCCAAAGAATATCAAGGAGAGATAAGAAAGCCTTTATAACTGATCAATGCAAAGAAATAGAGAAAAACAGTAGACTGGGAAAGCCTAGAGATCTCTTCAAGAGAATTATAGATACCAAGGGAACATTTCATGCAAAGATGGGCACAATAAAGGACAGAAATATTATGGACCTAACAGAAGCAGATGATATTAAGAAGAGGTGGCAAGAATACACAGAGGAACTATAAAAAAAAGATCTTCATGACCCAGATAACCATGATGGTGTGATCACTCACCTGGAGCCAGACATCCTAGAGTGCAAAGTCAAGTGGGCCTTAGATTTGATAGACAGAGTGCCTGAAGAGCTATGGTTGGAGGTTTGTGACATTGTTCAGGAGGCATCGATCAAGACCATGCCCAAGAAAAAGAATTGCAAAAAGGCAAAATGGTTGCCTTTCATCACTACAAACAAAGCTAGTGGAGGTGATGGAATTCCAGCTGAGCTATTTCAAATCCTAAAAGATGATGTTGTTAAAGTGCTGCACTCAATATGCCAGCAAATTTTGAAATCTCAGCAGTGGCCACAGGACTGCAAAAGGTCAGTTTCCATTCCCGTCCTAAAGAAAGGCAATGCCAAAGAATGTTCAAACTACCGCACAATTGCATTCATCTCACATGCTAGCAAAGCAACGCTCAAAATTCTCCAAGTGGGGCTTCAACAGTATGTGCATCGAGCACTTCCAGATGTTCAAGCTGGATTTAGAAAAGGTAGAGGAACCAGGGATCAAATTGCCAACATCTGTTGGATCATAGAGAAAGCAAGAGAGTTCCAGAAAAACATCTACTTCTGCTTTATTGACTACGCCAGAGCCTTTGACTATGTGGATCACAACAAACTGTGAAAAATTCTTAAAGTGATGGGAGTACCAGACCACCTTACCTGCCTCCTGAGAAATCTGTAAGCAGGTCAAGAAGCAGGTTAAAACTGGACATGGAACAACAGGCTGGTTCCAAATTGGGAAAGGAGTTCGTCAAGGGTGTATATTATCACCCTGCTATTTAACTTATATGCAGAATACATCATGTGAAATGCTGGGCTGGATGAAGCACAAGCTGGAATCAAGATTGCTGGGAGAAATATCAATAACCTCAGATACACAGATGACACAACCCTTATGGGGGAAAGTGAATTAGAGCTCAAAAAGCCTCTTGATGAAAGTGAAAGAGCAGAGTGAAAAAGCTGGCTTAAAACTCAACATTAAAAAAACTAAGATCATGGCATCCGGTTCCATCACTTCATGGCAATAGATGGTGAAACAATGGAAAAAGTGACAGACTTTATTTTCTTGGGTTCCAAAATCACTGTAGATGGTGACTGCAGCCATGAAATTAAAAGATGCTGATCCTTGGAAGAAAAGCTATGACCAACCTAGACAGCATACTAAAAAGCAGAGACAATACTTGGCCGACAAAGTTCCGTCTAGTCAAGACTATGGTTTTTCCAGTGGTCATGTATGGATGTGAGAGTTGGACTATAAAGAAAGCTGAGTGCCAAAGAATTGATGCTTTTGAACTGTGGTGTTGGTGAAGACTCTTGAGAGTTCCTTGGACTACAAGTAGATCAAACCAGTCAGTCAATCCTAAAGGAAATCAGTCCTGAATATTCATTAGAAGGACTGATGCTGGAGCTGAAGCTCCAATACTTTGGCCACCTGATGTGAAGAACTGACTCACTGGGAAAGACCCTGATTCTGGAAAGATTGAAGGCATGAGGAGAAGGGGACGACAGAGGATGAGATGGTTGGAAGGCATTATCAACTCAATGGAATTGAGTTTGAGCAAGCTCCGGGAGTCTTGGTGATGGACAAGGAAGCCTGGCATGCTGCAGTCCATGGGATCGCAAAGAGCTGGACACGACTGAGTGACTGAACTTAAGTGATCCCACTTTATTCTTTTCAAATTTGTTTTAGATCTTCTAGTTCTAATATCTTTGTGTGTTTGTGTGTGCTCAGTTGCTTAGTCATGTCTGATTCTCTGCAACCCCATGGACTGTAGCCTGTCAGGCCCCTCTGTCCATGGAATTTTTCAGACAGGAATACTGGAGTGGGTTGCCATTTCTTTCTCCAAGGGTCTTCCCAACCTAGGAATCGAGCCTGCATCTCTTTTGTCTCCTGCATTGGCAGGCGAATTCCTTACCATTGAACCACCAGGGAAGCCCTTCTAATATCTTTGCCTTTCCACATATATTTTAGAATTATCCTACCAAAAAAACTCACTAAGATTTTGATCCCAGGAATCATATTAAATCTGCACACCAATTTGGGAAGAATTGACACTTCTACTGAGTCTTCCAATCCATGTACATGGTATGGTTCTCTGTTTATCTAGATCTTTGAATTTTTGCTTTTGTAGTTTTCAGTACATAAGCTCTGCACATGTTTTGTTAGATTTGCACCTATATGCCTTTTTAAAAAGAACTTGTAAATTGTATTTTTAATTTCAGTGTTCATGTGCTCATCGATAATATACAGAAATATAACTCATTTTTGAAAGTTCATTTTATATCCTGTGATCTCACTGATCTCACCTATTGGTTCATGAATTGCTTCTTAAATTCCTTGGGAAGTTTTACATAGTCATCTGCAAAAAGGGACAACTTTCTTTCTTCTTTACTGATCTACATCACTTTTCTTGCCTTCTTGAACTGTCTAGAACTTCTGGTGCTATGTTGAATAAGAGTAGTGAAAGTACGCATCTTTGCTTTTTTTCCTGGGTTCCTCATATGTTCTTCAAATGTGTCCTTAGTCACTCATTGAAACATTTTTATGATGGTTGCTTTAGGAAATTTGTCGCATAATTCTAACACATCTGCCATTTTGGCATGGGTATTAGCCACATTGATATTTTCCTGATTCTTGGTGTGACAGGTGATTTCCAATTGAATCTTGAACATTTGGGGTATTATGCTGAAGAACTCTGGATCTTGTTTAAACCTATTTTAGGTGACATTTTCTGACCCTGCTCTGGCCAGGGAAATGGGTATGGTACCACCTCATTACTGCCATATAGGGTAGTCTGGGTTCCCCACTTGGCCTCCCCTAACACTTGAGGGTAGAGGGGGCTCCTTCTTACTGCTGGGTGGAGTGGGAGTTCTGGCTCCACTAGGCCTCTGCTGATTTCACCCTGCCTGGGAGTGCCTTGTTGCTGCTCCCCGCCTGACCCCCTCGAACACCACAGGAGGTGCAGCCTCATTACCACTGGGTAGTAGTGAAAGTCCTGACTCTTCACCAAGCCTCTGCTGACAATCAACCCAAGGGGGTGCCTCCTTACTGCCAGGTGGGGATGGAAGTCCAGGCACATGTGGATATCACAGCAGATGTGGGCATCTTACTACCACCTGCTAGTGATGAAAGTCCAGACTCCATCTTTGACCTTCTCTGACACCAACCTACCCAGGTATCTTGGGGGATGTTGGAGGCCTTGTTCCAACCCGGTGGGAAGTCTAGATTCTGCATTCAGCCTTTGCTAGGTCACAGAGTTGGCCAGAGTACAGAAGTTATTGTCTGTCTTCCTTTCCTGGTTGGAGAGAGGGGCTTTTATTGGAGCTTTTTTGTCTGTGTCCATTGGTGTTTCTGACTTGCCAGCTTCTTCCTCTCCACATCTGGGACCTAAGAGGCAAAAAGATAACCCAGGGAATTTACCACATGCAATTCTTTGGATCCTGAGATCCTTAGCCAGTCGGTCTGCCTTCTTCTGTCCACCTTTCAGGGTCTTCTTATGTTTGTTTTATATCTCATGTCCTGGGGTTGTAGTTTTCCTGGTAGGAGGAAGAGGGAAAAGTATATCCATTCTATCTTCTCAGATGAGTGACAGAAAGGGGGATTTACAAATACTTATCACTTAATATGTTTCCCAGGTGGCACAGTGGCAAAGAATCCACCTGCCAGTGCAAAAGACATAGGAGGCACAGGTTCAATCCCTGCGTTGGGAAGATCCTTTGGAAAAGGAAATGGAAACGCACTCCAGTATTCTTGCTTGGAGAATTCCATGGACAGAGGAGCCTGGCAGGCTACAGTCTATGGGTCGAGAAGAGTCGGACATGACTGAGCGCCTGAGCACACACACAGCACACATCATTTAATATAAGAATTAGCAGTGGCTTATGTGAAGCCACCAGACCGTAGAAAGCACTGAAGAAAATGAATGCTATTATTTTTCAATGATTCAAAGATTCTGTAATTCTCAATTTGATTTTTGTAAGTGTTTCATGCTATGATGCTAAATTCTGAAATTTGGTAATTCTGTTTTGGCATTTCCAGGTATGGAATGAACATTTCTTCCTTTTCCTTTTTTCCTATCCTTGGACCATCCTAGGGAAATAGTTAATTCTGAGCAAATGTTCTGTTGCCTTTTCTTGCAGAGAGCAGAGAGCCTCAATCCGGTTCAAGACCACTCTTATGAATACTCTCATGGACGTCCTTCGCCACAGGCCGGGATGGGTGGAAGTAAAGGAGTAAGATCCCCCCCTCCACCAGCCTCATCTCTCCTTCCCTTTGTCCCTCAGGTTTTGTCTCCCTTTGTTTTTCTCCCTTCCCCTGGGTGGCGTCTGGAATTTGTTCCAATTTGGCTATGACGGGGCCAATATTTATTTAGCATCCACAATGTGTCAAGTGCATTACTGATGCCATCTCTTTCTTATTTAAGCCTCATAACCATCCAGAAAGGTGTGATTATGTTCAGACATATTAAGCCAATTGTTTAAGGTCACACAGAAAGTAAATGTCAGAGTGGGGTTCAAACCCAGTGCAATTTGACTATTTCACAGCCAGTGTCCTATTGATCTCTATGCATCCGTCACAGACCCATGGGATGAATTCTCCCATGATAGTAGGTCCTGATATCTTACTAATTCTGTGACCCTGAACAAGTGTTTTGACCCCTAAGCCTACATTTCTTCTTCTATACGGAGCCCTCTGGATACTGAGATGAACAAGCATACAACCCCTGGCACATAGTAGGTGCTAATGTTAGTGAGGGTTAAGATTTGGATGCATGTAACAGAGATACAAAGTAAAAGAGGCTTTGACTAACTAGAATTTACTTACCCCTCCCACTGAAGTCCAGATGTAGGAGGTTCAGAGATTGTGTGGAAATGTGGGACCCATCTGCTTCCGTCTTTCCACTCTGCCACTCCTGGAGCTTTTCTTGCTCTGCCACTTAATAGCTTAGTTCCTTAACCTCTCTGTGCCTCAGTTTCTTCATCTTTAAAATGGACATAATAACAGAACCTAATATGTATATATACATTTACTGTGTATATATGTGTGTATTCATATGTGGCATGTGCCAAACAATGCCATGCCCCATGTATGAATACACACATATATCCATAGTAAAACTATAAAGACACTCATAGATATGATTCCAAGTTCAGGCTAATGGCTTCCTTTGAGACAAAAGAATAGGAGGTACAATCAGGCAGGGATATACATGGGGCTTTGGTTATATCTAATTTTTTACTAAAAAAGTTGAAAGTAATCATGGTGTTTTATTTATTGTCATTCATGCCTTTTTCAGGCATCTCCTCTGTGTACTCCGCTCTGCTATGTGAATTTAGTAGCTCTGTGTAGTTTCCTGTCCCCCTCTCTGGCATGGTGGTGAGGAATGGATCAGAATTTGGAGGAGGGCAGGCTTGGGTATGAATCCTGAGGTTTCTGTGTCCTCAGTGAGCAAGGCTGTCCCCATCTTAGGGCTCCAAGCGTGATCACAGCCCTTTGGGGGCTGCTCTGAAGACTCAGTGAGAGGAAAGCTTTTTGAACTGGGAAGGGCTTACAAGTGTGACCTAATTCCACTGCTTGGTTATGTGGATTCAGAGGTGGCTATGTGGATGCTTCTAGGACCCCAGCAGTTCACATGAGCAGGTGAGGTTGGCAGGTTGCCGTGGACCACGTAGCATCGTGGGGACTGTGATCTGGAGAGGGTGTGCCCTGTCTATGGTGATGAGCGCTGGGGGAGAGGGGCATCTGGGCTCAGTATGGCCAGATCGGAGATCTGCTGATTGTTCAAAGGAAGCCGGCAGCCTGGATTTTTGTAGGAACATTTCTGTAGTTTTCACTCTCACAGGCCTGTAGTTTTCACAGGCCTCACCAAGTCCATGGTGGGCAGCGGCAGCCCAAAACCACCTCCTTGAGACTCCCAGAGACCACACAGCTGCTCAACCCTCAGCTGCCCCACCCCAGACCCCCGGCAGTGCTGAGGTCCTCAGTCCTAACTTCTGTCCCACCCCTGCCTCCAGCGAAGGGGAGTGGGATTTCTACTGGTGTGATGTCAGCTGGCTTCGGGAGAACTTTGACCACACCTACATGGGCGAGCACGTGCGGATCAGTCACTTCCGAAACCACTACGAGGTGAGCCGGGTGGGCTCAGGGACTGGGCATGGCAGTGAGCAGCGGCTGGCCGGGGACACAGGGACGAGAATGGAGAAATATAAGGGAATTTGGAGGTACATGCCAGGTGTGGGGTAGGTGCACTAGATCCATGATGAGCTAGTGTGAGGCAGCAGGGATCTCAGACCTGAGGAACATACTACCTTGGGGAGGGGCTTGAGGTCATGGGCTAGCTGGCCTCTGGTGCAGAGGAGGAGCAAGCAGGATGTTTGAGGGATTGTGTGATTTCAGGATGAGGCAAGTTGAGCTGTTTGGAGTCTAGAGATGAGAAGGAAGAATGTGCTGCACTCAATATGCCAGCAAATTTGGAAAACTCAGCAGTGGCCACAGGACTGGAAAAGGTCCATTTTCATTTCAGTCCCTAAGAAAGGCAATCCCAAAGAATGCTCAAACTACTGCACAATTGCACTCATCTCACATGCTAGTAAAGTAATGCTCAAAATTCTCCAAGTCAGGCTGCAGCAATACGTGAACCAAGAACTTCCAGATGTTCAAGCTGGTTTTAGAAAAGGCAGAGGAACCAGAGATCAAATTGCCAATATCCTCTGGATCATCGAAAAAGCAAGAGAATTCCAGAAAAACATCTATTTCTGCTTTATTGACTACGCCAAAGCCTTCGACTGTGTGGATCACAATAAACTGTGGAAAATTCTGAAGGAGATGGGAATACCAGACCACCTGACCTGCCTCTTGAGAAACCTGTATGCAGGTCAGGAAGCAACAGTTAGAACTGGACATGGAACAACAGACTGGTTCCAAATAGGAAAAGGAGTACATCAAGGCTGTATATTGTCACCCTGCTTATTTAACTTATATGCAGAGTACATCATGAGAAACACTGGGCTGGAAGAAGCACAAGCTGGAATCAAGATTGCCGGGAGAAATATATCTGAGAACCTCAGATATGCAGATGACACCACCCTTATGGCAGAAAATGAAGAGGAACTAAAAAGCCTCTTGATGAAAGTGAAAGAGGAGAGTGAAAAAGTTGGCTTAAAGCTCAACATTCAGAAAACTAAGATCATGGCATCTGGTCCCATCACCTCATGGGAAATAGATGGGGAGACAGTGGAAACAGTGTCAAACTTTATTTTTTTGGGCTCCAAACTCACTGCAGATGGTGACTGCAGCCATGAAATTAAAAGACGCTTACTCCTTGGAAGGAAAGTTATGACCAACCTAGAGAGCATATTAAAAAGCAGAGACATTACTTTGCCAACAAAGGTCCCTCTGGTCAAGGCTGTGGTTTTTCCAGTGGTCATGTATGGATGTGAGAGTTGGACTGTGAAGAAAGCTGAGTGCCGAAAAATTGATGCTTTTGAACTGTGGTGTTAAGACTCTTGAGAGTCCCTTGGATTGCAAGGAGATCCAACCAGTCCATCCTGAAGGAGATAGGTCCTGAGTGTTCATTGGAAGGACTGATGCTGAAGCTGAAACTCCAGTACTTTGGCCACCTCATGTGAAGAGTTGACTCATTGGAAAAGACCCTGATGCTTGGAGGGATTGGGGGCAGGAGGCGAAGGGGACAACAGAGGATGAGATGGCTGGATGGCATCACTGACTCAATGGGCATGAGTTTGAGTAAACTCCAGGAGTTCGTGATGGACAGGGAGGCCTGGTGTGCTGCGATTCATGGGGTCGCAAAGAGTCGGACATGACTGAGCGACTGAACTGAACTGAGACCACGAAGATGGGACGGGCGGGAGCTTGGGAACAAAGGTGGGAGATTTGAAAAGGTTAGTGCAGCTTAGCAATTAGAACAAGAACTTTGGAGTCAGACAGGCCCAGGTCAAACCCTGCCTGTGCTGCCTGTTATCTAGATAGCTCTGGGCAACTGACAACCTTTCTGAGCCTCAGTTTCCCTGACTGCCTAGTCAAGATCATTACAGACTGGCAGACTCTCAGTCAAAGTTGCTCTTATTCTTACTCTTACCTTGCAGAGAATGGGGCTGCTGAGGGCCGCGGTTGGTGGGATGTTGGGGTTGGCAGGTGGACAGGGCAGTGAGCACGAGCACCAGTGACCTGCCTGCCCATCTTGCTGCCCAGCTCACTCGCAAGAACTACATGGTGAAGAACCTGAAGCGATTCCGGAAACAAATGGAGCGTGAGGCAGGAAAGCTGGAGGCAGCCAAGTGTGACTTCTTCCCCAAAACCTTTGAGATGCCTTGCGAGTATCACCTATTTGTGGAGGAGTTTCGTAAAAACCCGGGCATCACCTGGATCATGAAACCTGTGAGTGCCCAGTGCTGAGGCCTGGGGGTTGGGGCATCCTAGGCAGTAGAGCAGGGCTCCTTCATTGGCACATGTCTGGACAGGACTTTGCCTGGGAATTCAGCCTTAGATGCACCATCTGATTTTCCCTCAAGGGCTGACTACATCTCCTTCTCTCTGCAGTGTGTGGACTCTGCACCTGTGACTGCTCGTACACAGTATATGCTCAGTAAATGTATAGTAGATGCTCAACAAATGTTCACTAGATAAACAAATGAGCCTTAGGCCCCCAAGGCAGGGACCCCAGAGAAGTCGCTTTCTGATTTGAATGAAAACAATGGCCAGGCCGTGAGAAGGGCTTTGCTTGCATTGCCCACGTTCTCGTAATGGCCCTTGGGAGGAGGTATTATCTGCCCTGTTTTAAAGATGAGGAGCCTGAGACCTATTTATTCAGGCATCCCACACATGCTCTTTGAGCACCTGCCATGTGCCAGGCACAGAAATGGATGGTGAGGAGATAGCTCTCAGGTAGAGGATACATGTGTGGTTACAGCTGTGGCAAGTGTTGATCAGGAGAATGGTTCCAGCAGAGGAAACAGCAGGAGGACTTTCTCCAGTCCTTCAGCAGTCTTCCCTGAAGAAGTGAGAGATTGGGCTCCGAGGCCAAACCCTTTGGTTCAACTATTACCTGTGCTGCCTGCTAGCTGTGTGACCTCAGGCAGATGACTTAACTTCTCTGTGCCCCAGTTTCCCTGTCTGGAAAGTGAGGATCACTATAGCACCTATCGATTGCATAATGTTGTTGTGTGACTAAATGGGTTAACAAAAGTACAGCATATCTTAGGTCCTCACTGAATGTTAGTTATTGTTGTCTAAGAATTAGTATTCAAAAACAAAAGGAAACAAATTTACAAGAAAAAGAATTGAGCTTTGATCTGAAGGATACAGAGGAGTCAGCCCGAAGAAGGGCAGAGGTGGGAGCAGTCTAGAAGGGAACTGCAGGCACAAAGGCCTTGCACCTGGAGGGGGTCCTTGGGGGGATCAAGAAACTGAGAGGAGGGCAAGGGTGCCAGAGCCCCTGTCAGCCCCTCAACCCTTCCTCATGCCAGGGCTGGACTCTCAAAACAATGCCACCATAGCCTTGAATGGCATTATCAGAGCCCCCCAGTATTTTCTGGATTTGGGAACATTCTGGGCCCCAGAAAGGGAGCTGGGGGTAGGCTAGGGAGGGGGCAGTCCTTCTTGAGGCTGAGGACAGGCTAGTGTTGGCTGATACATATTTAGCTAATATCACATGTACGCGGCACTAGTGGTAAAGAACCCGCCTGCCAGTGCAGGAGACACAGGTTTAATCCCTGGGCTGGGAAGATCCCCTGGAGGAAGGTGTGGCAACCCACTCCAGTACTCTTGCCTGGAGAATCCCATGGACAGAGGAGCCTGGAGGGCTACAGTCCATGGGGTCACAAAGAACCGGACACAACTGAAGTGATTTAGCAAGCATGCACTCACAGGTACACACACGTGAATGGAGGGGGAAACTGACAAAAAACAATGGATGCTCCCAAAGGGGACTGAGCCAAGATTTACTTAGGCCTCTTGATATGTGGCTGGAAGGCTCATCCCCCTCCCTGGGAGAAGGGAAGTCCAGTGAGAAGGGCTTGGAAGGGTGTTAAGCAGAGGAACACTGCAACCCACTGGGGCGGATCCCAGTTCCCAGTATTATCTTCAGACACATGGTAATTTGTGCTAATTGGGAACAAGCAACTGCACATTACGTTGATTCCTTTCCCAGCCCCCAGCCTTTGTTAGCAGCAGACACAACGACAGCTGTAATTAAGAGGAGGAATCTTGGCTTCGCGTTTGTGTGTGCGTGCATGTGTTTGTGTGTGTGTGTGTCTCCCCTCTCCTGAATCGCTGAGGCTCCCTGTCTAGGGTGTGGGGCGCAGAGAGTTTGTGCTTCTAGTCAGAAGCCTGGGTTCTAATTCTGAGCCACCACTCGCGAGCTATGTGACCCTGAGCAGGTTACTCAGCCCCTCTCAGTCCATCTCCTCATCTGTAAAATGCCCTTAATGGACACACCTGCCTTATAGGGTTATGAGATAATTCATTGAAGTTACATGGGTTATATACATGAATTGTATAAGCTGTATAAAGTGCTTTGCACTTAGGTGCCTAATAATTGACCATTTTTATTGTTATTTCAGAGTCCAGGCAACACCATTTCTTCCCCCTGCCCCTGGGGAGCACTGGGTCCATGCTTCCCAAATTTGGACGTGCTCACAAATCCTTGGGGATCTGGTTAAAGTGCAGAGCCCCTCTCAGCAGGTCTGGATGAGACTTCAGAATCTGCATTGTTAACCACTCATGGTGAGCCACTGGGGCTGGTTCACAGACAACACTTTGAGTAATGAGACTGTAGAGAAGTAATTCTCACATGCGAGGATCCTCTGGAGAGCTGATTGAAGCACCCACTCTACTGGATTCAGTTAGGCCTGGTGTGATGCCTGAGAATCTGCATGCCTCACAAATTCCCAAATGGGGCAGTTAGGACTCTCCAGGGAAATAGAACCATTAGGGGATGTGTGTGTGTGTGTGTGTGTGTAAGGAATTAGTTCGTGTGATATTGTGGGGGCTGGTAAGTCTAAATTGTGGTGACAGAAAGCTCAGGCAGGATTTCTCTGTTACACTCTTGCAGCAAAATTGTTCTTTTTCCAGAACCCTCGGGTTTTGCTCTTAAGTTGTCATCTGAATGACTGAAGCTCACTCACATCATCCAGAATGATATTCTTTACTTAAAGTCTACTTATTGTAGATATTAATCATGTCTAAAAAATGTCTTCTTAGCAGCATCTAGACAAACGTTTGACCAAACAACTGGGCAGCATTGCTCAGCCAAGTTGACACATGAAATTAACCATCACACTGGGTTATAAGGGTGCTACTGGTCTGGGTGCCACACTCTGAGAACCAGTGGGCCAGATCATTAGTTCTGGGATCCTGTTGTTTGGATCCCTTTGGTGTGGAGAAATGTTAAAAAATAGGACATTGCCCTAAATTTGGAAATTAGAGGGAGAAAGCCCCTTGAATCCCTCTATTCTCACAAGGCCTGCCTTTGTGACCCAGCCAGTTGTCATCCACTCATATACCAAATTTTTCACATCGTTGCTGTGGCTAGGCCAGTTGGGGCAGCGACCAGCCTGCCTTTCCCTCCAATGTCTCCTGTGCACGGTTCCCTGGGGCCTGCGAGCCTTCATCTTCCTCTTCAGTGGGGGCAGGGCAGTCTTGGAAGGAGAGGGTTGAGCTGAGTCCAAAGGAAGCAGACAGTGTCATCCCCTTCATGTCACCCTACTACATCTGCCTGCCAATGCAGGAGACACAAGAGATGTGGATTCGATCCCTGGGTTGGGAAGATCCCCTGGAGGAGGGCATGGCAACCCACTCCAGTATTCTTACCTGGAGAATCCCATGGACAGAGGAGCCTGGCGGGCTACAGTCCATGGAGTCGCAAAGAATTGGACACGACTTAGTGCACACATATAGGCACCCATCTTCCCGTCCCATCAGTCTAGTGTATAAATCACCTCAATCCAGACTTTTTTCCACCTAAGCGCTCTCTCTCTCCCACTAGCCCAGGCCCTCTGGATTGACAAGGAAATGAGCAGGACCCAGCTCATGGGGACCATGCTTGCTCTTCTAGCGTCCCTTGTGTGGCTGGGAGGGCAGGTGGTAGGTGCTCAGGGCCCTGTCTGTCAGTCTCTCACTGTGTCCACAGAGCTGGTCTGACACTTCACTAAGGGCTGTGAGCATCTGAGGTGACCACTGGGCTGTGCTGGGCTCTGGGGGCCTCTGTCCAAACTACAGGATGGTAAAAGTCAAGTTTTAACATTTTCTCATTACCCCAACCAGCGCTTCTCACACTTTTTCACTGAACTCTCCCAAGAGTTGGGATGTTTGGGATGGCAGGTAACAGAAAACCCCAACTCACAGCATCTCAGACGAGAAGGCAAGCGTTCTGAACTATTCTCATGCCTTGTGTCTCTGGCATCTGGTGAAATGTGTGGACCCCATCACAGAACAGGGTTTTTAGGAAGCCTAGCATAGAGCGTGTCTGACTGTAAAAGAAAGCAACTATGTTGTAAAACAGTTACCAACTGTGTTAGTCCGGGTCCTCTGAGAAATAGACGCCAAGACAAGATTCAACAGGCCAGAGTGTGGCCTGTGGGACAAGGGGGAGGGAGCTGGGAGAGGCTAGGGGTGCTGATAACACCACCACATCTGACCCCAGTGAGGGAGAGAGTGAAGGAAGGGTGGCCTAAGGGGAGCTCAGCGAGGCCCAGTGAGGCCTCAAGCCCAATTTGTTGTCAGAAGTCCCCTGTGTCCCAGGAGTGGGCCAGCCTTCATGTCCCTGTGTCCTCATCTCTGGCCTGGCCAGCAGGGCAGGGCTTCACCACAGCCCTGCAGTCAGAGTCCTGTGGGCACTTCTCACCAGGCAGCCATAAACTATTAACACATTCCTTCCGCTGCAGGAGTATATGTGCTTTTCATTAACAATTAAAGAGAGTTTAGCAGCAGGCCCAATCGTTATCATAATTTCAAAGTTGTAACGAGTATAAGCAGTATTTGGAGACAGATATATCAGCGACAGTTGTAATGCAATATGAAAATAACTATGATTTCTTTTGAGAGCCAAGTCACAGGCCTGGCTAACACTGCTAGGATTTCATGCCTGCATTTATAATGGAAGGAAACATGAAAATCTGGTCACGGGTTAATGAAAATAAAGATCAAAAAATTTCCTCATTCAGATTTACAGACCCCAGGGAATTTCCTTTGATGGAAGGTCGTGCAAATCCAGGGGTGGTTTGTTAGGCAGTTCTACATTATCATCTACTCCCATTTCAGTGGGCTGACTGCTCCTCTCAGTCACAACAAGGCTGCTGCAGCCCTAACTCACCCCCCTCACATCTCCACCTGCCACAGGAATAAGGGAATACCCTGGTTTTGTGGCCTTTAGAGGAAGACACAAATTCCCAGAAGTCGCCATAGCAGACTTGCCCTTGCCTCCTGCCAGCTCACACCTGAACCAATCATGTTGCAGGGGCGTGGAACCACTGTGAGAGCTCAGACCTCCCCAGAGGGCGGGGCCACGGGGAAGAGGAGACCCAAATGGGGTTCCATTGGCAAGGAAAGAGAATGGTTGCTAGGGAGACCACCAACCACATCTGCAACACCCACTGAATATGACCTGTGATGAATGGCCCCCAAGGGCATGGCAAGGGGAGGGAGGGGGTGAAGGGCTGTGAGTGGCTGCAGGTGATACAAAATCAAACTGGGTTCATTTTATTTATTTATTTATTTTATTTTATTTTTTAATAATAATAACCTTTTTATTTTATTTATTTATTTATTTTTTTTGTGTGTTTTTTGTCATATATTGAAATGAATTAGCCATGGATTTACATGTATTCCCTGTCCCGGTCCCCGCTCCCACCTCCCTCTCCACCCGATCCCTCTGGGTCTTCCCAGTGCACCAGGCCCGAGCACTTGTCTCATGCACCCAACCTGGGCTGGTGATCTGTTTCACCCTAGATAATATACGTGTTTCGATGCTGTTCTCTTGAAACATCCCACCCTCGCCTTCTCCCACAGAGTCCACAAGTCTGTTCTATACATCTGAGTCTCTTTTTCTGTTTTGCATATAGGGTTATCGTTACCATCTTTCTAAATTCCATATATATGTGTTAGTATACTGTAATGGTCTTTATCTTTCTGGCTTACTTCACTCTGTATAATGGGCTCCAGTTTCATCCATCTCATTAGAACTGATTCAAATGAATTCTTTTTAATGGCTGAGTAATATTCCATGGTGTATATGTACCACAGCTTCCTCATCCATTCGTCTGCTGATGGGCATCTAGGTTGCTTCCATGTCCTGGCTATTATAAACAGTGCTGCGATGAACATTGGGGTACACGTGTCTCTTTCAGATCTGGTTTCCTCGGTGTGTATGCCCAGAAGTGGGATTGCTGGGTCATATGGCAGTTCTATTTCCAGCTTTTTAAGAAATCTCCACACTGTTTTCCATAGTGGCTGTACTAATTTGCATTCCCACCAACAGTGTAAGAGGGTTCCCTTTTCTCCACACCCTCTCCAGCATTTATTGCTTGTAGACTTTTGGATAGCAGCCATCCTGACTGGTGTGTAATGGTACCTCATTATGGTTTTGATTTGCATTTCTCTGATAATGAGTGATGTTGAGCATCTTTTCATGTGTTTTTTTGCCATCTGTATGTCTTCCTTGGAGAAATGTCTATTTAGTTCTTTGGCCCATTTTTTGATTGGGTCATTTATTTTTCTGGAGTTGAGCTGGAGGAGTTGCTTGTATATTTTTGAGATTAATCCTTTGTTGCTTCGTTTGCTATTATTTTCTCCCAATCTGAGGGCTGTCTTTTCACCTTGCTTATAGTTTCCTTTGTTGTGCAAAAGCTTTTAAGTTTCATTAGGTCCCATTTGTTTATTTTTGCTTTTGTTTCTAAAATTCTGGGATGTGGGTCATAGAGGATCCTGCTGTGCTATATGTCGGAGAGTGTTTTGCCTATGTTCTCCTCTAGGAGTTTTATAGTTTCTGGTCTTACATTTAGATCTTTAATCCATTTTGAGTTTATTTTTGTGTATGGTGTTAGAAAGTGTTCTAAACTGGGTTCATTTTAATAATCCACTTGTATTGTTTTCCAATGAATAACATGAAAGTGAAAGTCATTCAGTCATATCCAACTCTTTGTGACCTCCATGGACTGTAGAGTTCATGGAATTCTCCAGGCCAGAATACTAGAGTGGGTAGCCTTTCCCTTCTCCAGGGGATCTTCCCAAACCAGAGATTGAACCCAGGTCTCTCGCATTGCAGGTGGATTTTTTACCAACTGAGCCACAAGGGAAGCCCAATCAATAACATATCTTTAAATAAAAATACTATAAAAATATTTTCCTCCCGATTCGTCAAGTAACACTGATGCTCCCAGAAGTGACACCATGTTTATCACCTAATTCTGCATGCTCCCTCACATTTTGCAGAAGCTGAGTGAGCCCTAGGCTTGTGAAACACAGATTTAACCAGCCTGGATTTGTCACCTACAAGCTAGGTAACTTTGAGCAGAGGGCTTGGTCTCTCTGTTCCTTGATATCCTTGGCTGCAAAATGGGGATATTAATGCCTACATACAAGTTTTTTGAAAAGCTTTAATGAGGTCATGAGTGTGAAATCTGTGTGCCTGGTTCATCGCTGAGAAATATTAGCTGCTAACATTATCATTGTTAGGAACTGTTCCCCTAAATTTCGGTTTCCGTTGCTTCATTGCAAAACTCAGAGGCTTGAAACAACAGTCATCTCTGATGTAGCTCACGAGTCTCCAAGCTGGGCTTATGGCTGCTCCAGCATTTATCAAAGCAGCTTTACCGAGGGCTGGAGAATTCACTGCCAAGCTGGCTCACTAGCTCGGCTAGCAAGTTGGTACTGGCTGCTGGCTGGGAGCTCAGCCAGGGTTGAGGGCTGGAAGACTCAGTTGCCCTTCACATGGGCCTCTCCATGTGCCCTGAGCTTCCTTACAGCATGGTGGCTGGGTTCCCAGGGTGACCGTCCTCCAAGAGAAAGCGTGTGGAAGCTGTGCTGTGTTTTATGACCCAGTACTGGAACTCACACAGGATCACTTCTGCTGTACACAAAAATAGCTGAGACAGTCCTATAGGCTCACACAGATTCAAGGAGAAGGGACAGCTATTTCTGCTCTTGATGGAAGGTGGAGGGTAATAAGGTTGTGGAAGACATATGGGACTGGGAATATCATGATTGCTTTTGGAAATGACAGTCCAGCAGGCTAGATATTAGATAATTTCCAGTCTCAACCACCCTGATAAATCACCATGCAGGAAGTTTATTCTCCACTCTTTAGGATTCTCCCCTTAGGAGGACATCTTCTGGAATAGGCATGTCAGTGACAGCTCTGTCCATCTCACATTGTATAAAGAGCTTTTAACCAGCTGGGCCATGCTCCAAGAAGATGAGAGCGAAATGAGAATTTGCACAGGCTGGGTGCATTTATGCTGAAGAAAAACGACTCTGGGTCACCTGCTCAATGGCTGCAAATAATTAAAAAGGGCTCTTCTGGGGTCTAGGAGTCAGATTTGTTCTAGGAGGCCCTTGAGGCCAGTACCAGGCAGACAGAATTTTAGCCCAACACAGACTAAGCTGTGAAAGTCCATGAGGTCTAGATTGTTGCTAAAGCATAAAGCCAAGCATACCTCGTGTGTACCTTTTGGATGACTGCTTAATAGAGCTATCCTGCCATGGAATGGGCTACCTAGGGGTGGGGGAGGGTAGTGAGCTCCCTGACTTTGTGAATGTGCAAGGTCAGGCAGGTGACCTGTAGAGGGATGTCACAGAGGGAGCAAGGTCTTTGGTGCCTCCTGCTCTGCATGATGTTAAAGATGCTCCCCCCGCCCCCCCCAAAAAAGATGCTCCCAACCCTGAGACTCTGAAGCTTTGAATTATCCATTCTGGGATTCAGTAAAGGCAGACTGACTTCAGTATTAGCTGAAGCAAAATCTAATTAGGAAGGCAAATTGATTTCCAAAAAAAGAATTGGATGATATGTTCCCAGGACTGTTAGAAATGGCTTTTTAATTGTCTGCTCCTTTGTATTATTCATGCAATTGTGTGCCTTTGTGAACCAAGTCTCTCACTTTCCTCCCTACTTCCCTCCCTCCCTCCCGCCTGGCTTAACACCTTCTCTGTCCCAACCCCTTCAAGGCTGTGCTGGGCCAATCCTTGGGGACAGCTGGGAGGCCCACGAGGGAACTGGAGACAGAGAAATGCCGGGGAAGGGCCCCAGGTCCAAGGGCCCACAGGGAACCATATGGAGCTAAGAGCCAATCTTTCTACCCTCACCCCCACCTCAGGTAGCCCGGTCACAGGGGAAGGGCATCTTCCTCTTCCGGAGACTGAAGGACATCATGGACTGGAAGAAGGTGAGCCTGCCTCTCCCCCTTCCTCCCCACACACTCCTTTGCCCTCTTGCAGGGATCTGGGGCCCCTCCTCCTCACCCTCAGTGCTCGGAGGGCTGGCAAAGGAGCTCTGCCCACAGGCCTGCCCATGGGTGCAGGGTCTCTGGAGTCAAATTGCCCGGGTTCAAATCCTGACCTTACCACTTCCTAGCTGTGTGAGCTTGGGCAAGTTATTTCACTTCTTGATGCCCCCAATAAATCAGGATAGTAATAGTACCCGCTGAAGATGGGATGAGTTAGTGCGTCTAAGAGAACAGTACGCTCTTTTCCTGGGCCTCTGACTCATCTGGCTGGGGGAGTTTGGCTAATTCTTCCTCCGGCTCCTGGACTAAGCCTGCGGCAGCCCTCTTCCTAGCCCCCAGGCCAAGCCTGTCTCGGTCCAGGAATCGGTGTAATAGAAATGCTGGTCCCAACCCTGTCCTCACTGTTCTGCAGCTCTGTGGTCTTGGGGAAAGTGCTGAACCCCTCTGAACCTGAGAGATGGTAATGATGCAGGCTGGGTGACGGGAGCAGGCTGTCACAACCCGCACCTACTGCGCCAGCAGGCTCGCAGCAGGGGAACAATAAATGAATTGCCCCTCCTCACTGTGTGTCCCTGTTCCTCCCACGAAACTGTCAGGGCACCGCTGGGAAGAAGCTCACCAGCCTGGAGGCCCAGCCGGCCCGAAACACTGTCAACCCCTCTGGCAGCCATGTGAGTATAAGTGGGGGTGGCCCAGGACCCCAGAAAGAGAAGAACTGGCTGCTTTGATGGAGAAGCATATCTTCAGGGAGGGGGTGATGGTAGGTGTAGACAATTCTGCCCTTGGGCCCAGATGACCACCAAGCATGTAACATTTGCCCCGGGGCCTCGGTTTTCTCACAGGGTTACCGTGAAGGGGACAATGGGTGGGAAAGGGCTTTGCAGATGGTGAGGTGAAAAGGCCGGAGTTGGGCTGGCTGCAAAGAATCAGCAGGAAGAGAAGGGAGAGGAGTGTCCTTGGAGGCCTGCGTGGTGCTGCAGCAACACCACCAATGGGACTTTCTCCAGTCGGGGGAATGGTGCACGCTTGGGCCCTCTGATGTCCTGACCACTAGTGACATGTTAATATCCGGACACTGGAAATGAGGCTAGGACAACTTGAAAGGCTGGACTTTTATTTCCTCTTTGACTATGGCAAAATATACATAAAAATTTTCAGTTTAACCTTATTTAAGTGTGCAATTCAATGGCATTAAGTACATCCATAGTTTTGTGCAAACTGTGTTCCATTTCTAGAACTTTTTCATCCCCAGCTGAAACTTGTACCCATTAAACACTAACTCTCTTCTGCCCTGCCGCCCCCAATCCCTGACAGCCCCCTTCCTACTTTCTATCTCTAAGAATTTCACTACTCTCACCTCATGTAAGTGGAATCAGACAAGATTTGCCCTTTTAGGTCTGGATTATTTCACTTAGCATGATGCCTCCAAGTTTCATCTGTACTGTCACATGTAATATCATTTCCTTTTAATCAGTTTAAATATAAATGTACATAGCCACATGTGACTGGTTCTGCTCTATTGGACAGCACAGATTTGGATGTTAAATGCCCAGGCTCTGGGCCCAGCCTGTGTGAGATCACTTCCCAGCTGTACCACCCATCAGCTGTGTGACCTTAGGCAAGTCACTCCCCCTGTCTGTGCTTCAGTTTCTCATCTGTAAAATGGTGATAATATTAGTACTTTCCTGACAGGGTTGATTTAAGGATCAAATCATATACCCAAAGTAGAGTGCCTAACACAAGGCCTCTTACACAGGAAATTCTCCCCCCAAAAATGTTAATAACAATTATTATTACAACTAGGACACAAGAAGTTCTGATGACCAGAAAGATGAAATTCCCGTGGAGAACTATGTAGCTCAGCGTTACATCGAAAATCCCTACTTGATAGGAGGTGAGATGGCCGTCTCTGCTCCCTGCCCTTCTACAGGATCGTCGGTCAGTTAGTCAGTCAACAAGCCTGGATTAGCAGCCAGTCATGGGCTCAGCCTGCCACCAGGCATGATGAGATGCAAAGATGGAGCCCTGTCCTGCAGGGTCTTGACTGAGAGGGGCCAGTGCTCTGAAGGGGCCCCATGGAATAGCATTAATATCACTTGCCTCCTCTCACTTCCTCAGGCATTGTCCTTCCTCGGGGACGTTTGTGGGTCTCTCCTCCACCCCTCCCTATCCCAGTGACCCCCATCCTCTCTCATGACTTTAATCACCACCCAGATCCCATGACCCCCAGATTTCTCTCTCCGGCTAAGACCTTGCCCCATACCCCAAACCCTGATGTCCCACAGTCTGTGACATCCTCTTGAGAGCATCTCTCAGCAGCTTGAAACCAACAAGACTAAAATCTAGCCTTGTCCTCCCCTTACCATCTGGCTCACCCCTCAGTCTCCCTACCTGGGGACAGAACTGTCCCCCCACAAGCCAGAAGGTGGAGACTATTCTGGAAACATCTCTCTCGTCTCCTCCCACATCCGGTTCTCCATCAAGCCTCCACGCAGCTCTTGAATTTCCTAGCTGGCCACCTCCATACCCAGTCTGGCCACTGCCCTCTCCCTCCTCACTGATGCCCACAGCTCTGGTCCCCTTTGCTCCACTCCACACACAGTCCCCAGAGGGGTCAGACACCCCTCAGCGGCTTCCCATGGTTGCTGGAACAAGACCCAAAAACCGCACACGACCTGGCCCCTGCTGACCTCACTGACCTCGTCTCCTTGCACTCTGCCCTTGGACAAGCCCCCTTTGTCCCCTCTGGGCCTCTGTTCAGGCAGCACCTCCTGCCCGAAGGCCCCCGCCCACTCTGGGCTCCACAGGCACCTGGCACCTCCTGTGGTTTTATTGGGATTCACATCGGCCTGTCCACTGCCATCTCTCCCAAACCTAGCTTGGTGCTGGACACACCATCGGTATTCGTTATGCCAATTCATTCTCCCCTTGCTTGACAGGCCGCAAGTTTGACCTGCGTGTCTACGTGCTGGTGATGTCAGTGAGTGACCAAGACAGGTGCTCTCCTCTGGGGCGGGGGAGGGGCAGCTGGCCCAGGGGACAGGGCAGAGGCCATTCTGGGGGCACCCATGTGAGCTGTCTGGTTTTTCCTGCCTGGGAGAGCCCAGGGCGTGATCAATGGATCTAAGCTTCTCCATCTCAGAGGCCCCAGTATCTGGATTGTCTCTGCCTTCCTTTTCTGTTCGTTCAGTCATCCGTGGTAACCACAGCCAACATTTATTGAGCACCTACTAAGTACCAGGCCCAGTATTTAGCAGATTTTCTTTCTTTCAGTCTTTCTAATTAACCAGGGAGGTAGGTTCTTTTGTTTGCTTCATTTTACAGATAAGGAGATAGATCAGACAGGTTGAGCGACTTGCTCAAGGTCACACAGCTGTGAGTGGCAGAGCAGGGATTCAGATCCTGACAACCGACTCTCTTAACCAAAGAGCTTCTATACTCCCTCCACCCATGCATTCGACAAACACTTAAACTTTCATGGTACGATATGCTGGGCATAGGATATCAGAGTGTCTAAGACAGGCTCGGCCCCTGTCCTCCTGGAACTCACCATCTGGTGGGTGTCACATGTGATGGTGGAGCAGAGGAAAGGCCCATTAATTTTGTTCCCTTCTGCATCTCTCCATCCCTACTCCTACCCCCAGGAAGGAGGGGATCGAATCAGAGAAGGCTGATGTTTGAGCAGATTCTTGCAAGATGATGTGGGAAAGAAGGCAGAGCATTTCAGGTGGAGGAAACAGCAGGTGCAAAAGCCAGGAGGTGTGAAAGTGCTGGAATTGATCCTCCTTCCCTTTTCTCTCTCTCCATTCCTACCTCCCCCATAGTACATCCCGCTGCGGGCCTGGCTGTACCGGGATGGCTTCGCCCGATTCTCCAACACCCGCTTCACACTGAACAGCATTGATGACCAGTGTATCCTAGGATTCCCCCACCTGCCCCCAGCATCCTCCAGGCACCCTGCCCTTCCTGTCTTCTGGCTGGTCCTGAGATAACTCATTCATTCCACAGATGTCAAACTCCCATCAGGGCATAGGAGATACAGCAGTGAACAAAACAGCCCTGGTCCCTTCCCTCGGGGAACTTACCGTCTTGAGGGGATGGGGGAATCCCCCAGTGACCTGAGGGAAACAGCCCTGCTATGCTCAGAGCAACTCACCCAAAGCTTCTCTGCTTGATCGTCATTTCACATTGATTCGATTCATAGGATTGGACTTGTTGAGCCCCTTTGGAAAATGTTCACATCCCTTTGGAAAATGTTCACATCCCTTTATGTACCTAGTCACTGACTCACTCATTCATTCGAATACAGTGCCTTTTTCACCAAATTGGCAGATATGAAAATTTTGATAACATGCTGTATTGGCAAGGCTAGGGGAGTATATACATTGCTGGTAAAGTGTCAACTGTACAACTGCTTAGATTGCCCTGCAATCTGGCAAATCTCTCAAAAAACAAATGGACATACCCAGCAATTCCCTTCTGGGAATTTATCCTACAGGTACACTCACAATATAGGATAGGAAAAGAGAGGTTTAAATGTTATCCACTGCATAGCCCTGTTGTGAGAGCAAAAAAAAAATAATAGGAAATAACTGAATGAATGGCTCATTTATACAACAGAATACTATCCAGCTGGTAAAAAGGAACCAGGGGAGGTGCTTTATGTACTGATGAAATAATCTCCAAGAGGTATTGTTAATAGGAAAAAAAAACTAAGTGTAGAACTCTGTGGAAAGGATGCTCCCATTCATGTTAAAACATATATCTCTGTATATATTTTTATCTGTGCATAAACATCTCTAGAAGGATAGACAAGAAACTAGAAACAGAATTTGACTTGGAGGAGAAATGAATGGGAGGGGACAGTGTTGGAGTTAGGGGGAGGAGATATTCCTTATATACATTTTTATACTTTTGGCTTTTGTACTATGTGAGTGTATTATCTGGTCAAAATAAAATGAGCAAACATTGTTTTTAAGACTTTTAGACATGAGCATCAGAGGAAAAGGGGTAAATGATCTAGAAATAAATATTTAGGAGATAAACCAGCAGGACTAGATCACCTTCATATGGGAGAGGTGGAAGTAGCAAGTGATATTGCCAAGCTTCTGGCTTGAGCAATCCAGCTAATGCTTTTAGCCAATTCACATCACTCTGCCTTAATCTCATCGTTCAATTAAGTGTCAAGAGCTCAGTTTCGGGCCCTGGGAGGGGTCCCCCTTCCTGCAACAATCCCACTAGATAAGTATAACCTTTTTTTCACTGAACCTTATTTAAGCATTTTCCTTATAGACATTTTTTATTAGTTACAAAGTATTCCACTGAGTAGACTTGCTGGTTTACTAATCCTATTGTACTGGCTGCAGACATTTGGGAAGTAGTCAGTTTCTTCCTATTATGACAGACAATGCTGTAAAGAAACATTTTTTTTCCATAAATCTTTTACTATATTAAAATTTTTTCCTTTATATGGCCTCACAGAGGTGTAACTACTGGGTCAAAGGAATCAGCCAGGTTGTTTTCCAGATTTCCTCATATTTTTACCCTCCCATTGACAGGGTCCATTTAGCCCCAGCTCCCCAGCACTGGGGACAATTAAACCGATTCAAAACACATTTCCTAAACAATTGTCACATCTAAGTGAAGCGTATATGGGCATTCATTATATCATTCTTGCGAGTATTCTGTGGGTTTTGAGCTTTTCCAAATAAAAAGGTTTTAAAAAAATGTAACTGATTTGCTGGGGAAGCAGATTTTTGCCTTAGAATTTGCATTTCTTCCAATTTGCATTTCCCCCCATTTACATTCCTTTAAAATTGTGTATCGTTTAGTACTAGAAACTTTGGGCACTTTCCCAGATGGCCTTTTACTAGCTTTGTTTTTGTTTTTTTTTTGGTTTTAATATCCTTTATCTGTTTATCTATGAGGGTCATAAAATTTTATTGTTAACAATATATGTGTGATTTTCATGCAACAGAACATTAGCCTGTCATCTTTGTCACAAATCTTTTCTCTAGTTGTGTTTGCTTGTCATTTTTGCCTTTTCAGTTTGATTGATTTCCTTTTCACATAGTTGACTATATTCACTGATTTCCTCTGTGATTTCTATTGTTGTTTCTAAGCTAAGAAAAGATTTTCCCCTTGAAACATTTCACAGCTACTCACTCAGCTCTGCTTCTTTATGGATTGCTTCAGTTGTTTGCTTGCTCTTCACCATTTAGCTCGTTGGTTCATTAGAACCTGGTTTCAGGTCCATTGTGGAGAGAGGAGGCTGGGAAATCAGCTGACCCACACTCCTCTTGTAGCCTCTGCTCCGAGAAACTAGGAAAGTCCCTGATTTCTCCTTCCTGAGGGTAGGAACAGTGTGCCAAGAAATGTGAGCACTTCTTCCAACAAAAGGGAGCAATTTTCCCCCTCTTAAAACCAGTAACTCACTTTGCCTGAACATCCTCTTTTTCCGTTTTTTAAGTAATAACTTTATTGCGGTATGTTCACATACCACACAGTTCACCCAGTTAAATCATACTACTCAGTATTTCTTACATCTTCACACAAGCATCACCACCATCAACTTTAGAATAGTTTCACCATCCCCCAAATGAGCTTTTCTAGGGCTTCCCTGATAGCTCAGCTGATAAAGAATCTGCCTGCAATGAAGGAGACCCTGGTTTGATTCCTGGGGTGGGAAGATCCCCTAGAAAAGGGATAGGCTACCCACTCCAGTATTCTTGGGCTTCCCTTATGGTTCATCTGGTAAAGAATCCGCCTGCAATGCAGGAGGCCTGGGTTTGATCTCTAGGTTGGGACAATCCCCTGGAGAAGGGAAGGGAAAGGCTACCCACTCCATTATTCTGGCCTGGAGAATTCCATAGTCCGTGGATCGCAAAGAGTTGGACACGACTGAGTGATTTTCACTCACTCCAAAAGAAACCCAGTACTCATTATCTGTCATTTCCCACTTCCCTACAACCCCACTTCCCAGCCCTATGCAACCGCTTTCGTCTCTATGCATTTGTCTTTTCCAGACATTTCATGTAAACAGATTCATAAAATATGTAGCCTTTTGTATCTTACTTTTTCTTTTTTGGCTGTGTTGCATGACTTGTGGGATCTTACTTCCCTGACTAGGGACTGAACTGAGCCCCAGGTAGTGGAAGCATGGAGTCCTAACTGCTAGACTTTAGCGGAAGTCCTCTTAACTTCTTGTATTAAGCCTAATGTTTTCAAGGTTCATCATGTTGTACAATGTAGCAAGTAGTTTTTTTTTTTTGTCTCTTTTGCATCCACATTTTGGCTATTAATAATACTTCTGTGAACATTTCTGCACAAGTTTTTGTTTGGACATATGTTTTTATTTCTCTTGGGCATATACTAGGTGTTGAGTTGCTAGTCACATGGTAATTCTGTATTTAACCTTTTGAACAACTATTAGACTATTTTCCAAAAGCATTGCACAATTTTACATTCCCACCAGCATGGCAGGAGGGTTCCAATTGCTCCACATCCTCGCCAACACTTGTTATTATCTGTCCTTTTTAATTATAACCACCCTAGTGGATGTGAAGTGGTTTTGATGTGCATTTCTTTGATGACTAATAATGTTATTCGTGAGCTTCTGGGCCATTTGCAAGTCTTTGCAAAAACTTCTACTCAGAGTCTTTGCGTAGTTTCTCATTGGATTGTCTCTGTGATTGTTGAGCTGTAAGTTTCTAGATGTATTTTCAGTACTGCTCCCTTATCAGATACATGATTTACAAATATTTTCCCCCATTCTGTGGGTTGTCATCTTTCTTTTAAGGACTATTTTTTAGAGCAGTTTTAGGTTCACTGCAAAATTGAGAGGAAGGTAGAGATTCCCCATAGACCGCCTGCCCCGACATGTGCACCGCCTCCCCATTATCAACACCACTCACCAGAGTGCTACATTTGCTAGAATTGATGACCCTGTGTTGATACATCACAATGACCCCATGTCCATAGTTTATATTAAGGTTGTACATTCTGTGGGTTTGGACAAATGTATAATGGCGTGTGTCCATCATTATTGTATTATACAGAGTATTTCCACTGCCCTAAAAATCCTCTGTGCACTTCACTTTCTTTATAGTGTCCTTTGAAACATAAAATTTTCTAATTTTGATAAAGCCCAATTTATCTACTTTTTCTTTTGTCATCTGTGTTTTTGCTGTCCCATCTAAGAAGCTCTGCCTAACCCAAAGTCACAGTGATTTATTCTTAAATTTTATTCTAAGAGTTTTATAATTTTGGTTCTTATATTTAGGTGTGTGGTCTGTTTGGAGTTAATTTTTGCTTGTAGTATGGTAATTTCACTCTTTAACACACTGATATCCAGGCATCCTCACCCCATTTGCTGGAAAGATAATGCTTGAAGAGAAGTGAAGTGAAGTGAACCTTGCTCAGTCATGTCTAACTCTTTGCAACCCCATGGACTATACAGTCCATGGGATCTTCCAGGCCATAATACTGAAGTGGGTAGCCTTTCCCTTCTCCAGGGGATCTTACCAACCCAGGAATCGAACTGGGGTCTCCTGCCTTGCAGGTGGATTCTTTACCAACTGAGCTACTAGGGAAGCCCAAGATGATGCTTGCCCTCACTTAAATGCCTTGGTGCCCTTTTCGAAAATCAATTGACCAACAATGTAAGGGTTCTCTTCTTATTTAGTGGTTTGTTATATGCTTATTCTTTTGAAATTAAGGCAGACAAGTCTGCCTTAGACAAGTCTACCTTGAAATTAAGGCAGACAAGTCTGAGACAAAAACTCTCAGACAAGTATGACCAAAAAGTCTTTGAAGAGCTATAAAGAAGACATTCTAGGAAAATGGTGCTAGAGAGGATACCCACCTCCTCTGGAGAGGCTGCAGTCCTGCCAGATGTGCCACAAATGTGGAGAAACGTATGTGTTAGGGGAGTCAGACTTGGACCAGTGACCTGGAGGCTCTACCTCCCCATCTGTGAACGGTCCAATGTTACCGACCAGGGCTCTCAGCCACCTTAATCAATAGAAATTGATCAGAGGCGAGAAATACAGGAAGGTTTTATTGGGGTCCCTACTGCAGCAGAGGGGAACAAGAACAAATAACAGGTTCCCTTGCTAGCTGGGCTCACCGAGGTGTGGGGAATTGGTTATTTATATGGGGTGAGGGTAGGGGTGTGTCCAGGGATCGAGCTGGAAGCTTGGCTTAGGTGGTTTGCCCACCCCTTTGGTGGTGCTGTGTGCAGTACTCTGCTTTTGCTCCTGACTTCCTGCTTTTGCTCCCCACCCTTCAGAAGTGGAAGTAGGGCTGTTTGGTCTGTTTGTATCTTGTTGTCCATAATTTTCCCCAGTTGCACAGGCACGCAGTTCTTTTTAGTCCCTTATAGTTTCTTTGTATTTTTGCTTGAGGAGGAGATATTTGTCCAGGTGCAAGCACTGCAGCAAAGGGTCCTGGTCCTAGGACTCCGCCTGTTTTACCAACAAGTCCAGGAGAAGGTTATGTCTTGCCTCTTCATGAGGGTTTTGGATGCCATCCTACTTAGCTATGTGGGGGAGGTTGGGGTATGCTGAGTGGCTGTCTCTCTAGCCTTTCTGTGAGATGGGAGTGATTTGGGGAAAAGAGATGATGTGTGTGAACATGCTCTATAAGCTTTGAAATGTTGCTGATGTTACCAGTGGTGACAATACTGGTGATGGTGACGATACCAAAAGGCAGACTCTTGGGTTTGGGACTTCAAAGGTGGCCATCTTGACCTCACCCCAATGCTGGGTCATTTCTCCAATATTCCTACAAAGTAGCCACCCAGTCTGAACCTCTCTAGTGACAGAGAGCTCAGAACATCCTGAGAAGGCTGTTCTGTATTTGGTGTCTCTACTCATTAGAAAGGGTTCTCTCCTCTAGAGTGGAACAATCCTAATCTAATAATATCAGCCATGCCAGCACTGTAAGAGGTGCTTCTACACAGCATCTTATCTGATCTTTTAGATAACCCTGGAAGGTCAACAAACTACTAGGCGCCGGCATTTAATAAGGGGGGAAACAGGCTCAGAAAGGGTATGTGACTTGCTCAGGAGCCCACAGCCAGTAAAGATAGATGCAGGCATGATTTGGACCCGAGTCCATTTGACTCCAAAACCCACACACCTGAGCTCTGGGCTGTTTGGTAACCTTCCCTCAGAGATTCCCAAGCAAGGGTCTAGTTTGGTCCCTGGGGGCTACCCTTCTTATCCACACTGGCCCTTGACCACTAACCTCTGGCAGACGTTCACCTCACCAATGTCGCTGTGCAAAAGACATCTCCCGACTACCACCCGAAGAAGGTGAGGAAGCTGGGCTTCTGCCCTCGGATATGGCCTCTGGGACTGGGCTGGGGTGGTGAGGAGGGAGAGCCCAGGAGAGTTCTCCAGAGAGGTCAGGTCACTGCCTGTTTTCAGGGCCCAGGGTAAGCATATACATGGAGGCCCACAGATCAGGTGTTTAAATGTTTAAGAGTTACAAATCAAACCAGTATGCCCTGTAACAATATGTGTTGTGTCGTCCTACCTTGACAGATATATTATCTATCTATCTACTACCTACCTACCTACCTAATAACCTGCCAGAAGACCAGGCTCATATTTAGCACACTCAGACGTCTCAGAGTTAAGAGCCAGAACAGAAGTGCACAGGAAGAGCTGGTCCCCAGCTCTCCACCACCCTGTGGGGGCCTCCTGCAAACACACACACACCCAAAACAGCAAGCTGTGGGTGACTCCCTGGGTCTTGGGGGACCCACATGGTCAGTGCAATCTGTCCTCAAAGGGCAGGCCCAGGGAAGAGGCCGGTGCAGGGCATTTGGGCAGAGACTTCTGGGGTAGCAGATAGCAGGCGGTGCTCTAGAAAAAGAGGCCCAGGATCTGGGTGGGCCATACCTCCTTGGGAGTGCAGAGTCTTCACCCTGTAAGGGTTCTGCTCATCACAGGACTCAGGGCTGGGCTCCCCTTGTCCAAGACTAGGGTCTGTGCTGATGGCGAATGGCCGTCCTGGTTGGCCAGGTCTGAGCTGATTGAAGTTTCCTCTCCCAACCTGGTGGCGGGGCTCAGGGCTGCAAGTGGATGCTGCAGCGCTTCCGGCAGTACCTGGCGTCCAAGCACGGGCCTGAGGCAGTAGAGACGCTTTTCAGCGACATGGACAACATCTTCATCAGAAGCCTGCAGAGCGTGCAGAAGGTGATCATCAGCGACAAGCACTGCTTTGAGCTGTACGGCTATGACATCCTCATAGACCAGGACCTCAAGCCGTAAGTGGATGGGCTGGTGGCCTGGAGAGCGTGGGGGTTGCGGGGGAGGGGGGATGTGTTACACACTCTGCACCCAGGCTGCCTGGGTTTGAGCTCAGCTCTGCCACTTCCTAGCTGGGCATGCTTCCCTCCTCTGAGCCTTGGCTTGCCTGTCTGTAAAATGGTCACTGTGCATAGAGGAATGTTATGAGGAAGAAATGAACCCCAGGCCCGACACTGTGGTCTTTCCCAAGCATCTGCTGAGTCAGCGATCCTCCCCTCCCATCAGGCAAGAAACTTCCTGTCTGTGAATCCCGGTGCTTTGAGGATGCAAAGGGCCGGGCAAGGGCGTACTGTTACCAAGTCAATTCCCAGAACTTTGTGCCTTCCTGCAGTGCTCACGAGGAGGCTGAACACCCGAGCTATCAGGGAACACACTGATGGCCCTCGGGTGATACAACAGGGCACAGAAACCCAGTGGGATTGTCCAGGCAGCTTGAGATCATGCAGTAAGTCCAGGGCTGAGCTGGGCCCAGAGTCCATGTTCCTGGACTGAGCAGCTTCCACCAGCACTATGGCTCCTGGACCCAGCCCCCTCCCTAGGGTCACTGTATCGCTCTTGGGGGCCTTTCTGAGCCAGGAGTAGGAGCCCTAGAGCAAGACCTAAGTCAGGCCCAAGTTCAAGAGAAACCAGGGCCAGGCACCAGCAGGTCTCTCTCCTTTGCCCTCTGGGATGCAAGCTGTGCTCCAGGCATTAATGTGGACACCGATGGGGAAAATGAGCTTGGGAGGAGGCAGAAGATAGGGAAAGGGGGCCCCAGTCTCTCACTGACCTGCTGGCTGACCCTGCTCCCCTCTGTGCCCCAGATTCCTGTCTGTCAACTAACAGGGTTCCAGAAAACCAGAGGTCACAGGCTGGAAGCCCTTGGGCTGCTTTTGGCTTGCAGACACTTTGACCTTCAGAGAGTTTTTTCATTGGGTTGATTTTCATCGACCATCTCCCATAAATGGAAGATGTTTGCACAAACATTGGGATGTTTTGGAAGAGTCAGAGGGTCTTAGAATTCTGGGTTCACAAGCTCACAGTGCAACACTCTGCTTGAGCTGCCATGGCCACCCCTTCAGAGGTGGGATGCTCTTCCCAGCCCACCACAGGCCTACCCCTCCCTGTCACTTGCCACCCCCCTGACCTGGCAGGCTGGTTACCATCTTTTAAAAGCCAGCTTTTATTTAATACTTTTATTGACTTATTTGGCTGCATCTGTGCTCATTGCAGCATACAGGCTAGTTGCCCCTATGCATGTGGGATCTTGTTTTTTTAATTGGCCAGTAATCTTTTAACATATTTTTCAACATCAAGTTTTTACAGATAATACACATTTTTAAACTTTTAGTACTAGACAAAAATACATAGTTACAAACTTTGGAAATTCCAAATATCAGTGTTTGAAAAAAGGTATTAAGAATGCATGTGGGATCTTAATTCCCCCACTAGGGACTGAACCCATGTCCCCTGCATTAGAAGGTGGATTCTTAACCACTGGACCACGAGGGAAGACCCCTGGTTACCATTTATAGACAAATGTTCACTAGGAAAGTTTCTCTCATACTCCAGCTCTTCTGAAAGAAGCCAAAGGAGTAATAAGCATGAGGGCACAAAATTGTTCTTACCCCCCACCAGCTTGCTTCATTTAAGTCACCACCTGGACCCTGCGGGGGTTTCAAGTGTGTGACAGTTGTTTATTCGAAAGTTTTATTCCCTGAAAACTTTCTTCAGATGGAAATGTAGAGACAGCAGCCCTGGTTGAATCGAGGGTGGGGCCCAGGCACCTCATCTAGTCTTGTGAAATTCCAGGGGCCAGGCAACCTTAACATTTTCTATTCCCTTCCCTCCCCAGGTGGCTCCTGGAGGTCAATGCGTCCCCATCACTGACAGCCAGCAGCCAGGAGGACTATGAGCTCAAGACCTGCCTCCTGGAAGACACCCTGCACGTTGTGGACATGGAGGCCAGGTGAGGGAGGGCAGCCTCGCTCACGCAACCCTGTACCTCACCATCAGGGCTCCCACCGAGGAGAGGGAACTTGGAACCCTGGAACTTGAGAGGACCTCAGAGATGTCTCTGGCCCCTCCACCCTCCCCTGCCCCACCATTCCACAGATGGGGAAACTGCCATGTTCACACAGGATCAGGCCCTGGCCCAAGGACTTGGCCCTGACCCAGCAGAGCAAGGTCAACTACAGCTTTCTGAGACTCAGACCCGCAGGATTTCCTCAACCTTTCCTGACTGTGAGACCCTGACCCAGTCACTTCTCCTCTCTGAACCTCAGTGTCCTCATCTGTAAAATGGGAGATTTCATATCTCTCAGGGTTGTTAGATTAATTTACCAAGGTAATTTATTGTAACATGTCTAACTCACAGTAAGTACTCAATAAGAGGCTATTTATTGATATAACATTGTGTATATAATAGAAAGATCCAGGGTTTGACTGCAGGAATGGCTCAGACAGCGCTGGCTGGTTTGTCTGTTCTCACTTTCCTCTCTCTCATCTCTTTCCTCTGTGTTAGTTTCTCCCCAGTTATTCCAGCAAAAGTTTGAGGGCTGAGTCACATGCCCATCCCTGAATCAATCACTGGGACTCTGACTGACCAAGTCTAGGGCTTGTGCCCACTCCCAGGGGTTAGGGTCAACCCCACTTGAACCATGAGAGTGACAGAGTGAGGCCTGGTTTTCAAAAAGGAAAACCCAGGTACCCAAAGGCTGAAAGAAGTGAAATGGATGCTGAGCAGGAAGAATCGCAGGTGTCCACTGCCCCTATCCATCATCACTTATTCTTTCAACAATCATTTGAGGCCCTCCTATGTGCCAGGCCTTGTGCTAAACACTGGGGACACAGTAAATAAAGGACATGACAAGCCTAGTCCCTGCCTTCATGGAGTCTGGTCTGGGAAGGACAGCAGACTTTAAACTGGAAAGCACATTACTGGGGCCAACTGTGGAAACCTGGGGACAACTGGGGGATGACCTCAGGGAGTCATCCCCCACTTTGGATGGACAAAAGGTACTCTGACAGGGTGGGCACCAGTAGGGTGCCAGGAGGACTCAGGGCCTGGCTTGAGTCTTAGGGTCCCACCAGGTGCGCCTTCATTAACCCTTTGTATCTCTTGCTTGTCTAGGCTCACAGGAAGGGAGAAGCGAGTAGGAGGCTTTGACCTCATGTGGAACGATGGCCCTGTCAGCAGAGAAGAGGGGGGTCCTGACCTGTCGGGGATGGGGACCTTTGTAACCAACACACATCTCGGTATGTGGGGCCATGTGGGGAGTGGGCACATGGGAGGTGGCAACTTGCCATGGTGGTTAGACTGTTTTAACTTGATCCAAAATTTACCAGCTGTGTGACCTTGGGCAAGGGACTTAACCTCTCTGTTCCTCATCTGTAAAACAGAGATTCAATAGTTTCTATCTCAACATATGCCTAGAATACTGCACGGCATGTGGTGAAAGATATTATGAGGCAGATTTCAAAAAGCTTAGGTGGCACATAAACAAAAAATATAATATGTTGCTAAGAGAAATTAAGGACTTCAGGGCTTGACCTTATACTTGGCTTTTAAAAAGTGAAAAATTTCCCTGACTATAAAAATTATTCACACTCATTGTAGAATATTTGAAAACTAAAGAAAGAAACCAAAAAAAATCATCCAAACATAACCATCTTTAACAATCTGGTGTATTTCCTTCCAATTTTACAAAAATGCATATATTCATATTTTTTTCTTACAAAATTGGCATTGGGCTGAAGCTTTGAGTCTAACTTTTCCACGTAGCATTTTCCAGCTCATTCAACAACATTAGTAAGAGCCTCTCTTCTGGGCTTCCCTGGTGGCTCAGCTGGTAAAGAACCCACCTGCAATGTAGGAGACCTGGGATCGATCCCTGGGTTGGAAAGATCCTCCGGAGAAGGGAAAGGCTATCCACTCCAGTATTCTGGCCTGAAGATTCCATGGACTAAAGTCAGACATGACTGAGCAACCTTTACTCACTCTCTTTTGTAAACACACTATGGCCAGGACCAGACTATTTTACATACATTATCTCATTTCACTTTTAGGCAGCCTTGATTATTTTACAGATGTGGAAAGGGTCTCCAGATGTCTCACTTGCCAACGCTCTTGGTCATAAGTGGTGAGAGAGGCCCTGAACCCAATCTGTCCAGCTTCAAAACCCGAAAGCTAGGCTGCTAGCACTTATCCCTTGGCAAAATTAGAAACAAAATTACCATACAGCTGCAAAACATCCCCAAATTTATGAAACCAATTTCATATAATTGAGCATTTGGCATGACTCCAGTTTTTCACTTTTATAAATAATGCTGTGAGGACATCCTCTCAAATAAAGTTCAACTGAAACTGGCTATTTTTTTTAGGACAGATTCCTAGGAATAGAACTACTGGGTTAAAAAGATGGACTTATTATAGTCAAATTGTTTTCTTAGAAAGATTACACAAATCTGTGAGCTCTGAATTTAAAACAACAGCAGCAGCAACAACAAAAAAACCCCTGCCAACTTCATAGGTAAAAATATTGACTTGTTTTCTATGCATTCCATTGACTATGTGTGAGGCTTCAGATTTAAAATTTGCAGTTGTTCTTTTGTAAGCTGTCCATACTTATCCCCGCCCTGCAGTGGGCTTCCATTTTTCTAAATTTGTAAAGGCCTTGGATATTAATATATTGAGGACATTTTCCCTCTGTCAAACTTACTGTAAATTATTTTCCTTTTGTTTGAATATTTCCTTTCAAACAAAATGAGTTTGTCATTTTCCTTTTTGTTTGTGGCATTTTTCTTCCTTCTTTTTTGGTGAAAAGTTTTGAGTATCTTTTAGGGTTTGGTATGATTTAGGATTGGGTTTGGCTGCAAACAACTAACAAACTAATAGTTATCCAGAGAGGAACTGACTTAAGTCACCAGAGGTCATGGGGCAGGCCATAAATGACAGTTGCACAGTCCACCAAGGACCCAGGTCTTTCCTCTTTCTTCTTTACCACTCTCAGCCTGTTAGCCTTGATGCTCTTGCTTGTTGGCTCACGGCTGCTCCAATTCCAGACACCGTGTCCTTACCCTTACCCCAGGCAGGCCCAAGGGCCAAAGCCTTTCCTTCAAGCTTCGACTATTCCAAAAGGAAAGCAGGTAACTCTGCTGACATCTCACCAACTAGAGCTGGGTCACATGGCACCTCAGCTGCAAGGAAGGCTGGGAAGTCAAGTACTAAGTAGTTTGCTTTGAGGAAGGCAAAGGAGAGTCGGTTTGTGAATGGTTCTCCCACGGCAGACCCCTAGTGCCTGCCACATGGCGTTGTTGGAGGATGACTATACAGTGCTTTCAAGCTGTACGGACTATCACCTGGGAATCTTGTTAAAATGCTGTTCTGATTCAGTAGGTCTGGAAGAAGAGGGCTAAGAGTCTGCACACCTAAAAGCCCCCTAATAGTTAACTATTGTTGTGTAACAAATTCTCTTGAAGCTTTGCAGCTTGAAACGACTATCTTATTTGCTTATGATTCTTTAGGTGTGACTTGGGGTCTCTCACAGGGGTGCAGGCACCTAGCAGATGCAGAGACACAGTGGCCTAGGATAGCTTCATTCACATGTGCAGTGGTTGAGACGGGCGACCATTCGTTCACACGGTAATCTCAGGGTTCCAAGAGGAGAGAGAAGACAATGAAGTCTCTTGAGGCCTAGGCTCAGAAATCCCATGTCTGCCACAGTCCGTTAGCCAGAGCCTGTCCAGCCCAGATTCAGGGGGCAAGGAAATAGACTCCCCCTCTTGATGGGAGGAGCAGCACACTTTGCAGAGAGGTGCATAGAGGACCAAGAGGATTGTCGCGGCCACCTTTGCTAACAATCCCCCTCAGATGTCAGTGCCTGCACCATGTTTAAGCAGCAAAGACTCAGAACAGTGGTTCTCTAGTTGAGTATCTGGGTGGATGGTTTTGAATATAAGAGGAGCTGGCTGGGGGTGGGAAGAGTATTGATGAAATGAATAGGGATGTGTTGGAGATCTGGTAAAAGATCAACAGATAACTCAGAGATGAGCCTTGAACTCCAAGAGATTTGCATTGGACACGAAGGTTTGTGCATTATGAATGAATTATGAAACTTAGTTAAGGCTAAGGTTCCACAGAACTCACTTTGGAAAACCCCAGGGATTGGCATTTAGTGGACTTTCAGCTCAGAGAAGCCTTGATTGCTGGTGAGTGCCTAGGCGGCAGGGGTGAGGCTCTGGGGAGCTGAGAAACACAGCAGACACCTCCAGGTCAGTAGTTGTGCCCATGGGGATTCAGTCATTCGACCACCGTTCGTGAGGCGCCATCAGTGCGCCTGGCACAGGATTAAATGACCATGGAGTTGCCTCAAGGATTAGCTCTGAGCACAAAAGGAAGGAAACACTGTGAATGCACCAAGAGAGAATGTGAAGTCAGCCTGAACTGCCTGGGACACCCTCCCACAAGAGTAGGAGCCACATGTGGGGGAGATCCACCTCTTAGCTGAATGTGCCTGACACACGAGATTTAGGTACCAGGCCCTGTGCCAGTTTTAAGTGAATTTTCATGGAGCAAAGCCAGAAGGCAGGACAATATGTGCCAGTGGTTAAGGGCTTGGCTTCTGGAGCTAGGCAGCCTGGGTTCAAGCCTCAGTCCTGCTACTAATTGTGTGATTTGAAGCAAACTACTTAACCTCTCCGAGCCTCCTCTCGCACACATTATTCCTGTGAAAGCTCAAATCTACATCCTCACCTGAAGTAGCCCGATTTGGGGTAAGCCCCCAATGAATCTTACCTGATCCTTGCATTTACCCCATAAAGCAGGTATCCTGATGTACAGATGAGAAAACTGATGCTCAAAGAGGCAAGGGACCTAACAGTCATGGCAGTTGGGAGGGGATGCGTGCTAGGTTGCGTCAGTCGTGCCCAACTCTGCAACGCTTATGGACTATAACCTACCGGGCTCCTCTGTCCATGGGATTCTTCAGGCATGAAGATTGGAGTGGGTTGCCTTGCCCTCCTCCAAGGGATCTTCCTGACCCAGGGATCAAACCCATGTCTCTTACATCTCCTGCACTGGCAGGTGGGTTCTTTACCACTAGCGCCACCTGGGAAACTCACCAGATGCAAACCACAGGCCATCTGTGGTTGCATGGCTTCTGCTGGCCCCTCCTTCCGCAGGTAGTAGGAGCACTGGCCCCTTCTACTCCCCTAAGACCCCTCTACCAAGGACAGCCCATCCCAGTCAACACTCTACTTCCCTTCCAGGCTGCGTCAATGATCGGAAGAAACAGCTGAGGCAGCTGTTCCGCTCCCTTCAAGGGCAGAAGAAAACTCCCAACTAATCCCCAGCATGAAGAACCACTGGTACCACACTGGTCCTCTCTGCTCCCCGTTTCAGCACGGCAGCACTCAGAGCACTCACCCTCCCTCTCTCTTTCCGGCCTGGCAGCTGCTTTGCTGGCCCAGCACCCCACCCTACTTACCCTGGACATCTTTGCACCAGGAGAGAGCCAATCTCTGGGACTGGATAGATTTTAACCTCGATGGATTGGTTAGCCCGGCGAAGAGGACAAATGCAGCAAGTAATAACCGAGAGAGATATCTAATAAAGGATTACAGTCCTTATTTGGAAAGTCTTTGGGCTCCAGGCTTCACTCAGGGAATGCTGTCGCCGCAACCACATCTTCCTGGTTTTGACCCTTTGATGTCTCTCAGAGGATGTGTTGTAGGCTCCTCCAAGAGCAAGGGTTCAGTTCTTAAGTCGCATTTGCAAAGCAAGCAGTTGTTAAGACTGTGTGTTTGCTGGGGGTCCGAGCAAGGGCTGAGCCTTAGATATATCTTGCCCTCCTTATAATACCCTGACTGCATGTCAGGGGACCCATGGAGCTCCCTGACCATCTGAAAACCAGTGGGCCAGAGCATCCCTATTTCTCAAGTAGAGAAGGCAGAGCTGCTTAGTGAGGGTCTCCACGGAGGTGCACTTATTAAGTCAGCTAGGTGACCTAGGGGCCTCTCTGGGCCTTCCTATTTGAGGTTGGGAGCTGAGCTTTCTAGATCAGAAAGGCCTGGGCTGTCAGGCAGAGATGGCTTGGGGAGCTGGGCACAAGTAAGAATGTCTGCATTTTCCACATTCCAACGCCTCTTGGTTGAAGAGGAGTTGAACCAAGAGTGGGCTGGTGGCTAACTGCTTCAGGACAACCTTCCAAGGGACCCCAGGCAGCTCCTCGATCACTCTGCCTGCTTCAGGACAGTTTTTTCAACTGCAAACAGCAGAATCTGACTGTGGCGGGAAGGGAAGGGCTTTTCAAAGAAAAATACTGGCAAATCTAAGTGAATCAGCCAGCCTTGGGAACGCCAGAAGCCAGGTCATCCTGGGCCCCCTGCTCCAGAATGTGGGGGCTTCCCTCATCCCTGTGACTGGGTAAAGCCCAGACAACCCTAGGAATGGGCTCCATGTCTCTAGGAGAAAGAATCTGATTGGCTCTTCTTTGGCCTAGCATCCACCTGGTCAGACAGGCAGTGTCAACGTTCAGAAAGAACAACTTTGAGCCAAGCAGTCATCCAGACAGGATCTACCAGTGAATGCCACAACTCCCCATTTTCTTACATTTTAATTTTATAATATACAATACAACGGCAACATGTCCTTCCCTTGCACCCTAACCATGTAGTTTCTATTCTGAGAGAACCACATACCTGTTTGCACACAAATTACGAGCCTATTAAGACACCTGTCTTTGCTTCTCACTTGAGAAGCAAGTATCTTGAAGCTTGTTCCAAATCAGTGTTCAGCTTCATTTTTTTATTACAGCTGTATAATATTCCACTATTTGGAGTTATCAAATTCTTTCATCTACTCTGGACATTTAGTTTCCAATTCCACCTCCCTACTTCCTAGGGCCATCATGGAGAAACCCCAGCAATTTCTACTAAATAAAAAAAAAAACTCAAAAGGATGCAAAACCAGAGGTTTGGGCCAAATGTGGCTTATATAAAGTGTTTTGTTTAGCCAACATTCAAGCTTTTTTAATTTTCTGAATTAATCAGCAGTATTTAAAAAGCAGAGGATTCAACTTAAAAAATCTAAATTTCTAGGTTCTCGAAGAAAACACAAGATCTGGCCATGGCAGTCTGTGTCCCCATATTTAACTATCGGCCGGAACCAAATGGAGTGCCCTCTCCGCCCTGCCCTGACGTCATTTCAAAGAGGAACCACTGCCCCTTCATAGATGGTACTCCAAAGGGAGTGGCATACCTTCTATTAAGGACCAAATGAGATAAAAACTAGAAGCGCCTATTCATCCATTTAGGTAACATGTATTGAGCCCGTGAGGCACACAGAAGACATCCCTCACGGCACATTCACATTATGATCGCAGACCCTGAAGGCAGACAGGAACTCTAAGCAGCGCTGCCCGGGTTCTGCTTTCAGAGCCCGTGGAGTCGCATCCTGCCTAAGCACAGCACAGTAAGACGCAGGCCCTCATCCATCGCTGGTGCAGGACTCTGCAAGGCCTTCCTGACTCCAGAGCAGCCGAGGCGGGATGATAAGCAGCGCTCACTCTGGACTCCATCCCGGGGGTGAGCAGGAAAACGGGCCCCGATGGCAGTGTGGGGGGACTATGTGTCTGCCTGTGCTGAACCATGAAGCACTAACATTCTGTCCTTCATCCAGCGCAGGAGCCTCCTGCTTTATTCCAATTCCGTTACACACACTGCTTGAAAATACGTCTCTCTCTTTCTGAGAGGAATGCTGGAATGAAGCTCCCACTCTTCTCCCTCCCGGCCCATTTCAACAGCAGGCCATTGTTGAGAAGTGCCTGTTGCAGTCCTTCTCACACCCCCACTGGCGCTGCCCCCACCCACCTCCTGGTGGCTGCCAGGGCCTGTCAATGGGCCTTGTGTCCATCCCAGTGGTCAGGCCTGCAGATACTGGTGTAGGCTGCGGGTTCCCTCCTGCTGTCAAAAAGTAGCCAAGTGCTACAGACAAAGAAGCTTCATACATGGCTATGGCTGCATTTCACACCTGTCCCTTTGCAGGGTAGATCCTGTCCTTGCAGGTTTCAAGGCTGGAGAGTTCGGGGTCCTCCATGACCCCAGGGGAGGATGCAGGTCTTAGGTTCCCCCATCTGGGTTCTTAGGTTTCATCCTTTCAAGATGACCTTGAGAGCTTTAAGCTCATCCTGGTTGAGGGGGGTCAGGTTAAAACCCTTCAGCTCCGGTTTGCCTAGGGGAAGAATTCATCAGTAAGTCAGGGCTCCTGCTGTCCAACCTACTGGCCCTGGAGTCTAGCCTGGGAAAGGGGCTTACACTGCATTCATGCTGCCAAAAACTTGGCCTTGAGGTCTGACAGGGAAGGGCCTCAAATTCTGCAAAGCAGAACAAGGAACATCACACCTGCTCCTGAGTCACCAAAAACCTGCAGAGTCATGACTGTTGTGCAGAAGCCTCCTAATTTGTGCCAGTCTGACCAATCTGGAGTGGTTCGGTTTACCTAGAAATTCAGCTCTAACCTGAACCACCTGACTGAGGCCTTCTGACCCTCAGTCAGAGGTATCTTGGCCCCCAAAGTCACACCCTGGCATAAAATGTGAGACATTCCATGCCATTCCTGTGCCTGAAAAGAACTTGTAACAGGAATAAGATCCCACAAACTTCCTGTCCATTCTATCTCTGGCCGGCTCGAGACAACCCTACCCACTTCCCACAGCTTCAGTGCCACTCACCAGCTGCCCACCCCGGCCCACAAAGTCTATGCTGATACTGTCTCCCCTTCTGGTTTCCAGCCCCATGCTTAGCCCCCAGGCCAATACCTTGGGCCTCAAAGAGGCGATTGACCTTCACTTTAAGTTGTTTCCGGAGTCGTTCTATTTCTTTATCCAGATGTTCCTGATCTGAAAAAATGAGACAGGCAAACAAGATGAGGTTACACTACAGACAGACCCAAGGATACCAGCCTCTGCCCAGCCCCACTGAAGGCAGGGGTCTGAGCATGCAGGGATGAAAATGGGACTTGGGAGACTAGTTGAGGAAGAAACTAAACGCTAAAGAAGGGACACGGCCTATCCCGACCACTGAGTGAGCCCAGAACAGGGTTGAGCACACTAGTTTCCCAACTTGCAGTTTATCAACCTGTTTTCATTATGCCAAGTACCCTGGGCAGTTGATGGGGAAGGCAATACCAGGATTTTAGGTCACCCTCTCACAATGAAATTATGCAAAATTCAAATTTAAGAATGAAAGACCCAGCCTATCCTAAAATGGATGGAAAATAGACAGCTGACGAAGTTTACAAACCCACATCCATCCAGGTGAGGAGTTTTCTTAACAGCAGGATTGTGGTAACTGTGACCTAAACAGTCAACGTTCTGTCTCATGCTCACACATAACCAAATTCATGGCAGAGAAGACAAGGCTGTCTTACAGAATGGACTGTGCCCAAAGGCAGATGCATCATGAGAAGTGTACCCAACTGATGACATCCAACCAACTCCATCTGCTGTTTTCACCCACTCATGAGTGACATTTTTGTCTTTCCTACAGACCTTCATTCTTTCTGATGATGATAAGCCCTGACCAGCTAAGCATTCTGGCCTGGGCAGTCGCTCTGGTTCTCACTGTAAATGAGTAACCACCATCTCACATGACCTTGTTTAGCCTGTGTCCATCCCTGAGAACCAGAGATGCTGTCCTGGAACCCCTCTAGGTCAGTGACAAGACCACACTCATGGGCCAAGAGAGCCGGAGACCTGATCCTCAACCCAGGCAGGCGAGGCCCTCTGGAAGCTTACTCTGAGCAGCCTCCAGTCCCCCCACAAGTGCAATGACAATTCAATTTTATAACCATGATTATTAGTGTATGTTTTTCTTTTTTTAAAAAAAATGTCTATTTATTTGACCGCGTCGGTCTTAGCTGCAATGCATAAGCTTAGTTGTCCTTTGGCAGGTGGGATCTTAGGTCCCCACCAGGGACCAAACCCGAGTCCCCTGCACTGGAATGTGGACTCTCAACCACTGGACCACCAAGGAAGTCTCTAGTGGATGTTTTTCAAGGGGAGTTTCTCCTCAAAGCTGACCTACTTTCCTTTGATAGAATTTCAGTTTCAACAGGGATAGAGTTGCCCTGTTTTCAGAGACAGAGGCAACTGTGCTGCTGGTTCTCTTGACCCACATGTTTTCAGGGGTGAGGAAGAGAAAACATGTGTAACTTGCCCTTATCCCAGCCAAGGAATCATCTGCAGCCTGACCTTTTGCTTTCATGACATTTCTCCAAAAAGCCTCTAGGATCATGGCTGTGAGATCCGTTGTGTACCCGAGTATGGCAAGCTCGAGAGCTTCACCCTCCTCAAACCTCCATCTTCAACCCTAATGCTACTACAGGGGATGTGAAAATATGAGCACGTGCCTTAGATCTGACCAATGAGGTATCAGAGAAGTCCCTGAGGAGGACGGTCTTATTTCCAAAACAGAAGGCAAGGCCATATGGAGAAAGCTCTCCTGCCTTTCCTCTAGCCTGGCTCTCAGACATGAGGCCTGCAATCATGACACAACCACCAAGAGAATACATTAAGTTGACTCTGTTGAGCAGCTGTGCCAATCCTGGACTGCCCATCTCTGGACAACTTCTTACATGAGATGAACAGAAATGTATTTCCTTAAGTCCTACTAACTGCTAGATTTCTGTTATTTGCAGTCCAACTCATTCCTCAATGACAAACAAACACTATGCTAGGTACATGTATTAATTATCTCAACTTTATAACAACTGTGCTATGTAGATGTCTCCCCCTTTAGAGATGAAGCAACAACTCAGTGGCACAGCAAAGATTAAAATGCACACAGCCACCTCTCATCAAGCTGCCAGAAGCTGGATTAGGGGTGGGGAGGGTGTGGCATGGGGGGGCAGTGTGCTGCTCCTGACCCCTGCCCAGGAGGCTTACCTTTCTCAATCATTTCCTTTGTCTCAGGGTGAGGCATCCTGATAAACATGTTCCCGAAGCACACCATCACGTCTTCTGAAACGGCAAACAGTCATTCCTTCAACAAATATTTTGATGCCAGGCATTGCTTTAGATGCTGAAAACACAGCAAAACAGGACGAAATTCCGGCCCTCCTAGCTTATGTTAGAGTGGATGAGAGAGAATAAACAAAAAAGTCAAGATAATAAAGAAATGATTCGTCAGACCCTGAAAGGTATCTTAAGAGAAAACTAAAGTGGGGAAAGAAGAGATGGGGAATGCCAAAGGGAGGAGCTTGTTATTTATACCAGGCAGTCTGGGAAGGTCTTGCAGATTATGTGCCATTTGCACGGAGACCTGAAGAAAGTGAGGAGTGTGTAAACCCTACAGACACACATCTAGGGAAAGACCAGGCCAGGCAGAGGAACCAGGAACAGCGAAGATCAGTAATGTGCCAAGGTGTTAGGAACAGCAAGGAGAGCAGCGAGGGTGCAGGTGATGAGTGAGCGTGAGAGCAGAGGAGACAAGGTGGGAGAGTCAAGGAAATCGGTTTACACGGGGTCCTGCAGGACTCTGGAGTTTACTCTGGTGAGACAAGAAACTGGAAGGTTTCAGGCTTTCCAGTGCACTTTAAGTGCTTGGTTCCTGAGGCCCTTCATCATGGCCTGCCCCCTGCCCATCTCTCCAGCATGATCACATGCCCCTGCCCTATTGCTTCCTCTATCACTACCACTTAGCCTCACCTAAAGAGCTGCCATCCCATTCTCCAAGGCCAGCCCTGTGTTCACCTCCTTCTTCAACTTTCTCACGATTTTCAATTCTGTATTTATGCTGTTGACTCACCTGTAGGGCACAAGGGCAGGAACTGCACTGTTTTTATATCCCCAGCACTTTCTCAGTGTCATCACTGATAAGCTGGCAGCTAACAACCTGTCACTGAGGCGAGCAACTGAAACCCTGAGCCACAGTCTGTGTCAGACCTGCAATCCTATCTCTCCCATCTCCACGGGCTGTGCCACACACCTGTGGCCTCCTGCCTGGTCTCTAACAGGGATAAGTCAAAGGCATTAGAAGGTAAATTGAACAGGCCTTCTGGGCTGCAGCAACGAAGCTAGGCTTACCAGTGAGGCTGAGATCCTTCTGCAGGGCTCTCAGGCCCTCCCGGTTCCGATTCCTTTTGGTATCCAGGTCCACAATCTGAAAAGCACAGGGGCAGGAGGGAACTCAGTTACCTCCTACCCTGGTCTGCACTCCCAACAGACCAGGGCTCTTAAAACCCAACAAAGACAACAAGGCCTCATTCTTCGGTTAATTCTAATGTCCTGCCTAGAGTGGACAGATGTGTGAAGGTACTTCTTCCCCCACTCAGCTTCCAGTTCCTTAAAGATGATGCTTCACCCAGGTGTCTTTCCCCCCCAGAGGAGGTGCTGGGGAAATGTCTAATGACTAAATGGGTAATTTTTTATTATCATCCACTGAAGCATTAGTTCTCAAGCTTCAAGGCATTTCAGAATCACCAGGGGAGTGGAAACCACTTCCTGAACAAGCTCCTCCAGCTGATTCTGACCGAGTATCCTGAGAAATCCAACAATATTATATCAGAAAGGCAGGGGTACTGGCACTGAGACGGTGGTCACAGCACAGCAGCTACTAAGGAAGTGAGGCGGCTGTGCAGTATACTGCCTGGCGGTGGAGGCTCTGGAGTGGAACACCCAGGTTTGAATCCTGCAGCTTGCTATGACCTGTGTGACTTCACCTCTCTGAAAAACAGGGACAGGAAGAGGACCCACCACCAAGGTTATTAACCTAGGAACTAAGTCAGCACAGTACCTGATACGCAGTAAGTACTCAATCAACTTTAACTGCTATTTGTCAGCACACTCTGATGCAGTGTTTACTAGGCTCTCCCTTAATACCCAACTGACCAAGCATCCAATCAGTCTAACTGGAGATGAGCAGTCGGAATCATTCTTGATCCCTCCTACTCCCTCACCCCTATACTTCAGCATCATGGAGGCCATCTCCAAATGGAGATGACCCATTACCACCACCACGGCCCAAACCCATCCCTTACCTGGCCCCTTATTTACCCCTTGCCCCCTTATAGCCTGCTCTACAGAGCAGCCAGAGGGATCTTTCAAAGCCTCAATCCATTAGATCATACTCTCTTCCCACCACAAACTCAAACTCCCTGTGCAGGTCTCCACGGCCCTCCAGTGGCCTGGGCCCCACACTTCTTCCACATCCCGACTCCTGCGCGATTACTAGGCCACTCACACTTCTTTTCTGTTCCTCTTCTGGCCTGGACTGGAGCGGTGCAGCCCAGGTCGGTGTGGGGGCCCTGACACTGCATTTTGAAAAAGCGGTTCAGGTAAACCAAAGGCCCAAAGAGGTAATGGGTCGGGATCCGGAAAGCTGGGCAACGGGCAAAGGAAGGATGGCGAGAGAGGAAAGGCCTGGCACAGACGAGCTTAATATGTGCCAAATAGAGGAGTCAAGCGCGGCGCTGTGCCACGCATTCGACATTTGGCCAACATGATCTCACAACCGCCCGTGCCACGCATTCGACATTTGGCCAAAATGATCTCACAACCGCCCGGTCTGTCGTCACAGCCCTTGGCCCACAAGACTAGGTCAATTCACAGCGAGCCGAAGCTGGAGCCAGATTCCGGAACCTGCGCGCTGCCCTAGGAGCTCGCAGGCCCAACCGCAAAACCCGGGCCCCTGCCCCGCGGACAGGCCTCCTACCTGCCGTTTGTCTGCCAGCACCTCCTCGGCGAGCTCCTCCACCTCCACCAGGTACTGCAGCACCCGCTCCGCCTCGGGCGACAGCATGATGCCTGCCAGCCGCAACTCCGCTACGCCACGATCCTATCGAGCTCACCTCCGGCTCCGCTGCGCTGCAGCTCCGTCCGCGCATGCGCCGCTCTCACAGGGCTTCCGGTACGCATGCGCAGTTGAAAGAGGAACGGAGGCGCGCAGGCCCCAAAGCTCGTGCGAAAGCAGACGCGAGAGGCGGGGCCTAGCTTGGGGGCGGGGCTGGAGCGCCCCCTGCAGGTCCAAACCTCTTAACCTCGCCCTCCGTTCAGATAGTTCTTAGGCTCTGAGGATGCAAAACGAAGTGAACAAAACGAAGTCCCTGCACCTCGCACTACTTCATCTAGTGGGTAACATAAACAATTGATGACAAAACAAATAATTATATACTATGGCAGGCAGTGATAGGGCTTTGGAGAAATCAAACCATTCTTCCTCTGCCTGAGGAGCACCACGGAAGCAAGTGTAGCAGTTTCCGATTTATAAAATGAGAGTGAATAAAAATCCTTCTCATTGTGTTTCTGCAGGATTGGAAGGAGGCAGGAGTCTTAAAATTCAGTTTGACCTCTACTTTCATTGAGCCCCTGTGTTGGACCCAATGTCAGGAATAGCTGATCTAGACCCAAGGAAGGGCGGTGAGTGATGAAGTGCCAGCTCAGAAGAGAGTTGTATGAGTGCTGGAAAGTGAATCATTGTGGGCTGTAGGAGCTGGGAAGATCTCCAAGAAGAAGCAGGCAGGTGGAAAGTGGCTGCCCTTCCAAATCAGAAGATTCCCTAGAGATCTTCACACCCAAACTCCTCATTGTACAGCTGGAAAAGCCAAGGTTCAGAGGGTGGTGAGGGTTTTTAAAAGTCAACAGCAGACCCAGTACTAGAGCTCTGACCTCTTGTCTCCCTGAGTCCAGCTTATATTTCTCTCCTTTTGGCCACTGTAACCAAACCCTTTCACACCCCTTGCCTTCCTTGAATTTCACAACCATCTTTGTATGGGTGGGTTATCACACATCTCGCAGCTGCACCCTGAGGCTTGCTCCTTGTCCCGCCACAAGTCAGGAGCAAACATGGCCCAGGATGCTCAAGCTTCCAGACCACAGCTGTTTCTGGATCCTGAAAAAAAAAGGCCCCCCACCAAGTTGTGGCCCCAAAAGTCCTCGAAGCACCCTGTCTTTGCCTGGCCTTTGGCTTCTTTAACTGATGAGGCACTTAGTTTTTCCTGCAGCCACCTGGCATGGGGAAAGAAGGAGATTCATTAAGGATTCCTCATTAAGGGTGAATTTGTCGCCAAACCCAGGATGTTTTGTGTAAATACCTTCTGGTTCAGAAACACAGACACAGGCCCTGTGAAGGAAGGGGGAACATTTGCCAAAGGAGAAACAGGGCTCACCAGGCATCCCTGAGGCCCGGACCCTCGGATTATCTCTCTTCCACCTTGGGGCTTAAAGGGGCCTGGGCCAGGCTGATCCCTGACCCCTGCCATATGGGCCTGGATGGGAAAGGGTTGAAGGAGTCTCCCAAATTGTCAGTTTCTTGGCTGTGACTGGCCCTCAGAGGGCACCCCTGGCCACTGGCAGCGTAGGGGAGGGACACAAGCCTTTGAGAGAGTCATACCTGGAAGGACTCCTATTTTAGAACCACTTATGTTTCAGAACCATCAATTTCACAAATATTTATTGACTGCCTTGACCCTGTTATAAGAATTCCACCATGAGCAAAACCAGATTTGGTCCTTGCCCAAAGTTTTCAGTCTGGTGGGAGAGACAGATAATAAATGCGTGAACAATAAAATACATCTTATGTCAGGTGGTGGGTGGTAAGCCCTATGGAGAAAAGAACAGGGCAAGGTTGTTTTATAGTTGCTAAGTTGTGTCTAACTTTGCAACCCCATGCCATGGGCAGTACACCAGACTTCCCTGTCCTTCACTATCTCCTGGAGTTTGTTCATACTCATGTCCATTGTCAAGGTAGAGAGGGAACAAACGAGGGGCTATCTGAGATAAGGTGGTCGGGGGCAGGGGGTGGCTTTTCTGAAGAGGTGGCATTTATGCAGAGATGTGGAGGAGGTGAGAGGCTGAGCCATGTGGATATCTAGGGGACAAGCATTCTACCCAGGGAGAACAAAGGCCCAGAGATGAGTCTTCATTTTGGCAAGTTGCAAGGCCAGTGTAGATGGAACAGAATGAGCAAGGAGGGAAAAACAGGAAGTGAGGTCGATAAGGGGAAGGAAGTATTGAAACTGTGGAGCTATAGGAGGGGCTATAGGTGCCCTGCTCACACGGCAAGGCCTTCCCTTGAGGTGGCCAGCAGGTACTGCAGCAGGGGCCTGTGGCTTCCAGCTTCTCTCTGCTCATGGATACAGATTGAGCTTGGAATGTGGGTGAGTTAATGCACATAGGAGTGGCCCTCAGCCAAGAAGAGGAAAGAGCTAGTGGCTGCGTACCCCAGCTTCTTTGCCTTTCTGTGGGAGGCCCATAAAGAGGCCATTACAGTCATCCATGTAGGAGAGGATAGTTTCTAGACAGAGGGTAGCCACAGTGATAGCACTGGTGGGATCCTCAGGGCCTTTGCACACACCCTCCCATCAACCTGGATTCATTTTCTCCCACACCTCTAAACCTATAAGTACTACACAACCCCCACTTATCAGCTTGGCGACTCCTCCCAGAGATCAAGAGTCCTCCCTGAGCCCCCAGAGCTTCCTGGGGTACCCCTCTCTCTACTTACCACATCTCTTTCTCTCTAATTATCTCCCTCTGCAGCTGAGAGCTCCTTGGGGCAAGGATCTTGTCTCTCTTGTTTACTGCTGGGTCCCAGAACCTAGGATATTGCTTGGCATACAGTAGGCACTCAGTCTTGGGCTCAACTTGAGGCAGAACTTTCTAAAACCCAAAGTATCCAAAGGTGAACAGAACCAACCCAACTGTGACTAGTTTCCCATGCCAGAAGGCTGGGCTGCCATAAAGGCAAGATATTACAGAACATGAATCCCTCTGCAATTCAGGTCGGGGTGATATCCCTAAGTCTTTCCTAACCAGAAAAGTCTACTTGGTCACACTGGGGTGTGCCTCATCTTTAGCAAGCCCTCCCTTCCAGGCCAAAAGGACTGAGACAACTGGGGCTTTGGTGTTTGGAGGCAATAACACGATGCTACACCCTTCCCCTTGGAGACCTTTTACTGTTTCTGTGTGCCCTTCTTGGTTAAGAGTTCAGTGACCAGCACCCACTTCACTCCTAAGGGAGGACCACTCTCAGGCTACTGGGGCCTCCAGGTGGGGTCTTACCTTCCCTTTAAGCTGTGGCTCATCATTTCAGGAATATGAAAACCCACCTTCCTTGCATGGAGTGCTGGCAGGAGTGGGTGTGGATAACTCTGAGGTATAGCTTAATGCTCCGGAGTTCTCCCTTGGGATCAGGCTGAAGCAGCCACCCACATGATGTCCATAAGCCCTGCTGGGCTTCCTCTCCCTCTCTGTCCTGCCTCCCCTGCCCCCACTCCTTTATGGTCAGAACCCTTCAGCACTCCCATCTCACCAGTAAAAGCTAAACTTCTCCCTGAGGCCCGCCAGGCCCTCCCTGACCTGCTTTACCCCTCTGAGCATCTCCCATCTCTCTCCCCACCTCCTTGCTGCTCCTGAAAGCAGCCAGGTGCAGTCCCACCTCAGTGCATTTAGCCTGGCTGCTCCCTTTGCCTGCACTTTCCCTCCGAGTCCTCTTGTCTCTTTCCCTCAGCTCCTATAAGTCTTTGCTTAAATTTCACCTTCTCAACAAGGCCTATCCTGAACATTCTATTTAAAAATGCCCCCTCCCCCAGTACTCTTGATCAACTTCCTCTGCTCTGTTTTTTCCACAGCATTTGTCACTTTTCAGCATGCTATTGAATGTACTTATATTTATTGTTAATCTCTCTCTTTTGGAAAGGAAGTTCTGTGAGGGCAGGAATCTTTGTCTCATTTGCTACTGGTGGATCCCCAATATCTAGAACATTACCTGGCCCACAGTAGGTGCTCAAAAAACATTTCTGAATGAATGAATGAAGAAAAGAGCCAGAATTCTAAGCAAGGCAGATTCTCACTGAGGCCAGGCTCTTAACCCCTATGCTGGAGGTGGTGGAATGGGAGAGGCAGGTCACGCCAGGCCTGTCACTAAGGCAAGGGGATTGGCTTTGTTCTCAGACCAACATGAAACTTCTGGAGGGTTTTGAGCAAACATGGGACATGATTGGGTTTCCTTTGTGAAACCTCTCTGACTGTAGTGATAGGATGGGATTAAAATGGTGAGTATGGTGTGGTCCTGTGTGTGTGTCTTGGGGATGGGAGGATAATGATGGGGCTTGGAGAGGTGACAGGGCTGTGACTGTACTAGTGTTAGAAGCAGCAGGAAGCTGGCTCAATATCCCAATTTTTCAGGCAGCCTGGGTGGCTGGCCCACAGGCTCTGGTCTGTGAGTTGTCCAGGCCCAGCCTCCCAGCTGCTGACAACGTGCCCCTGTCCCACAGATGCGTTGTTTGCTCTTCGGGGTGGTCCCCAGCTCCTCCCTCCACTTCCTTTGTGCCTTGTGGGCTTGGCAGGTGGAGGGGAGGCCCACTCCCTCTCCTCTGACCCAGAGAATAATCCCTTATATTCATATGATTCTCCTCCTGCCCTCACTCCATCCTCCCATGTCCCCAGGGAATGAAGAAATCTGACTCCCATTGGACAGTTGAGGACACTGAGGCCCGAAAAGGGCATGGGACCCTCCCAAGGTCATGCAGCCAGATGGGGACGCCAGGTGGGGACCTGCGTCCTAAATCCACATGCCCTGATTTCATCAGGCAACAGATGGTCCCAAGGCTTGACTTGAAAAATCTTAAATGACCTCAAAGAGAATACAAGCCCGGAACATTCCAGGCCTCCCTGAGCTGGTCTTTACTACTACCTTTAATATAAAATCCATTCATTTAAAATTCCATTAATAAAAAAAATAAAATAAAATTCCATGAATAGATTCTTTTTATTGAGTATGAAAACATGACAAAGAAGACT